TGTTACCCCAGTCATTGGATTTTATGATCTTATTGATCTGGGGTTACCCTCAAAGTCGAATGAGAAATCGGTACACCTGAGTTATTTCATTGTCTTCAAGATGTCACCAACAGAGGTGATATTTGTTAACGTCCCTACGAGTGGTCCTTCAGGGCTTCGATGATTACCTATTATGCTTGTCCTTAAGGCAATTCCTTAGTGTATCTTACCGATTGTTTTAAGTGAGGTAGCATGATGAACAATCTGAACATTTCAATCTTCTTATCTACAGTACTGTACATACATGTACTTCTATTGTGAATACATTGTAGGTGTATTCATGTCATGTACATGTACCTGTATACAGAATAAAGATTGTCTGATGTCTAAAATTTAATTCAATTACTACAATCTAGGAATTCGCGATTATCATGAGAAATTACTGAAATATATAAAATTGTAGGATGAATCGTGTGAAATTCTTTGTGGATGAAGTACACGTGCATAATGGATACATCTATCAACAAAAGTCATATATGAAAATAGCATTAATGATGGAGTAATGTAATTCACTTTGCTTCTCTGCATGTGATTCATTTCTTAAAGGCATCGTTTAACAATGTTAAATCTGATGCACGGCCCTACGTGTTATCAGTGTCTGTAATACGGTGTAAAATTGAAGCTCTAGAAAAATTGCGCTTCAAAATGATCAAGAAGTGCCTCAAAAAAGTAAAAAAAATTGAGTGACCGCTTTTACCATACTCGTTTTCGCCAGTAGACCGTAGTGTTATGAAAACCGTTAGGAAAACGCAAAATTTGGTTTCGATTTCCAATCATAAATATATTGATAATCAGAAAGGCGATCGGCTTGTAAAATTCTTCGGGTTCCTGACTTAGTTCCTGGTTTATAATTATCATTGCAGCATGAGCTAAATCCAGGATTTTGTTTCAGAATCTAAGACAAAGTTACCGGATCCCTTTAACCTTTTTCAATTGATTAACATACACGCGATTTCAGCCACTTTAATAACATAGGCCTACACCACATCAGAATGAGAGGAGCAAATGTACATGAATGTTAATGGGACGCTTTTAGGTGACGAAAGTATAGATTTCTCTCAGAACTCATCAAAGAATACAAAGTATAACTTGGCATTTACGTCTAGAATGAAACGAACAGAATAATTCCCTCTTTGTTTTTTTTTCTAAAAAGAAAACAATTTTCCATCAAGACCCATACAATATTAACCCAGTTTTCCATGAAATAACAAGCTATCATCATCGGAAAGCATCGCATCGAGAAGCTATCCACGTCTTTAACCTTTCCCAAACGGGGCGTCAATTAATTAAGTAGCCATAAAACACCCCCAGAGGGTGCGCTCTTAGCACCCTCCGAAGGATTGGAGGAATCTTGTTAACGCCAGTGTGGCGGGAAGGATTATGCAGAGTCATCGGGGGTATGTTATTAAAGACATATTCCATTACCGTCAAAGAATGATGACGAATGTGATGATGATGGAAGTGCACTGGTAGAAAAGGGAATACGTGTGTGGAATGTTCCAAGAGCTTTTGCAAATTATTTTGTAGTAATTATATTTTCTGTGGTATCAGTGTATACCGCGTCATCGGGGTGTTTCTAAATGCTTTATACATTACCGTCAAATTCAGATATTGGTGATGATGATGATGATGATGATGAGGCTAGTGATGATGATGATGGTGATGATGGTGTTCAAAGTTATGATGATGGGGATGATGAATATAATGATGATGGTGGCGATGATTTTGATGAGAATGCTGATGTTGACGATGATGATTATTTTGATGTTGAATCTAATGATGGTGGTGATGATGATAGTGATGGTAATGCAAAGGCACTGATAGAGAATGTGCATACCTGATCTGGATAGACAAATTCTGCTCATGATTCTTTAGGCCTCTTTTACCCAACCAGTTTCATGAATCATCGGTTTACCTCCTGGATTTCAGGGTACTTCTTATGAGAATTTAGTAAGAAAATACTGAAGATTCTTAGAAAAGCGATACATTTAGTTCTTTTAACCTGACTTTGCACCATTCATCATGTAGCTCGTTGTTTCATTTTCTTTTTCTTCACACAGTATTAGGAGAATGACAGCAGAATGATGAAGCGGAAACAAATAAGGTAGACAATGAGAACAGATGCATCAGTCACAAGATGTTATAGCAGAGCGGGTATAACAGTTATGTCTAGTAAAAGACATACCACTTTAAGCATGGTGACTGCCTCTACTATATTTGCACTTTGTGTACATGCATGACAATAGCAAAGTCATCTTCCGAGTTTTCCATACAAGCAGAAAGATAAATAAGCTTCTTTTCTATATTTTTCATTTGAAGGTCACGAATAGAATAGAACAAGATGGCGGACTTTGCTCAGTTTCTATTCCTATTCATTCTACATTGTATATACCAATCTTTTCGAAAACACTGACAATACATGTACAATGTCTGCTGTACAATCATTGTGAATATATACATGTACATGTACACGCAATTACGATTACATGCGAAAGCAGTAGATAATTTGGGATAGAATCCGAAACACAGATCGTTGGTAGCAATAAAAGAGATGAATGGATCGACTGAGGTAAAACGAAAATTTTGTTTTCTGGAGATAAAGGGACAGATTTCTGAATTGGAGATCTCTAAATGGGATTAATGGGAGTAAAGCAGTTTTCACTGTTTGAATGAACATTATACCAATAAATGAATGAAATGAAAAGAGTTTTGAAAGTGGTTAAAAAGATTTACATATGAGCATTTTCTCATGAAACACTAAAGAAATATGATGGCGAAAATTGACCATGTTCTTGAAAATGCAAGGTTATTAAGTGCAGCTCAGTCAATAAAATTACGAAATTGTGATTCTCTGTACATATAAACTTAATTTGTCTGTAGCTTCAAGGGAAAAGGTGATGGGAAAGGGTGATCGCAAAGCGAGAGTATGAGGATTATGGTTAGTTATTTAATGGATATGTGATTGATCATATTGCGCCATTAGCAAGCCTCGGAATGACAGGTCGCGATTATATACTTGAAATTAAATCAAAAGTTGCTGTCAAAATTAATGGCTAGTAAAGGGTAATTAACATAAGTGAGACAATTTTATTTTCATACACTATATTGCCCATAAAGTTGGGGTGACAGTGTCTTACCACTCCCGATGGTGAGGAAGTGATTTATTCTTGAAAGACAAAGCTTATATTTTCTCAGATCTATATGGTTCTGGGAAGATACGATCTTTGTATATTTTTAAAAGATCATATTGTTACAATCAGATCCTGAAAATAGGGAAGATATATACTTTATGGGGAACAGGTGTATAATCCCGTTTCGCTGAGCTGTCTATCCATGTGAAGGGCATTATTGGCTGAGGGGTTGTGAGGTACATGTAGAAGGGGAGTGAGGTAGAAGGGTTGCATCAGTTTAATTGGATGGATGATTTGCGAGAGAACAAGGCGATGGAGTGGATTTACGATGTACCTAACTATCGTTCTCTTTCCACGCATCTTTTCCCCATTTCCCCTTCTTTCTGCCCCCCCCCCCCCCCTGCCACTCGATTGAGGGACACGTACATGTATCTCTGCGACCCCGAACTTTGACACTGAACAATTATGATAACGAATTAAACTCACATTAAATCGAAGTCAATATCAAAGCTAAAGGCACAAGGCAGGAGGCTGAGATAATTTAATATTAAGGGTTTTGGAGGTTGGGGCCAATAAAGAAATGGTAAATATTATGGCGGTGACTGTAAGGTCTTTGTTTAAAATGATGCTGATTGTATTAGAAGCTTAAGGCCAATAATGAAACCTGAATAAAAAAAAGGTAAAGCTTTAGAATACTTCATTTAACATATCGGTATGCCTGTATGACAACGACTAAAATATTTTACGAAACCTGAAAACAGCGGCATCACATAAATGTAATGAAACCTGTATATATTATTAACCCCAGGACAATTACCCCGGCCAATTACCAGCGGGCCAATTACCCCCCCCCCCCCCCCCCCAAGGACAATTACCCCCTAAAAAGTATTCCGTTTGATAATCATCCCTACACCTCATCGAGGGCAATTGTCCTGAGGTCAATAATTACACCTACATGTACCCCCTGGGAAAAAAATCTGCTTTGAATAAAAACCAACTTATTAACAGGGTTGACTTCCCCTTTAATGAACAGGGATAATTTTTGGGGGTGGTAATTAGCCTCGGGATGGATGACCTTGTCATGGGAGGGGATGTAATTGTCCTGGGGTAATATACCTAGGGTTATCGTCCTTGGGGTAGTTTTCCGGGGGTAGTTATCCGGGGGTGATTATCCAAGGGGTAATTGTCCTGATACGGATTATGTTCTGTCTTCAATATTTTTCTTTTATAATTTTATATCTGCAAACATTCTCTTAAAGTTTTTTTTAAAAAGGACACCATAGACATGTTCCAATTACAGATGCCCATAAAAGAGGTTTTGACAAATTAAACCCACATTATGTGACCGTTGTATACAGGTGAAAGTTAAGAATGCTGACTTGTATAATGCATGCCTATGACTCTATGAGTATGGTGAATACATATTATCCCTTGAATGAGTTTATTTTAACGTTCTGAAATAAACAACAGTTACATCCAAATTGCAAATTGCATTCCTACTATATACATTTTGAAGTTTTCCCACTTTGTAACTGTTTCCTCGTCGTAGACGTAATAACAATTAGCGAGATTATACCGAGAGTTGTGAACATTATAACTCAAGGAAGTTGATCGATGTTTCAGCATTTCGTAACCGTTATTGCTCTGATATGTAGGCACTATATTTCTTTGTACCAGTCCCGTGGCATAATGAACAGACATTAATCATAATTTCAATAACCTGTGAGAAGAAAAAAATCTCATCAAACCCCGATTATTATTCTACGTCAGCCGTAGACAGCTGAATAAGTAGTCACATGATAAAAATGGCCTGTACCTGCCTGTACCTACCTGTACGAAGTGAATGAAAACAGTCTGGTTCTACCGCTCATGTAGTATCCAAATTAACTCCATCCTTCATCAGAAAGTACCAGCTAGCAACAGATTCCAAACAATGAAACAAAACTTCAATCAACACAAAAAGTTGGAGAGTTTTTTCCATAAAATATCAGCCATCTAAAAATAAATCAGAGTTACTTTGCAGATCCGCCGTACGCCACAGGAATGTAAGTTTGGTTCGGTAGAGCAATACAGTTTAGCACGCATGCAATATGTTCCTATGTCCTTATCCGTATTCGTCCCTCTCTCTCCCTCTCTCTCCTTTTCTCTCTTCTTTGCTGCCATTTATAGATGTGTGTTTTGCACTGAACGGGGGCCCCAACTTGTGTTCGCTCAGCTGAAAAGCTTTGAGTCACTTTATTTTCTTTCTCCCTCTCTCCTATTCTTCTGGTTGCTCGCTAACCCCCGAAAAAGAAGAATAGAGAAGGTGGGAGTGCTATTCAGGAGCCCACTCCGATCCTATTGTGATGCAAATCAAATTTTCAATGGGATTCCGTGAGGAAGAGAATAAAGGGTTTGATCAACGTTTAGCGCACTGCCCTCAAAATGCCAAAAGCGAGTTTGGTGTGCAAGTTCGTCTGGGCGCCGAAAAATATCACATACATTGCACAAAATCCATGAGCCCCTGTATCGGACATGACATTCAAAACATGTGCTTGTGTGTGCTGTTTAAGACAGTTTTAAACAAAATTACGAGTCATAAGGCATATTTCAGTTCCGTTGAGCCATTCATGAGGTGTGGAATAATGATTGGATGTTTGATTTTGGCTAGTGAACAATTGCCCTTTTGAGACTTTGCGGAAATCGTTTTGAATAGGCCATTTTCGTAATGTAATCAAATTTGATGCATTAATCTTTTTCAAGTGCCTTGTTGCAAATTATGTCACTCACATGTTACGAATAATCGTTTTTCGATAGTGAGAGTGATAATTGCATGCATGATGTGTTGTTGTAAGATAGGACACGCCATGTTTGTCCTACCTAGCAACGATAATGATGTGTGCAATTCGCCTTCTGCCTATTGTAATACATTTTTTTATAACCGGTAAATGGCAGAAATTATAACATGGCACCTAACACAAATTTATGCATTGAATTTGAATCCATGACGAAAGGAGCTATTTCTTTGTTTTTTAGTCCACGCTTGAATTGATGACTATAGTTCTGAAAGTCGTTGACGGTACTCTTGGTTTTGGGGATCAAATAATAGATCGCGCCATTAAAGGATGCTTTTAGTTTGGGGTCTGCTCGCTATTCGCAAGGACCGCTATTCATACTGGATCGCTATTCATTTTGGCGCACGTTATGGATAGCGGTCCTTATGAATAGCGGTCCTTATGGATATCATTATCGAGTTTGACCCTTTGGTTTAATTAGTCTATTAATGGTTGTTATTATATTATCATTATCAACCTCGTAAATTGGATACGAGAAATTATGCTGACATTTCCAAGTAGTACCGTTGTTTTAATATAAAGCTTGTATAACATAGTAAAGGAGCTATTGATAAGTCTGCATACATTAATCTTTCAGATGTAATGACTAAGGCATGTGAAAGACAAATAGTTTGAAGCGTTTATATTTATAGTTATCTCCTGGCACTATGAATATGGCGGACAAAGAAAGCGGACAAAATATACAGTTCCTCAGGTAGACAAAGGAACATCCCTTCACTGCTATTATGTAAAAATGTGTAGGACAGGTGTCACATGCATATTCACCTGTTCTACAAATTTTTACATAATAGCAGTGAAGGGATGTTCCTTTGTCTACCTGAGGAACTGTATATTTTGTCCGCTTTCTTTGTCCGTCATATTCATAGTGTGGCTTGCCTGTAATGTTCTAAAAGAGACACAACCTGGGTCTAATGATATTCATGCTTCCTAATTAATCACTCATAGCAAGCACAAGTGTGACCTTGATTATTAATTTAAAATTATTTGAATTTGACTATGGGATTGAGACATGTAGACTGACATCATCTCATCAGGCACAACGTCAGACTATTACTTTACATTTACCCCCCGCTTATACAAACGTATCTGCTCATCCAATATGCACCGGCTAGGTTACTTTTATGATTACGTCATCAAATCAAATCAAATAGACAGTCTACTCTTAATACCTAATCAAGTCATTATATAATGTGAACGACACACCTCCAGTTTAAACACCTTTACGGCGTCTTTTGGAGGAATCCTACCAAGACAAATGTCCTATAACAATGTGATATGACCCTGTCGTAGTTTTTTTTAAACCCCTTTACATAAAAATAGGGAAAGGTGAGCCCGACAAAAATGTCGAAAATATGATTTTGTTGACCATGTCATCATTGGTTAGAGCGTAAAAAAGTCAAAAGTTGTGTGAACTTGCATGATAACTTAATCTGTGGTAAATATTATAATATTTATGAACGTTGACGACCCAACCTCCCTTCAAAATATATTTTTTGATCATAATATTTTGTGGCGCATCGATACCGTGTAATATGGAGAGATGATTCCCTTTAATAAAGAACCCACATAACAATAACAAACAATATCAAATCTGACTTTGTTCATGTTATTTCAGGTTGACTACCCATCCATTGCTGGGTCGTGGGAAACGATTGATCGCAGGTAGTGGAGGCGTTAAGGAGAGAGAGAGAGAGAGAGAAAGAGAGAGAGAGAGAGAGAGAGAAAGAGAGAGAGAAAGAGAGAGAGAGAAAGAGAGAGAAAGGGGATGGAGGGAGAGAGAGAGAGAGAGATAAAGAGAGAAAGATAAAGAGAGATAGAGAGAGAGAGAGAGAAAGAGAGAGGGAGAGAAAGAGAGAGAGAGAGATAGAGAGAGAGAGAGAGAGAGAGAGAGAGAGAGAGAGAGAGAGGGGCTGTTTACAAAAAGAACAGCATATATTTTGTAATTCAATGGCAACGTCAATTTTGTGGTATTTTTTTTCTTCCGTCCGTGATGCTATTTATTATCATATTTATTATCAGAATCATTATTATATTCCTTATCATACTTGTTGTCTTTATCATTATAAGTGTTATTAGTATTATTATCATTATCATTATCATTATAAGTAGTAGTAGTAGTAGTAGTAGTAGTAGTAGTAGTAGTAGTAGTAGTAGTAGTAGTAGTAGTAGTAGTAGTAATAGTAGTAATAGTAGTAGTAGTAGTAAAAGAAGCAGTAGCAGTTGTAGAAGAAGTAGTGACAGAAGTAGTAGTACGTAGTAAGGCCATCGATGTGTCCTATTTTGATTTGCTATAAAAGCATTTCATGTATATATATTTACAAACGAAAGTTGATAATATGAGTAGGTCACTTCCGCGATTGAGAGCATTGCGAAAGTGACCTATTGGTATCTCATATTATTATGTGATTCATTGTAATTCATGTTCATTTTAGTTTTTAAATGCCAGACATGAAGATCTAAATAAAATCCATTTATCTATCTACCTATCTATCTTGTAAATCCTGAAGTAAATCATTCTCTATCGTCTATGGCCAATTTATAATTTTAGACACTAAAAACATAAATAATAAATGAAAGTACGTAGTTATTGTCTTCATTATTGTAATACTTGGTGTTTGCCCAGAAATTTATAAACGAGAGGAGGGAATCCTATCCAAATGGAGAGGGGGAGGCTCAAGCACCTGGGCAACCCCACATCTATCTATCAGGTTATAGTTCATCCAGACGTTGGACAAAGCCCTCCTCATAACATTTCCATTCTCTTCTGTCTCTAGCTATCCTAGTCCAAGCGGCCGTTCCCATGTATGATGTTAGGTCATCTCTCCATCTTCTCTTCTGCCTTCCTCTTCTTCTCTTCCCCATCCTTGGTTGCCATTCTGTTAAGCAATTTGTCCATCTATTGTCCTGAAGTCTTGCTACAAACTTTGATTCCCTGACTTTCTCCATGATGTCTTTAACCTTTGTTTTCTGGCGTATGACTTTGTGATTGATTTTGTCTCGCAGAGATAAATGTTTCTTTCCATAGCTCGTTGAGTTGTCACAAGCTTCTCTTCTAGATCCTTTGTCAGTGACAATGTTTCTGATCCATATGTCATAGTTGTTGGAATGCATTGGTTGAACATTCTTCTTCTTAGTGACATGGGTATGTTTTTTGTACGACCTATTGTAATTTAAGTTTTAGATTTTAAGTTAAGATATTTTTCGGTCTTGTTTCATAGGCCTTCAAACAGGGGAGGGATGTACGCCTGATTTCCCCTATATGCTAGATATACCGCATTTAATTAAGTCCCAACTTTTTCTCCTTTGCATCCTCCTCACGCTTTTTCCTTAATTTTCTTCTTTCTTATCCATATCGCGTTTTACAATTTCCTTCTAATTCTGTCTCTCTCCCTCTTTTTATATTCCTTACTTCTTCTCCTTTTCTCTTATCATGCCATTTGCTCCTTCTTCCTTTTCTGCTTCACCTTCTTTTCCCCTCTTCCTCCCATTTCTCCTCTCCCCCTCCTCCTCCTCCTCCTCCTTGTTCTTCTTCTCCTTCTTCCTCTTCGTCTCCTCCTACTTCTTATTCTTCTTATTATTATTTGTTGTCTTTTTCCCCATCCTTCTGCTTCTTTTTCTTCTTGTTCTTGTTCTTCTTATTATTCTTATTCTGTGACCTCCTTCTCCGCTCTCTTTAATTCTTACTCTCCTATTTTCTTCTTTTCGAATATGAATATAAAGAAAACGAATACTAACGACAGCAATTCAAAATATAATTCCAGATATAATATCGAATATTCACTGTCATCACCGTAATACATGGTAAACATTTTACATTGAAACAAGGCAATTCACAAACGAGTAAAAGGACTTGAAGCACTTAACACCATATAGGGTATAACAAATTACATTTAAAATTATGGTAGATAGAGAGAAACTTGACTGAGAAATAAAATGAAAGACTGATGTCACAATCTTTTAAAAAATGTGATTTTGTAGTTTTTATATAAGATATCAAGGTTTAACAAACCCACCATGCATACGCAGAGAAAGAAATAAAACAAACTGACACGTTTTTAATGAAAAGATAATTTCGTATAGTTTTTACAATTGTATGATGATATATGTATGGTATGAATACATCAGTCATTACTGAACTTCAGTAGTGAAACATCTTTTGAACGCCATATGCATATTCATCTACTCCGTATGTTCTTTTTTCATACTGAAAAGTTAAACTTATAAATGAACACAATCTTATTACAAACATGAAACAACACGTTATGAAACAACTCTTTTGAGAAGCCAAACACAAAAAGAGAATCTTATTACAAACCAATATACAAATAAAACAAGAATATTATGAGATGCTTTGAGTATTTCAGACATATATGAGCATAGATATCACGGCAAGACCTTTTTCTATCTTCAACCAACTAATTAGAAGACTATTAACATTCTAAAAAGTAATAAGGTAACAGAAGAAAAAAACGAAATGTATACTTCAGGAGAAATCTGGTTGACGACGCATTACGCATTCTGAAAGTTGTGCCCCCCCCCCCGTGCTAAAACGATAAACGAAATGACTACATATAAAGACATAACATCAATATTGAAGTTGCATCCACAAAAATATATAATTATGATAATAACAGGTCTATACCAAACATATCGAATCACCAGTATTTTTTAATATCTTTATGATCACAATGAAATAATATATTTCCATGGTTTATGAAATCATAATATTAGCATGTAAGTGAAAATCATTTCTGCACAATTTCTAAATATACAGCAAGTAACCGATCAAGTTGCTTTGCACTAAGAACGAAATTGTATGGAATATTCACAAAACTTTAGGCTATCTGTGTATCCGACCAACTTTGGACAATTTTCAGCTCAACTCTGGTAAATAAATATTTTGCTCACTTTGCTGCAAATATTGTCATATTTTGATTATAATCAGGGGAGTTTATCCGACTTTGACATAAATCCACACAAAGTTGTCTGACAAATAATTATACTCGTATTTTTTTTTTTACCCATTACTTTAAAAAAAACAGAGTTCAGAATATGATGCTGGTGATCGGATGCAATAACATTTTTCCGCACTCCTCTCAATTTGGAGCATTCGAACCATTATATTAGCCATCTTAAAAGCTAGTACATGCTCATCCCCAACGATAATGGCGTGGAGAGTAGCAATGTAGCCTGTGGGCAAATGTCGAGACGAAGGATCGTAGTGACGGCCCTCGTATCCCTAGCCGATTGATCAAACCACTCTGCTACGACACCTCTAATCGTGATAATATTAAAGTAGACTTATTTTGTTTTAAGATCTGCTTTGCCATTCTGCTTCCCGAAACCCCAAGTCGAGGGATTGTTGAAAGAAAATGCAGAAACTTTTCCAAAGAGTATATTCGGTGGGGCTATTTCATCATCGTCATCGTCATCGTCCAACTTGATGTCAGTCCAGGGAGCTGGCTGAACGTCACTCTCTGTATCCTCGCTCTCGAGTTCATCCAAATCGCTGATGTCATTGGCATCGAAGGCGGCGTTGTTGAATTCGAACGAACTGCCGCTGTTGTATAGCGGCGATGGGGGCGGTAAGGCAGGTGGGTTGTTTTCCTTCATGCGTTTCTCTAAGGCAGAGAGACTGGGTCGGTTGTAGGTCGAGTCTCGCTTCTGATATCGACTCGCTGTGGCACTAGGTGCGTCACCGTTGGTGCCGTTGTCGTTGACCACGTGGCCCCTGACGTCGGGTACTGACCTTGAGCCTCGGAGGGTAGAACCCGACCTCGATCGCGTCTCGTCTTCGTCGGCACCGATTTGTATCAGTCGTTTGATCACTGATTGGCAGGAAAGAAATAAGAGTAGTGAAAGTCATTGATATTTCTTGTGGAAATTAATCTATTTTATCAAGAAAGTAGCTCTGATCATTGAATAAAAAAAAAGATGGACTGAGAAGTTGCCTACAAAAAGTTTCTGTTAAATGAAGATCTCTTTTAGTGATGCGGGACTAAAATATATGATAAAAGAAGGCTTGATACCAAATGAGATAATCACAACAAATCGTCATCACTACTAACCACGATAAATTCGTCACACGCTGAAACTCAATTGTTACAATTCCTGTAGCATCATATCAGCGTGCGATACCATTTTAAATTAAACCTTCTACTTACAAATACTTGTCACCAATCTACACCATCACTAATCACCGCCACTCGTCTTCACTACCACTCGTCACTATCACTCATCACTTTAACTCGTCACCATCACCCGTCGTCATCACTCACCATCATAAATCGTCACCATCCCTCCTTACCATAAATCGTCACCATCACTCCTCACCACTCCGCACCACCACTCGTCACCATCACTCGTCACCACCAATCGACACCACCACTAGTCACTATCACTCGTCACCACCAATCGACACAACCACTCGTCACCATCACTTGGCACCATCACTCGTCACCATCACTTGGCACCACCACTCGTCACCATCACTCGTCACCACCAATCAACACCACCACTCGTCACTATCACTCGTCACCACCAATCGACACCACCACTCGTCACTATCACTCGGCACCACTCGTCATCATCACTCGTCACCACCAATCGACACTACCACTCGTCACCATCACTCGTCACCACCAATCGACACCACCACTCATCACTATCACTCGGCACCACTCGTCACCATCACTCGGCACCACCACTCGTCACCACCAATCGACACCACCATTCGTCACTATCACTCGTCACCACCAATCGACACCACCACTCGTCACTATCAATCGGCACCACTCGTCACCATCACTCGTCACCACCAATCGACACCACCACTCGTCACCATCACTCGTCACCATCACTCGTCACCATCACTCGGCACCATCACTCGGCACCAAAACTCGTCACCATCACTCGTCACCACCACTCGGCACTACTACTCGGCACCATCACTCGGCACCATCACTCGGCACCACCACTCGGCACCAAAACTCGTCACCATCACTCGTCATCATCACTCGTCAACATCACTGCCACTCAACACAACCATTCGTTGCCACCCTTCTTCACGTCACTCTTACCATAACTCATCACCATAACTCGTCGCCACCACTCGTCACCATCAATTGTCACTGTCACACATCACCATCTCTCATCAACATAATTCGTTACCATCACTCTTCACCGTCACTCGTCACCATTCCTCGGCACTTCCACTCGTCATCTTCACTTGTCACTTCCACTCGTCACCATCACTCGTCACAATCACTTGATACCAGTACTATTCACCATCACTGGTCACCATCACTTTCATTATCATAATCATAATTTACTGGTTACCACCGTCATCCCCATATATCCTTCCAATTACCACCAGACAAATTAATTCACACCTTGTGCATCGACTGCGTCTCCAAATCGGACTTCTTTCGCAACCTTATCAGCTAGTTTATTCTTGAGCTTCTTAAACTGTGACTCTTTGCCTGGTCGTGGTCCAAGGGCTAAAGAAACTTCCAAATCAGAGTGGTCGGGGATGTTGAGTACCGTCGTATTGAGTTCACCTGCATAATGACCAAGATAAGGATAACCTTGAAACATTTATTGAGCTCTAGTAAGGAAAATAATATTCTAATCAAATTACAGCTTATTGTATGAATAGCCACCTTTCGTTTCTGTTAGATTTTCTTCATTACATGCACGATTATCAATAACTTAATTGAAAATATAGTAGGTATTAAAATGAAGCGGTATGAAGAGGTGCCAAGTCTGCAGAAACTTAGTGCAGAGGATCACAGCCAGACAATGAACATTTTGAGAACAGTTGTGTAGACAAAATGGGGTAGAAGAGATGAGTTCGTCAGGAAGAAGAAAAGGAGTGGACAAAGAAATATCCTCACATGATTACTACGTGATGCATTAAAAAGCTGCGTGGAAATGCAAGATTAGGACAAGGTGGTAAGACAGTGTCTTCAACTTTCATGACAAGGCACATGATGAGGAAAATAAAAATATTTTCGTCTGGTGCCAATTTCAAATTAAGTTAATATGTCTATGTAATGACAAAACATATATCATCTCATATAAAGCATAACTGAATTTTAGTTTGAAGAAATATTCGCATCCTTACCAAAGTTGACAGCATTTCCTTGGAGGTATACTTCTTCCTCCAGTTGTTGCAAGTCGATTGGTCCCGTTGATAGGTCGATTCCAACGACATTTAGGACGATGTCCCTGTTACGGTGGTCGTTTGGCAGTTTGACCTTATGCGGGAGCTGGTAGTTACGTACTAACTCGGTGAGTTGCATTCGTTTTAATTTCCTGACTGAAATCATGATGGAAAAGTGAAAAGAAAAATACATGAAGATTATTAAAAGTATATATATCCTGACAATCTGGAGTGCAGTATCTCAGATATGTTCTTAAATTGTAATTAGTCAGTTGTCATTGTACATGTTGTTTTTAACATAATATTTAAATCTGCGGGATTCGACAGATGAGAAGGAAGAAGCAAATTTATTTTCAAAGTATATTCATTTTACATATGTGACACTTCGTCATTTATATTTGATCATATGATTGGCCCAGATTTGTTCTTTGATGTCACGTCGAAGTCCCAGGGAAACGACAAATGTATTCCGTCTAGCTTGTCTGTCGACCTTTCTTTTTATCACTATATCCATTCATTCATCTATGTATCTATATCTCTCTGTATCTGTCTATCTATCTATCTATTTATCTATCTATCCATCTATCAAACTATCTGTATTCATATTTTATCTTTCCATCTATCCAGCTATATATATACAATTGTATCTTTGTATGTATGTATCTATTTGTATATCCATCTACTTGTCTATCTACTTATATATCCATCTACTTGTCTATCTACTTGTCTGTCCATCTACTTGTCCATCTACTTATCTGTCCATCTACTTGCCTATCTACTTATCTGTCCATCTACTTATTTATCCATCTACTTGTATATCCATCTACTTGTCTATCTACTTATCTATCCATCTACTTATTTATCCATCTACTTGTCTGTCCATCTACTTGTCTATCTACTTATCTGTCCATCTACTTGTCCATCTACTTATCTGTCCATCTAATTGTCTATCTACTTATCTGTCCATCTACTTATTTATCCATCTACTTGTATATCCATCTACTTGTCTATCTACTTATATTAGATAGCTTAGACAGATACCGAGATGTGATTGGTCCAGAGCTCGTCACGTGATATCAATTGCGAGGATCCAAATTGTTATATTTTCCTGGCCGGTCACTTTTCAGTGTTATATTTTACCGGCTGGTGAAATGAATATATTTTTAATCAATGCATGTCGCCCTCTTGAGGACTGTATGTCACCAATTACACACATTACACCATTATCGAGGGTCATTTTTTTTTTTCAATATTTTTTTTCATGAATTTTTTTTTTTCCCCAGAATTTTTTTTTTCCACATTTTTTTTCCAAAAAAAATCCTTTTTTGGGTAAATTTTTTTTGTTTCCCGAAAAATGCTTTTTGGGGTAAGAATTTTTTTTTTTTTTTTTTTTTTTTGTAAGGTAATCTCGACAGATTATTCTTCAGTAATTTTGATTGTCCCCGAAAAAAAAAAAAAAAAAATTCGGGCAAAAAAAAATATGGAACCCCCCCCCCCCCCCCCACAAAAAAAAACAAGGCTATCTAATATAACAGTTATTGACTGGCAGGGGGTATATAACATTCTTTGGACCTGAAGGGAGTTATATTTTCCCTCGTGACCATATTTTCCCTCAGCGCTGCGCGCTTCGGGAAAATATAATCACTTGGGAAATATAACTCCCTTCAGCGGTCCAAATAATGTTATATTACACCCCCTGCCAGTCAATAACTGTATAATATATCCATCTACTTGTCCATCTACTTATATATCCATCTACTTGTCTATCTACTTGTCTGTCCATCTACTTGTCCATCTACTTGCCTATCTACTTATCTGTCCATCTACTTATTTATCCATCTACTTGTATATCCATCTACTTGTCTATCTACTTATCTATCCATCTACTTATTTATCCATCTACTTGTCTGTCCATCTACTTGTCTATCTACTTATCTGTCCATCTACTTGTCCATCTACTTATCTGTCCATCTACTTGCCTATCTACTTATCTGTCCATCTACTTGTATATCCATCTACTTGTCCATCTACTTATCTGTCCATCTACTTGCCTATCTACTTATCTGTCCATCTACTTATTTATCCATCTACTTGTATATCCATCTACTTGTCTATCTACTTATCTATCCATCTACTTATTTATCCATCTACTTGTCTGTCCATCTACTTGTCTATCTACTTATCTGTCCATCTACTTGTCCATCTACTTATCTGTCCATCTAATTGTCTATCTACTTATCTGTCCATCTACTTATTTATCCATCTACTTGTATATCCATCTACTTGTCTATCTACTTATTTATCCATCTACTTGTATATCCATCTACTTGTCTATCTACTTATCTATCCATCTCTACTTCGTTACTTACATGTTCTCCTGATGGACCCAGATTTGTTTTTTGGCATCACTTCAAAATCCAAAGGGAATGATAAGGGTATGCTGATCAGCCTGTCTTTAGCATCTTTGGCGACGACACGGTTCTGTGTGTGAATACGCGCTATTCTAATCACCTGTTTAAAGAAACCAAAGAAGACAAAACAATAATGAGCAATATGTAATATACGATAATGATATGATATATGATGATGTTATGCTGATTAACATATATCAAAGAGGCATTGATGATATATATAGTACATTTCCAGGAAAGTTATTCCTGATGAAAACGAATAGCAGTGTGATTTCTAATCATCAATCTAGTTGAGCCAAGTGAGCGTTCAATATTTTGAAAATTAATTAAAGATTTTTCTACTCTGTTAAGCCGTTAAAGCCCCAGATTGCTTTGGAAAGTGATATGTACCTTTAAAAACCAAACTAGTTGGTCTGGAGAATGATAACATTTCGACAGTCGACCGTGCATATTTTCTTTTTTGTGCATATTATATATTTGATAAAATTCAAACCATCAGGAACTGTGCACACAGAAAATCGGAAAAGGAAAGAAAGGCGAATGTGAAAGGAAGAAAGAAAGACGGGCAGAAATACAGACAGATGGAGTGTTAGTCGGGGAGACATATCGGCGAGAAAGATGGAAAGAAAGAGATAAAGATCTAGGCCTGGGGGGGGGTAGTGGAGGCACTGGAGTGTACATTTCATTTTTCAGATTTCTTTTCAACACGAAGACATTTGCCCGTGTCGATGGCTGTTCTAAATCAGTTTCTATAGATAAATAGAAGTACATTTGAAAAGGACATTGTATTTGAATCTTGAATCAGTTCCCGCTGTGTCAGTGATCTACATGAGCCAAAAAGAAGAGGAGTGAGGTGGAGATAGACATAAATACATGTGAATTTGGGCACGTAATTTTTTTCAAGGATTAGATCTTTATCACCAATTCATTTTGGCATATTGTCATTCACTGGTAAACAGGTTAATGTATCTTTAAACAATAAAAGTGATTAATAAGAGGGTGCATGTAACCTCTTTTCCCTTTCTTCTACAATGTTGACTAACAATAATCCATTCTAAGCAATATCGTATCCACAGCGTACCTCGTTAAAATTCACTCATCTCCACAAATTGACATGTATATGAAATTGGAAATGAAACACTTCATAAATCAAGATGGCTTGAAAAGACTACCAAACTTTAATTCAGATGTCAATTATTACAAGTTAATACGAAACATGAATTAGTTTCTTAAAGTCTACAATTAAGTCAATCGAAACAATCCACCATTTACCCAGGGAACGCAAAACGAGTAGGGACATAATTGAAACGTCTTCACGTTCACACAACGTTTTGCGATCGTTTTAAGCGCGTTTTGTGCTTCCAGGGTAACAACCATTATAAAGGTGTTAGATGCTTCGACCGGATCTTCAAATCATGGTTGATAAAAGTACATAAGATGATAAAATATTAACGGACAGGTCTGACCTACTCGGTAACCGGCAGGGTACAAACAAATCTACATTTTGTTGGGTTTTTTTATTTTAAGGGGGGGGGAGAGAGAGAGAGAAGCCTATATTTATTTTTTATTTTGTATACTGTTATCCACATTATATATTTTAAAAAGAGAGAAAAAAGAGAAAGAAAGAAATTAATATTAAAAAGAAAGGCGTTGGAGATTATAGTCAGTTCTTGACTGATTGCCATTACAACAACAACAACAACAACAACAACAACCATACCAACCTGTCCCTGACTAAGTGAATCTTCTTCCCTAAGCGAACAGTGTCCTTGTCTAACCATGGCAATGATGGGCATCTTAAGGTATGACATCAACTCCCTCATGTTATACGTCTCCGGCGACCACGACACCGATCGTGCGATGTCCATGACGACGTCGAATGATCAAATCAAGAATACCTCGCGTTTTAAAAGGGCGTTGCTCAAGCCACTTGAGATAATAATTGGGCAAATGCCTTTTTTCGCTGGAAATTCTGAGCCCACCCAGAAATGGATGTTTGATGCCACAGACAATGATCCTAGTTAACGATCTATTAATCAGTGTTTGACAGTTTGCAATCGCTTTACTACTACCTATTACATTATTCAATGTGTCTTTTATCGCGTAAGAGTCCCGGGTGAAGTGCATGTGAAACGTAAAAGACGCAAATACGACTTCATTCTTGGTGTTGCTTTTCCAATTCCAGTATTGATCTGTGAAAGAAGAGAACAATTATGAAAATGTCAATATTCTGTAACGAACAAATATGTACTTAATAATGTGAAGCTTTTGAAAACCAATCACGATTTTATTTTAGATACACGATTGTTTTGATATACAATATACTAAGTTCAACTTAGGCCTTCTAGGAAGAAGAATTCTTGGAGTAACCCCAAATAAGAACTGTAGGCCTATCAAATTCTTTTGAACTTTACTGTATCACTGGGCTATATTAACATAATATTCTTATCTAAAGTGCAACAATCTCGAGGCCCCCTTACAGTTTAATGTTAAAAAGTCTATATAATTTGTGGAAGTCCTTCTCAGGGGCCAGTGTGACCTTCCAAAACACAAATCCTAACTATTAAATATAGGCTTTGACCGATATGCTTTCATCTACCCTTCCATAATTGTTCAGGATTTCGTCGTTTATTCACTCTTTGATTCGTCAAAATCGACCCATCATATTTGTTCATTTCCTGTAAGAATGTCGGAATAATCCAACAAAATTCCATTCATTATTCTCCTGCGCCCACCTGTAGCACAAAGTACCCAACTGATCTCAATGGCAAATATTCATACTGAAATATGTATTAAAATTATTTTATCTGTGTTTCTTTTCTTTTCTATGCAGCATTCATCCTCTGTTAAATACTCTAAACAGTGTATGTACATTTGATAGAGGGCAGAGGTCATCCAACTATAGAAATGTGAATTTTTAGGGTGTGTGCCTTGTGTCTTGTTTGTGTGAAAGGATACCGCAGTCGGGTATACAAATTTGTCTCTGTGCATGTGGAACTGTGAATATTTAATAACGGCATAACTTAGTCATCGGAGCGTTTCGTAGTTCTATTGACACGGGAATTGAAGAAAAAATAGTGAATAGGTGAATTCAATAAAGTTTTGAAAAGAATATGAGGGTTCACTGCTGTGGAGGTGTAATACTTGGGGCGATTCTGGGTAACATGCCAATGCAGTGGTTTGGCAATGTAAATTGCATTGCAATGCAACGCTGATTTTGTAATTTTTATAGGAAGTCTACATGAGAGATTAATTTTCGGCAAATGTATTACGTTTTTTTCTTCTTTCAACTAGAGTACAACAGGAGATAATCTAAATACCTCATGGTAGTGAAAGAAGATTTTCAACATGTCTTTAATAACTTGCTGTAAATGAAGAAATCCACTTTAAGCTTTAAACGTGAGACATATAACAGGTGTGGTCAGAATTCCGTGCATGTATTTTCTTTTTCACACTCGCCAGAAACAATACACGATAAGATCTGTCATTATGATTTGATAATATAATGTTTACCTATGAGTCTATGCAGTCTAGGTAGCATATGTAGTCTATGTAGAATATAAGTCCAATGTAAAACCTTATCTATTCCTTTAAGTCTAATGTAAAACTATAAGACGAATTAATATCAGGCGCAAGATTCCACTTTAAAAAATTCTTTCTCGCTGGTAGAATGTGATACAAAATCTTAAAGTTAATTTTTGTCAGCTTATTATCATTAATGTTAATTAAATTTCTTTTAAAACAATTTGGCCAATTGATATCTTTATCTAAGAGCTTTTCCCCCAAATAGACGACAGCTAGCAACCCTATCATCTACATGTAGGCGTAGCATGGCATAGCATTGTTTACTAGTTAACTCGTACAGTTTTTTATTCTACCTCTATTAAGAATTCTTTGAATTTGTAAATTTGTTCTTTCCAATAGAGAGTTATTGCCTTTGGTATGCAAATGTTTTGGAATCGCTTTTTAAAGTTTTGCAAGGTCAAACAATACATTACTTTTCCTCTGCTTTAATACATACCCAATTTGAGCACTACTTCTAAAGGTACCGTTTCTAAAAATGGCGTTTACATACACAATGCCGCCACTTTGAAACCAGTTCTTAAAAAACACCAATTTCTTTCTGAAAATAAAGTTCGGATTAAACCATAATATTTCCGATTAGGCATTTTAAACTTTATTCCCTTTTACCTTATACCATGCTAGTAAGATTGCACAATAAAAACATTGGCAATCTTGATACACAATAATGTAATATATAAATACAAATCTTTAAAAACCGTCTGAAAGTCTGTCTAAAATGAAGGCCTTCACAAACAAGTTATGTATCACCATATTAATAGTGATTCGAATATTCATAAAAACATAAATTTACATCGTTACTTTCGTCCAAGTAAATACTGAGAAACTGATATAAAGCATTTCTCAAAAAGTTATTTAAATGAAGTTCTAAAAGAATGATATAGCGAAAAATTACTTGAACACGATTCATACTATCACCATTATGTGATCTACAATTTGGTAAATAAATGAGTGTAGGATTGCTTTTTGACGCTGCATTTCCATTCACTGAGTTGCTTGCAACCATATACAGTCACAATGTTCATGACATTATTTGTTTATGAAGGCCTTCATCTTCATTCAAAAGTACAACACCCATCATCTAAATAAAACATCAAAATTGTGTGAATTGTATTAGTAAATTCGGGGCATTGTCAACGAGAAACGTTCAATTATGAGCCGAATATTTAAAATTCCTCTTCATTGTATTGCACTCAGAATAGTGCAACAATAAGAACAAAAATACCTTATAACAAATACATGAAATCACCGACCATTCAACTTTATGTATTTACCTTATGGAATAAGCGGAGGTTTAACTGAAATACTTTACAGCGACTTGTAACTTGTGTTCCTGGTTTTTTAAATTAAAAAAGGACATCATTTTCAGTTTGAGGTCCTGGCTCAGACAGACACATTGGTGTTTTTGTTTGTTCGTTGGTCTGGTTTTTTGTTTGATTGTTTGTTTGGGTGTTGATGTTTTTCTTTCTTTTTTTCTTGGGGGGGGGGGTTACTTTAATAAATGTACTTGCATGAAGAAGTTCCGAAATACTACAAACTAATACCCCAGTTTATGGCTGTCAACGTAGTCTAAGAACATATGTCCGTTTGCTTCATTTGCTCACTACATTGCATGCCAATACATTATGACCAGAATCATTATCCACCGACAAAAAAAAAATTAAAAGATTATTCATGAATACAAATGATCAAAAGTGGGGGATATAGGCCTAGCAATGCTTTTTGCAGTAATAAATGTTATATATCAGGGACTTTGGGGCGAGAAATGGAGAGTTAATATTCAGGTATGAGTGCACAGCCCCCTGGGTGAAACTCTACCCCTATACGACCATGTGAGCACCATGAAGTTGACAAACAATAATTATGACTGTATCAGTCAAATCACACGTTGAGCACGTTTGATAATAATTCAAAAAGAGTATAGTAAGCATATACATGCAAACACTATTCGTGGTCAGGACCTGGGTGTGGTCCCATTTATGATACATAAGGATTGGAATATGTTATTGTTCCAGTCACAAAATATTATAAAAACACATTTGATCCATATCCTGTTCTTTGATTTCGTACATTCATATTGATAAAATAAATTTCAGGAAATGTGCTCAGTGAAATATTTTCGAAAAGATGAAATAATTGATATATATAATATATGTACATTTCAGAATTCTATAATTATGTAGATGTCAATAGTCTGTAACTGAAGAAATGTTGGTTAATTTCCCAAATCGAGGTTTTTGTGTTAGACCAAGCTGCATCAAATAAGCAACAGTTAAGGCACTATTCTGTTCTTTCATGGTTACCCAATTTAATTATAATTCACAACTTTAGAACAGCGTTGATCATCAATATACAACATGTGATAAAAAGGTGGGTTAATTGAATGATATCAAATTTATTGAAATGGGATAACTAAAACCAGTGCAGAAACAGAGCAAAGAAGCCAATGTCAAATTTGGGTGAAAACACCAACGGGTCTATAAATGACAACATTAGAGAAAGCTAAATACTCACATCAAATCTAATAAATGAATAGGATCGTTTGAACGGGTGGTTATCATCAACTGTTGTTATATATCATATTAACATCACTGTCAAATGCGTTGAAAGCTTAGATTTATTATCCACTTAATTTAATTTATAGAATCCGCAATCAAGAAAAATTGCACTTTGGAGTCAGCTAAAATGGTTTTCCTCAGTTAGTTGTGTTCGCCCATCCATAGAAACATTACATTTACAATTTTATTCGCATGCACCTATGATTGATCTTCTCATATTCCTGTTTTGCAGAATTTTATGTTGATATCCACTCTTCTATTGAACCACGTTGGTTATGGGTACGGGACGCATAGGCAGGCAATCAAGGACACATGAAATTGGCCACCAACAAATCAATAAAATGGCGAAGCCAGCGATTTCTTTCCACCTCTTCATGATTAAAATTTAATCATGAATTGGGGAAGAGTTAACTGACGACTTGTGCTTTTGTCTTTGTGGTCAGGAAGAATAAAAGGACTTGTTTATCTAAAGTTTCCATAGAGATATTGAAAAATAATTCCATCAAAATCAAATCATTAGAGTCTCATACGATTTTTTAAACATCATTCATGTAGTGATGACATGGAGAGAAAAAAAAGCATTGCAAATCATGATTTACTTTGTCCCTTTTTAAATACTAAATTTTGACACATATTTTTTAACATAAAGGACAATCCTTTTTCTTACATTCGATACAAATTATAAACGGTTTGTCTCATGGCTTAAATACGTTCAAGACGAAATCATAACGTTAGAAAGTATATTCCTTTTAAACTAGGCCTAAATAATAAGTGATGCTAGATGAAAGTATCCCTTCCGACGGAAATCAACGAAACATGCAAGTCAAACCATTATCATACTTACTATTATTGCCACTAATATGGGTATCAGTATCATCATCATTATCTTCATCACAATCAACATAATCAACTTGATCATCAACATCATTTATCAATGAATATGTTAATAGTTTAGTATAAGTCGTATTAATGGTAGTAGCAGTAATACAGTTAGTGTAGTATTAATATCAGCTGATTAATAGTAATATAAGTCGTCGGCGTCGTCGTAGTAGTAGTAGTATTAGTAGAAGTAGTAGTAGTAGTAGTAGTAGTAGTAGTAGAAGTGGTAGTAGTAGTAGTAGTAGTAGTAGTAGTAGTAGTAGAAGTAGTAGTAGTAGTAGTAGTAGTAGTAGTAGTAGTAGAAGTAGTAGTAGTACTAGTAGTAGTAGTAGTAGTAGTAGTAGTAGTAGTAGTAGTAGTAGTAGTAGAAGTAGTAGTAGTAGTAGTAGTAGTAGTAGTAGTAGAAGTAGTAGTAGTAGTAGTAGTAGTAGTAGTAGTAGTTGTAGTAGTTGTTGTAGTAGTTGTAGTAGTAGTAGTAGTAGTAGTAGTAGTAGTAGTAGTAGTAGTTGTATAGTAGAAGTAGTTGTAGTAGAAGTAGTAAAAGTAGTAGTAGTAGTAGTAGTAGTAGTAGTAGCAGTAGTAGTAGTAGTAGTAGTAGTAGTAGTAGAGTATAGTAGAAGTAGTTGTAGTAGAAATAGTAAAAGTAGTAGTAGAGTAGTAGTAGTAGTAGTAGTAGTAGTAGTAGTAGCAGTGATGTATGTACAATGTAGTACTAGGTGAAGTAGAATATCCTAGAAGTAGGAGACGTAGTACTTAGAAGTAGTTTATAGTCAAACAAATCTCAAACTCAGACGGCATTACGAGTGCAACATGTTACCAAATGCTTAAATATAATAACGAATTGATCTTCTGTGACTTACCAAAGAAGAAACTCTTGCACTGTACTATCAATGACAATAATTATTGGCAAATGCCTCCTATCGTGCCATATCTCCCACATACGCACCCACGTCATATCTCGAAATATGGTGATTCATACGAGTATACATTCATATCGTGGCTTTACTGCTTTACATCAAACGCTATAAGTCGCTTCATCATGCATTTAGTCGTTGTCAAAAAAGGCCCCTTATTCATGTTCACCCAGCCCTTTTCTATTATTCTCGTTCACCACGTACGAGCACTTGTCGCTGTGGTGCTATATAATATATTCGCATTCAAAGTATGGTGTTTACACTGACTTTGCTACATTGTTAAATACTCGTTGTTTCGAATAAAAACATACCTGATAATTCTCCCAGAGTCTCTCAGTCTCTTGTGTCATTTCTCCATCTCTAAAAAGGCAGAAATTCACACATCAGTTTAATTATAGAAGAATCGAGATTGTGGTATATAGTTTTTAGGCATATATTACAAGCGTGGAATAAGATTAGCCTGCTTCCGTGGTAGAACAAAAAGTAACTTGGACGACTCCATTTATTTTTCGGTGTGTAAACGGTCTCCTTGTTGAGGTGCACTCATGAAATAAAATTCAAAACTAATTTGTTGCTCTTTCAAGTGTTAATGAACTGTAATTAGTAAAAACATCATGAAGGATTTGATTCGAATCTTACGGCCAAGGGGATCAGAGAAATCCTCCCAATGTCCCGTTTCCATGTGATTTGTTTTTTAGCCCGTCCCTCCGCCCAGCTCTGGATGTTTGAATGGAGTATTAGGTTTGCTGGGGGGGGGGGGCAAGGTCATTTTGACCCCCACCCCGCTCTACACATTGTTGGCAGGATTAACCGCAACTGATCTCTCCTTCTTTTCTCCCTTTTCTTTTCTCCTTCCTCTTTTTTTGTTCCCTTTTAGCTCTCCTCTTTTCCTTTTCATTCCTTCTCTCTTTTTTAGTGGGGACGGGGGGGGGGGGAGCAAGGGCCTTTTGCCCCCTCCCCCCCCCCCCCCGACCCACAACTTGTTGGCGGGAAAATTGCAACTGATATCCCCCTTCTTTTCTTTTCTTCTTCCTCTTTTTTTCTTCCCTTTATCTCCTCTTTTCCTTTTTTCTTTCCCTTTCCTTCCTTCTCTTTTATTTTTGATTGGGGGAGGCAAGTCCTCCTCCCTCCCCCCGATCTCCTTCTTCCCTCTTTTCTTTTCTTCTTCCTCTTCTTTTTTCCCTTTCTCTTCTCTATCCCTTTCCCTTCTTTTCCTTCTCTCTCTCTCCTTTTTTTCTTCTTTTTGGCGGGGGGGGGGGGGGGGGAGGGGCCAAGGCCCGCTCGGCCCTCCCTGGATAAGCGCCTGGTAACACCTACCTTTTAACTTTGTTTAACAGTGTAGAGGCCTGTATTTGAAATCAGTATCCTTTAATATGATTGTTGATTATTACTCAGTATACTTTTGAGTAATTTATTTGTTTGATAATGATTCATTTGAAGGACTTCTTCCTTTGGGTATGTTAATGATGTTCAATGTTTTCTGTAAGATAATTTGTTTGTGTAAATATATATAACAGTGTTTCAAGAACGAAACAGTGCATACGAGCAGGGGCGTCTCCAAAGAGGGGGTGTGGGGTGCGACACCCCCCCCCCCCCCCACCTGTCAGGATATTGTCGGTAAAATTGCGCTGCCGTCGGGAAAAAAAGAGATAAGGGGGAGGGGAAGAAAGAGAGGGAAAGAAAAGAAAAGAAAAAAAGAAAAGGAAAAGAAAGGAAAGAAAGGAAAAGAGGGAGGAGGGGAAAGAAAGGAAAAGAAAGAAAAGAAAGGAAAGGAAAAAGGAAGAAGAAAACAAAAAGAGAAAAGGGAAACAAGGGGAGGTAAGAGCCTGATAGAGGAGGGGTGGGAGTAAACGAGAGAGGGGGTTGTTGGGTGGAGTTGTCTCGTCGAGGGAGCAAGAAAGACACGCGGGGGTTGGGCCGGACCACGAGCCTACTTACTGTCCGGAGAGGGGTGAGAGGTGGGGGGGGGGGGCACTTCAGAATTGTGATTCGTTTGAGACTTTGGGGGATAGGGGGCTTGAACACTTTCGGACCTTGACGATTTTCGCGTCATGTATCGTACAAAGAGATAATTCAATCCAAATATGAATCAAACATTTATTGTCTTTTTTGTTGGGGTGAGGGTGTTGGTGATGGGTAAGGAGGTCTTATAAAGTCTTTTTAGTGCAACACAATAAAAGTTAAAAAATGCCGTGAGAAAATTGTCTTCGTTTTTATTTTGGGGTGGGATATCTAGCCATCGTAGCAACAAGGGGGCCTGATATAATGATAAACACAGAACAAACACATGAAAAATATGGAATGTAAACATAAATTTGAATGCAGGTTCAATAAAAAATAAACATTGATTAATTAATTCGAGACATGGTAAATTCAAAGCAAACACAGAAAATAAATGTAATAGTTGTTTGAGTCGATAATATACATGCTCAAAGGTTCACACACGAAATATAGATAATCAATTAATTTAAATAACCAAACCATAATAAAAAGAAAGAAAATACAATAAAGGGAACACATAGAACGAAAATTAAGGCTGATGTAAGATGTCATGAAACAAGATAGATAATTACAGAACAAACACATCATAATGTACATATCACCTGTCAATTCATCATACACATTGAGAACAGGAATATATTGGTTTTTGTTTTTTTGTTTTTGTGAAAAAGCATTATATATTGTCATCCTATGCTCACTGTCTCCCACGAGTTTGAAATAGTGTCTTATTGTCGGGGTCATCTCGTAGGAGAGGTTGGTAATCATAAAGCATATATATATTGTCTTACTGTCACGTTCTAAATCTGTCTTTTTTTCTTTGTTCCTGGTCGAGGTGGTTTCCTTGTAAAAATATATCGTCTTGTCACCAAAGATTGACTATCAGTTGAGGGGGGGGGGGGATATTTCACACAAGGTGGGCAAATTACGATAGGATTACGTGTGTGTTATGTTTCCCTTTTTTGTCACCACTGGAGCGGGGGAAATATATTAGCTAGATTAGGGGGATGTATTTATATAATTATCAAAGCTAAAAGAAAATATAGGCCTACTTTTAAAAAGACATAATATAGGGGACACCACCGTTTGCTTAATGCCTTACGATCGCAAAATCGTTCCTTATTTGACTTAAAATCTTGAAATTATTACTTCTTTACATAATTTATGAGGAGGAAAAAAAAATCGTGCAATATTGTATATTTACGAAAAGTTTGAATATTGTATATAATCTATCTCCCTACAACCAGGGGCGTCCCCAAATGGGGTGTAGGGGTGCGACACCCCCGCCTGTCAGGATATTGTCCGGAAAAGGAGAGGGAAAGGGAAAGAAAGGAAAAGGAAAAGAAGGGAAAGAAATGAAAGAGAAGAGGAGAAAGAAAGAGAAAAAGAGGAAGGATAGGAAAGAAAGGAAGAAAGAAAAGGAAGAAAAGGAGCAAAAGAAGAAGAAAAAAGAGAAAAAGAAAACGAAAGAAACAGGGGATGAAAGAGAGAGAGAGAGAGAGAGAGAGAGAGAGAGAGAGAGAGAGAAGGGGGTAAGAGCCTGAGAGAAAGGGGGTGAGTAAGAAAGAGGGAGTATGTTTGGTGGAGTCGCCACGTCGAGGGAGCAAGAAAGATACGCATAATAATTATGTCTGGCTACACCATTATCTCGGGCACATGTATAGCGGTAAGCGGGCACATCTACAGGGATGTGATTGTTTGACAACGTAAAACACGTAGAATCCAAAGAAAATCCATGAAAAGAAGATAAATTGATATTTATGAAACTCATTTGTATCTTAGGAGCTTTATTATATCCATGACATGACGGAAATTCAATATCTACACTGTTGTATGCCTCACTATATTTCCCCTATCTCGGGCACATGTAGCGGTACGGTGGTTGTTTTGACAACGTAAAACACGTATAACCCAAAGAAAATCCATGAAAAGAAGATAAATTGATAGTTGGTAAGTCATTTGTATAATTATAAGGGAACTTTTTACATCCTTTATTACAGTCATGTCGGAAATTCAATTTACAACGGTAGTTGTATGCCTATTAATACACTCCCCCTATATATCGGGCACATAGCGGTAGGCGGGCACATCTACAGGAAGGTGGTTGTTTGACAAGGTAAAACGCGTAGAATCCAAAGAAAATCCATGAAAAGAAGATAAATTGATATTTGTGAAACTCAATTGTATCTTAGGAAGCTTTATTATATCCATGACATGACGGAAATTCGATATACAACATTAGTTGTATGCCTCACTACATAATCCCCTATCTCGGGCACATGTAGCGGTAGGCGGGCACATCTACAGGGAGGTGATGTATTGACAACGTTAAACACGTATATCTCAAAGAAAATCAATGCAAAGATGTTGAACTGATAGTTGTAAACTCATATATAAGGGAGCTTTAATGTTACATCCGTTATCTCTCGGATATTGCATATAGAATACTATTTTATTACACTAACTCGATCCCTATCTCTATCGGGCACATGTAGAGGTAGGCGGGCACATCACCTCGAGGTGGTTTAGCCGACGACCGGTCGAGTTGGTCACGTATTCTTTGGAGTTAAAAAACGACCAAAAGAATCGCCAATTTTGTATAAACACGCTATCAAAATCCATACTAAATAAATTTACTTAACACTCAAACACTTCTACCTCATAATCACGGACAATACAACTGTATAATAGTAAGATTTTGCCCTGATTTGGCTGAACCACTGTGTTGCACGTACAGTCATGACCCCAATTCTGCTCGTACGTACGCGCGCAGTCAAGAACATCAATATTCATGATTTGACACGACGTCACTGATATGCATATTCATTGACTCCTTGTGGCTACCGGTCATGCACGTTAAAGCCTTCTTGATTGCTTATTTACCTGACGAAATTGACGAGTTGTGAGTTTTATTTTCACTCATTTCAAATGTAATGTATTGTGTGCATATCATGTTATATTTCGCGACATGTGCGAATGTTTTGTTGAAAATTATGTTGTTGGTAAGACTATGCCAATTGGTGATGTGATCATCGGCATGGTATCCAGATGTTGGGGGCAGTCCCACTCATGTGTGTTCATGTGGTGTCAAGATTTACAATCTGTTATTTTTCAATTTTGTGTATCGATTGCTCGCTGATAAGCATTATTCATATTAGTATTTGATACTTCTGTTTCTGGTGTGCTGATACGCTTCAGTGGTGAAATAGATTCGAATTATACCCTGGCTTTATTTTTGGCCTAGATCTATTCAAATAAACATGTAAACATAGATGATTAGATCTAGATCTACTACTAGTCTAGGTCTAGAGTAAAGGAGCCGGTAATCGGCCAGCTTCAGTTTTCGGCCGATTGTTTGGATGCAAGGTAAAATCACTCTAAAATACATCGCATAATAGCATAACACATATCCCACACATACCATACCATGCCAGTGTCACTGAAGAACCACATTTGCAATCGAAAATATATCCTAAAATATCACATTTTAGCGATGTAATCGCCGGTCCCGCTACCCAAATCTGAAAAATCGAGTATCTTACGCGTGTCTGTAAGAAATATGGGTACCATAAAATGAGCTTTATTTCAAGTATTTTTCAGATTTAGAGCCCGATTTTGTGCTAGTCGCAAGCTCAAAAGTATCTCATCGCATGTATTAAATCAATGCAGCCGCACACCGCGACGCACACACGATATCTCTGTCTAATTCAGATTCCAACTTCCGATCACCGCTGTGCCTGTCTTCGGCCAGGCAAGCACCAGGGAGCTCCGGCGTGGGATACCTGCTCCGCCCGCTTGTGCTGTACATCAGCGCGGAAACGCACGGCGCGCGCGAGCGCTTCCTATTGACTTTGTACATGCGGCCGTAAACTGAAACGCTCGGCCGATAACTGGCTCCAAAACAGTGAAAATTGAAATGAATATTGTCATGGCAATTCGTGATTTTTTTCTGGGATTCTTTTTTTGTTTAAATAATAATAATATTTGCTTCATGATTTGAACAAGAAACGATAATAAATAGGAAGTAAAGAGTCCTAAAAATAGGATTTTGTCTTAAGTGGCCGAAAACGGGCTCCTTTACTCTAGCTAAAGCTAATCTAGACCTAGATCTAATTACCGTAAATCTCCGTGTATAAGGCGCACCTGTGTATAAGGCGCACCCCTATTTTGGGGGCAAAAAAAAAAAAAAAAAAAAAAAAAAAAATTGTTTTTGTTTTGTTGTTGTTGTTGTTTTGTTGCCGAAAACCCACGCGGGGAAGGACCTTCATTTTACATCGAGGTGCAGTTGAAGTTGTGAACTTGTCACAATTAATAGTAACAACAGTCTAAGGCTTCATGATACCAAGTGTCCCACACCAGCCTCCTCACATCACCTAGCAGAAGCAGTGTGTTCTATGCCAAACATCAATAGTCATGCATGATCTATTAGAAAGATCACTTTCAAACCAAGATGACAGACAAATTTGAGTGTTGCTGTAGTTTCCGAGTGGTGAGTCAACACACTGATTACTGAGCTAGGAGACATTGCCAGGCATAGCACCATAAATCGAAACTAAAAAAAAAAGAAGAAAAAAAAAGAAAGAAAAAAAAAAAAAAAATTACGGTAGATTTAGATGACATGATTTTATTAAATTTGTAATTTAGAACTAGTCTAGATTCTAGTAATTAGTACTAAAATAGCATTACCAAAAATACTGACTATTGATGGATGAGAATGTAAGGAATGTCTGACTGAGGAAAAGTCTTTGAATTAGCAGAATAGACAACAAAGATGGAGGGAAAGATGAAATGACAATGGTGGCAGAAGATATGCAACAAAAAGGAACAAAATTATAAGCGAAATTAGGAAGAAGAACAAAGTAGATGTAGGATGTGGAGGAACGGAAGCAGAATAACAAAGAGAAGAACAACAAGATTACAGGAATGAAACTTAAAGACGATAATTGCAAAATATGCAGAAGTAAAAATCACAAGTATCTTAAAATGAGAATGATAAGAGAAATGATGGACAGAAGAGAGTCTGAAAAAAGGAGAGTAGGACCAAAAAAATAAAAAAAGGGGAAGGAGGAATAAGGAAAAGTAGAACATGATGAACAAAGGAAAGCTGCAGAAGAGAACAATGAGAAAAGGAAGCAAGTGAAATAGGAAAGAGAGAAAAAACAGAAATACAACAAGAAAAGTGAGTTTTGCTTGGTTGATGTTGCTCATTGCTGGTAGACATAACTTGGGTTGTTGCATTGCGTATTTGGTAGCTTGATGTCATTTATAAATGGGTTGTTTTCATTGTACCTGCATCCATGACATTTACAACAGTTCTTGTTAAATTAATAGACAATTAGTAGAAATATAAATGCTGGTTGGCATTTCTATGCTAGGATATATGCTTACAGCACCATTGAGCAGCTGTTCAAGATTACGCCTTCTCAGAGACTGAATGAAAAACCAGACCTCAAAATCTATGAACAAGCACTCAAGGTGTAAGATGTATCGTTTAAATTTAATCACATTTCTTTCTATTTATCTCAAAAATGACAGAAATGGCTGAAGTAGCCAAGTCCACACCCCACCCCTCTACAGGAGGGGGGAAGAAGATCAAGGAGGGTGTAGCGAGCCAAGATGGAGGTGATGCAGGGGGAGAAGGAGGTGAGAAGAAGCTGTCTAAGAAGGAAAGAAAGATGCTGAAACAGAAGCAGCTTGCTGAGCAGCAGAAGGAGAAAGAATCAGCTCAGGTCCAAGCTCCACCGAAAAGCAAGGCAGAAATGAAAGCAGAGAGGAGGGCAAGACAGGTAAGTTGTTGAAGCAAGATATTGTTAAGTATGGTCTGTGATATCTTGTAGTGTAAAATGTACTTTATTAAAAAGATCATGTTACATGAAGGGCAGAGTTATTTCTTAATTTTCCAGAGCTAAATTTGATACTTACCACTCCTTCTTTTTTTTTTACTGAAAACGTTTTACATTCATGCCCAATATCTCGTGATATTTTTTTTCTCCTCCTTTTCACATTAGCCTTTCAATTGATGACTCATTCTTATTGTTCTGTTTGTTAATATCAACATTTGTGTATGTTTATGTGTGTTGTTTTCCATCTTCTCTCTTCTCCTAAGCTATTCCTTTTCATCTGTACTCTGTAGAATTTTTGAAAACAAAATTAACCAGAACTACTTGCAGCAGTTTTGTATATCTATCAAACTCATGGTGTGGTTATTAGTTATGTTCACATCCTAGCCTAAAAATAGGGCATTTAATAAAATTCTTCATTTCATTTGAAGTTCCTTTGTCATCATCACCCAAACTCAGGATTCCTTTTTATTTCTCTGCCATGTTAAATTTGTTCTTCTGCGTACTTTCAGGAGACAGAGAGAGCTGCCAAACTGGCCAAGAAGTCTGGAGAACCTATCCCTCCAGGAGTGGGAGCAGCAGGAGCAGGAGCTGGAGCGGGAGGCGGAGGGGGGAGTAGTTCACTTCCTAGTAGTGGATCCAGTGGTCAGCTACAAAGTAAAGCTAGTAAACAGACAGGAGAAAGTGAGTCAGATGAACATTTTCAAATTAATTTCATTGACCAGCACATTCATAAGTTGTGTTGTATCAGTGTTCATGATATGTCTCCCATTTCTTCAATTAGAATGGAGGTAACTAAGGGAGTGCTTCATCAATTAGGATCAATTTTGTTTTAATAGATTTGTTGTATCATAAATGAGTTGGTTCAGTTTTAAAGACCATTTTTTGTAAAGGCTTACAGTTTATGAAACACCCTCTAAAAGAAGTAGAATAGGTAAAGGCCACTGATCCTTACTGACTTATATTTGTTTATTTTCAACCACATTTTATTTTTACATTAGTTTGAACCCTTGCACCTTCCCTCTCACAATTACTGCAATGTAATACTTGTATGCTATAATTATACAGTGTACTTTCATTTCATTTCACACAAATATGATCATTGTTGGTAAATTCATGTTTCTCTTCAGCTTATCTCAAGAAAGATATTTACAGAGTCTCGGATGATATCAAACTGGATGACCCTACTGTGCAGAAACGAAGAGCAAAGAAACTTGAACGGCAACAGGTAACTTCATACCTTAGCTATGTAAAAAGTGCAATAACAAATAACTTGAATGTAATGCTCAAATTACTTCATCAATTGATGATCTGACTCAGTTGCATCTGCTTGAAAAAGACAACTTCACCAAGAAATCTTCGTAAAAATACAGAAATGTAATTATTCTTGTTTCAATCAAATTATATCCCAGACACTTATTTTGCTTTCTTACCTATGCATTTATTTTTATTCATAACATCATAGGAAACATAGACAAAGAGGATTTAATGGTAACTTTTTGTGATTGGATCTGCTGTCTATTGATGATGTCGAAATGAAGAAGCATGTCAGAACCATATTGGTCTAACCTTGGACCAGCTAAGAGTTAGTGCTGATCTAGTTCGGTCTAAGAAATATTATATATCAGGGGTGCATTTAGGGTGATTTCAGGCCCTGAATTCTCTTCATCACAGCTTTTTGGGGCGATATATAAATGGGACTTATGCCAGCTTATCAGAGTTTCTTTGCAGGCTTACTGAGTGAAACCAACTGGTATCCCTTTATTAACCTTTAAAGGTAAAGACCAGTTCTGGTCTTGCGATTGCATTGTGAAAGAAAAGTTGTGGAATCGATCAGAAAAGGTTTATCATCTAGCATATAAGTATTGGTGTGTACTGCAAGGTTCTGGAATCATCAAAATGATAATAAATTTGGCCCAGTCTTTGTACCATCACATATTAGTCAAAACATATTCTTCCACATGATGGGTAGTAGGAGCTTCCATTTCATTTTTTGAGAGGGGGGAGTTGCCAAAACTGGTCTATACTTTTAAGTCTTGTATTAAATCCAGGTACCACAGAGGGCCGAGAGTCAGAAGAAAGTGGGTCTCTTCTCTCATCTGAACCAGTTTGAGCGACAGGTCTCGCTGACGAGCCGTCTTGGCTTTGGCTCTGGTGGGATCCATCCGGCTGTTATCAAGCTAGGTCTGCAGTACGCTGAGGGTATCATATCAGGAGCTAACTCCAGGTCAGTTACTCTATCCTTCTTCAATGGGTCATTTCCGCTTCAGGAATCATGATCGTAAAGAATGGATAGCCAAAAGTTTCTTTTGAGATGAGCTCCTGAAAATTTCCCACTTTTAGTTGAATAGAAGCAATTAGTGAAACACTTCTTTAATAAGTTCTCTCACTGAACAGGAAAAATACTGGAATCACGACACTTACGTGAAAAAAGTTCTGACAGGTATTGAATATCATATATTTACTATGTCTTATCCCGTCAACAGTTTGGATTAGCAAAGTGAATGCAAACCATTCAGATTATAAATGTTTTTGTATGAAAGTATATATGCTCTTATATATCCCCCCAATATTATTGTTTTAATGCTATTTCTTCATATTCTTGTTGTTCCACATGCTTTTGAGCCTGAACACAACTTCCTGTAAAAGCATGTTGTGACAAATAGACTTTCAAAACAGATGAATGGTTCTTAACACGTTATGATTGCTTCTTTTTGTTAACAGGTGTGTAGCCTTGCTGGTAGCCTTCAAGCAGGTTATAGCTGATTATAACACACCACCTCAGAAAGACTTGTCCCGAGATCTAGATTACAAGATCAAACCGTACATCAAGTGAGTTCCGGTTTCACAAAGTTTTGCCATTCCTTCTCTGTGTAACAACATGATTAATCTCGGAAGGAAAGATAATGCTATGTTCTTCATTGCTTTCTTGATGTGTAATTCTCATTTGAGGCTACAAATACTTACATACCTAAGACATTCTAGATCTAATTTATTTAATTAGTTAATAAGTAGGGTTTTTTAACAAAAATCTAAAAACAAGATAGAATTTTGTGTATATAATGCAAGATTTTTTGAACATTTATACTATTATCTCTATGTTGTTGTGTAGTTTTTGCAATAGCCGTTGTGTATTATTATTTTGTATAGAGTACAAAATTGTTCTTGGCTTCTTGCAGTGTCATAGCTTTTGAATTTCTTTTTTAAAGTATGCAGATAAATATGTGTATGTTATTTATACTTCAAGGTGTAAAGAATTTCTCAGAGTAGTCCCTCTATTAAAGTTTCAAAGGGAAATTCTCCCACATTATAGCGTTTCTGAATAAAGCCTCACACAGATTTTTTAGATTCTTTGAAGTGAACTCTACCTCCTCTTGAAAGACCATAATACCTTACAACCCATATTGCCATCTCTCTCTTAGTTTCCTCAACCAGTGTCGCCCCAAGTCAGTCAGCATGGGCAATGCTATCAAGTATCTCAAGATGCAGATCAACAATATCCCTCAAGGCATGCCAGACAAAGAGGTGAGAAAGTCTGTCATGCTGTGTGAGATTCTACTAGAAAGATATTTCAGAGTTGTCACGTATTGCCAAGGGGACATGGTTGATCCCTGTGATAAGATTGTGGGAATGAGAGAATTCAGTAGTTACTGGACGAAATCAAGTGTTCACATGAATTTTAAAGATGCTCAATTAAGTAAAATTTTAGTTGTATTCTGTTGGTACATTTATTTTTGTCCAGCCGGATGGGTTATTGTTGTATTATTCAGTTTTGTCATGTTGTTTGTTCCTGAAGTTCTGAAGCAGTCCATGGGATTAGGACAAATACACCCTATACTACCACCCGTAGTCAATTACCCCAGAGCTACCAAGTATCAGGCATTAGGTGTGACATCACGCATTTCGAGGGTCTGAAATGCTCTTACGCACGACGCGCACGCTAGATTTTGAAAAAACGCTATACCTTATACGTGTGTACACCCTCGCACGCGCGCCGAATCATGAAAATGTCACGCATTGCCGATCTTTGAACTTGGCATCTCTGTTACCCTCATGGGAAAACTATCTTAAAACTTTACCCCTTGTAATACTGACCACGTACTGGAAATTGGGGAGGGGGTGGTGGGGGAGTTGTCAAGGGGATGATTGACCTGGGGGTGGTTATTCTAGGAGGGAAGGCTTTCCTGGAGTTCTACTCAGTTTGGTAGTTTTCATAGAAACTATTCTTTAGGAAGACTGTCAATCCAGCTGAATCTTTCCATCAATCCCCACAACCACATCTCGAGATACAAGGTTAGAGACTTTGTTTTCATCTTCTTCAATCTCTACTTTTATATTCTTTTTATAGGCCAAACAGAGGTTGTGTGACTGCATAGACAGTTACGTGAGAGAAAAGATATTCTTAGCCCAGGAAGCCATTTCCAAGACGTTTGCTTGCAAAAAGATCAGAGATGGTGATGTCATCCTTATATACAGTTGGTAAGTTTGGAGACATCATCCGTTTCATACTTTTTTATATAATTTGTTTTCCTGTACCTGACTTTATCCATAGTTTCTTTTTTGTTATGTATGGTTGTTTATCTGTCACATGCTGCAGTTTCAAATGTACATTGGTCAATACCCTATCCTATTAATTTGTTTAACTTCAACCCTGGACCAAATCTTAAACCTAAGCCTAACCCTAATCTTAAACCTTATCTAAAACACAACCGTTAACCTAGCCCTAATCCCATTGGTTCGATGAAATAGAGCCCTGAATAGTTATAGCCTGTGAGTATGTTGGAGCACCTTGCTTACTGGTACTACATTCAAATTACTTAATTTTGTGCTGCCCATTGTGCTATGCAAAGCACCAAACATGTGTATTAAGTATTTGAACAGGCTACCCTGAATTTGACACATGTAATTGGCTTGCTTGATGAAAACCTCTTGTACATATTCATCTTTTGGGTTACGTAAGTGAGTTTCTCCGGAAAAGCAGAAACAATCAGTTATAAGATATGAATATGTTCAAGTTTGAAGGAAAAAAATTGAAGTTATTACAGATAGTATGTCCACCTGGTTAGGAAATGAACTTTAGATGACTTCAGATGATGTAAACGTCTTATTTTTGCTCTCTTTTCCAGCTCATCTTTAATCAGGAAAGTCCTGTGTGATGCTCATAAATCTGGTATCAGCTTCCGGGTCATCATGGTAGATAGCAGGCCGAAGGTCGAAGGTCGTGAGGGCATAAGAAGGCTTGTAGCTGCTGGGATCAAGTGTAGCTATATCCTCATCAATGCAGTCTCTTATATGATGCCCGAGGTAGGATATTGATGCAAAATTACCCCTTCACATGCCACATCTTTAAATTTAAATTTGCTTTGTTGGAATTTATAAAATTCTAAATTTCCCTGCATTTCTTTTGGTAGAAAATATATATGCGTTATGTTTCTGTAGAAAACATTAATTTTGAAATCATGTGTAGCCCAATCCAAGTGTAATCCAACTGTAAACATGGAAAAGTTGCAATTACTAATGACAAGTAATATATGTACATATTGATCAATTTGTTTGATGTAGTGGTTTTAGATGAGATGTTTTATGACATGGTAGGAAAGATTACTGTTACCTGATACAGAAGAAAATCTTGTCACTAACAAGTTACCATCAAGAATGGTTTTCATCTTAAATTGTCAATTAATGATGGATAATCCTCTGTTATTCTACTTTTCTCTTAAATATATATTTGATCCAAGGTATCTAAAGTTTTCCTTGGTGCACATGCCCTCCTTGCCAATGGCTATGTCATGTCAAGGGTCGGGTCATCGGTCATCGCCATGGTAGCAAAATCCTACAATGTTCCAGTTCTCGTCTGCTGTGAGACATACAAATTTAGTGACAGGGTACAGACTGATAGCTTTGTAACAAATGAACTCGGTGAGTGGACATAATTTTTATATTTGAAGTGTTAAAGTTTGATGGGTTTTTTTTGCAGAATGGCAGTTCCATATTTTCAATTTGTTTTTAATTCTCCACTTCACAGGTTAATACTATTAATTGTAAACCAGGCATGTTAGTGCCTAAACAATATGATATTGCACCAAAGATTAATCCTGTAATTGCCCTCTCAAGGTAAATAGCAAATGACTTCTATATTCTATCATTATGATATTATTAAAAAATTGCAGGGAAAGTAGGAGTAGGTATCACAGAAGAGCTACATTGAGTGGGGACACACGCAGGGCTCAAACATGCAAATTCTCTCTTTATCAAGGAAGATTTTCATATCATGGAAAAAATAAATATTATAAAATGATATGTCTCTCGAAAGCTCAGGATTCTGTCTTTCATGTCATGTCATTTTCATCAAAATCCATCAATTACTTACGACACAGTTGCTTGTCAGTTACCCTCTAATTCGTACTGTTTCACTTCGTTTGTCACCATTTTTATTTGATCGCCGATTTGCATCGCTAGTTTTAGCTCAATGCGCTTGAACGCCATTTGTCTTTGAGTTTTAAAAATCCACTGGTCGGAAAGAGCACATCTTAAGCTTTATTTTCATATAAAAAATGATGGGTGTATGTTTCAAAAAGATCGTGAAAAATCAGAGTGAAAAGTTTGAAACAATTTTTCTATATCAGAAAAACATACTTTTAATTCAATTTTGATACGAGAAGAAAGAGAATTTAATGGAGAATACAATCATGTAAATATTAAGAATGACCCCGAGATGGTGCTTGAGCGCAAATCCGATGAATACAGCTGTACCCCGACACTATGAACATGACGGACAAAGAAAGCTGACAAAATATACAGTTCCTCAGGTAGACAAAGGAACATCCCTTCACTGCTATTGTGTAAAAATGTGTAGAACAGGTGAATATGCATGTAACACCTGTTCTACACATTTTTACACAATAGCAGTGAAGGGATGTTCCTTTGTCTACCTGGACTTCTTGAAGAGTTTAGAGCCATTTTCAAATGCCTTTTAAAATTAATTTAAATGGATTTGATGGTCCAAACTTAAAGAAATAATTAATCTATATAATATACCCCAGATATGCCGAAATTCAGCCCCTCTTGATATACACTCTTAAATCTAGCCATGTTTCAAAACCCATGAAAACTTGTTCCGGCGACACAAAAATAACCATTTGTCACACGCATCAAAATGGGCTTCATATAATTATTTGAAAAATTCCACAAAAAAAAATATTTGTCAAAAGAACCTGAAAAAAAATAGGCATGTAGAAATCCATACAGAGAACCGATTTCTTGAAAAGAAAGGTGATTCATCAATTAATTACAAAATTATATCACCTTGAAAATGGCTAATTGTCAGTTATAGCCTAATTACGCAAAATTTGACCATTTCTTCTCTTATGTAAGTGGCCATATTTTCAAAAGTACTTATTCAAATTTGACAAATGAGGTATCAAAATTCTTCTTTTCATGTGCTCAAAAAGGAAATGGGCAGGGGCAGTGAAATTTAGAAACTTTCAAAAGTTAGCTGCGATACCTAGTAGGAGTAACTTTAATCCTTTGGAAATACAAAAAATCATGTTTTGGGGTCTTTTTTTTCTATCATGTCCAATTTTATGGATTAAAGGCATCCACAATACCATTATCATTTCTGAACTCATAGTAGATGATTTAATTACCTTTCAACTTTGACCTTTTTCCTATAGGTGACCCTGGTGACCTAGTCTCTATCAACCGCTCAAAGTGCAACCTGGCCGACTGGAGAGACATCAATGCCTTGACACTTCTCAACCTTGTATATGACGTCACCCCGCCAGATTTTGTTTCCATGGTGATCACCGAGATAGGAATGTTACCGTGCACGTCCGTGCCTGTTGTACTTAGGGTCAAGAACATAGAGAGCTGAGGTCAGCCTGAGTAGTCGGATATGAACTCTCATCAGTATGTGCTCTATGATGCTGTATCTATTAACCCATATGGATACAGTTTGAAAATGGGTATAACACACATTTTCCATAGACTCCAGCACTATCCATCTCAGGATTGGTATCCGATGGGTTAAAGGGAGTGTAGCATGGCAAATATCTACGTCTTCTTTTAGACAACTGCACATAAACGAATGGACTTGATTAACGGTAGTCAGCGACTTAATCTCTGCATGGTCAGCACGCGCGAAAGAGACTGAAGTTCTCCTCACGATTCGGTTTTGCATATGTTGCACGCACGTGAATGCTGCGGTCGGTTCGTCCGTAGTCATATTATACCCAATTGCCCCCGTTTATAGCCATGCTACACTCCCTTTAAAGGCTATATTTACATGTACAGCTTGGCTTGGATTAAGGATAGCTCAGAGGAATTATAATACTCTGCAAGGAATGGAGATGGTGCTCAGTCATGCCATTTGCAGATGTGATAAGGATATGGCATGGGGACTGTTATTTGTGACAACAATAAATTGGAAAAAGTGTATAAGAAGAAAATTCTATCTGTATTTCTTTTATTCAAAATATTAACTATAGATGGTCTATATTCATTCATCAGTTTAGTTTTGCATGATGTGATCTCTTCTAGACTCTGTCTCTTATTAATATCTAATCACATGTTACAATCTACATTTTTTCCCTTTCTTTTGGAGGGAAAGGGTGTTGAGCAAGGGTTATGTTCTAATCCTTATATTTGTGATGGAAACTTTGGAATCTTATTAACCCATTGCCTCCAGGAATCAGATGATATCTGTATAAAGCTTATGGAAACTGTATAAAAGAATTAAGTTTTCAATAATCAATTACCAGGAAGTATTTCTCTTATAACTTCTGCTCAACTGCATTATATTCTATTCTCCTTCTTCTTTGCTTTAAGTACAGGCAGGTGCAGGTGTATATGTAGTGACTCCATAAAAGACCTACAAAGAACTATGTGCAGCTAAAAAGACATCCATAGCTTAACAGAGCTGGATCTCGAGTACCTCTCTCCTAAATCTTGGCAGAGAGGTACAGGTGACGGCGGCTTGGGGTAGTGAGTTACAGAGCCTCGTGGCATCAGGAAAGAAACTCCTTTGCGGTACTTGTGTCCGAGCATATTGCACTTGGAGTTTCTGGTCGTGGCCTCTGTGCGAAGCAGGTATGGCCATTGCAGTTGGTCAAGCATAGCTGTGACAATGCTTCTTCTGTGATGGTCATTGCAAACAAAGCGTGCATATCTCCTCTGGATCATCTCTATATTTCCTGGTGTTGGCTTGGGTAAAGGGATCCCAGATGATGCTTCCATATTCCATGACTGGTCTGAGCAAGGTCAGATAGCAGAGCACTTTGACTTTGTGTGGGCGTAATCTGATGTTCTTCTGGCGGAAGGCTCAGTTGGGTTTAGCCTTTTTTGTTACTTTGTCGATGTGGTCATTCCAACTAAGCTTCTTGTGTAGATGGATTCCAAGATATTTTGCTGTGTCTGCATTCTCCAGAGTGTGTCCATGAATGATGTATGACTTGATGATAGGCTTCTGTTTGTTGGAAACATGGAGGACCTGGCATTTCTTCGGGCTGAACTCCATTAACCAGTCAGCTTCCCGTCGCTTCTAGAGTTGTGCACTGTCGCTTCTGATCCAATTTTGCGATAGACTCACTAGGCAGTCATCTGCAAAGAGTCTAACAGTGGTGTCACAAGACATGTACTCTGGCAGGTCATTAATAAACGGCAGAAATAACATTGGGTCGACGACGCTACCCTGCGGAAATCCAGATGTCACTTGGGATTTGGTAGAGACGGTTCCTTCAAAGACTACCTGCTGCGTACGATCACAAAAAAGTCAGCCAGCCATGCATGGGTCGAGTTTTGTATGCCGTAGTAGTCAAGCTTATGAAGAAGCCTTCCGTGTGGCACCTCGTCAGAGGCCTTGGCAAGATCTTGGACGGCAGGGTCATTAGCTGATGAACAAATCATCTCAGCATATATGGGACCATATATAGAATGAACCACTGCACTTGGGACGTGTATTTTGTACATGAAAGTTGGGCTAGAAGAAGTGCAGCTTTGTGACATACTCTTATCAGCTAATTGTTACAATACTGAATATGAAAAGCTGTATGGGTAATGTTAGATTGTACTTCAATTATTTTCAGCTTTGAGAAAGTACATGATTAATCTTCAGTCTTGCATTTCACATCTTGGATAGTTTTGCATGATTTAATTGTGCTTACTTATGCATACTGATTAGATATGTTTGCAATATAGGAAAGTTTCAAGTAAGTACATGTATTGTAGCTTAAAACCTTTTTTGCAGAGACTCTGTGTATTTTGGCTAGTCCAGCCTATTTTTGCCCAATGGAGTTGAACTATACATGTACGTGTGTTTGTTTGGCATAAACATTTATCTCTTTCTCAAACTAAAAATGGGGACATGAATGGAACCATAAATTTCATTCATAAAATATGTTGGTAATAGATGTCTGAATAACCTTTAGAAAAATATTTAGGGTACTGTAAATCAGACTTTCGCGAAATGAAACTTGTGCAGGAATTGCGAAAAGTTTGTGTTCTGTCAGTCAAGAAAAAAAAAATTCTTGGCAGGAGTTTTTCGCAGAATTGAGCACTTCCCAAATTTGCCAAAGTTACAAGCATAATGAAAGTTTGCAATATGTAAAAACTCTCAGTTACATAAATGTTCATCTTTTCTGACGACATCCATTTCACTGGCTGCTCTCTGTACAAAGCTCGACAATACATGTAAAAGACAACATGACACATGATTCATTATGATAGAAATCTCAATTTATTGAGCATAATTATCAATTTCCCTCTCCAGTATAATCAGTAATAAAGATCACTGTATGTTTATTTCTTTGTCTTCCTGAATTTGTTAATACAATGTACATGTACATGTAAATACAAGCTAGATAAACTATCGCAGAGAGAAAAGTGTTGTGAATTTCATTCTAATGTGTACAGTGTTATATCTTTTGAGCAGTAATAGGATATGCATTGGAAGTGAATGTTATTACATAGAAGAGAATGAGAGAGATAAATAATTCACAAAGAAGATATTATAAACAGATATTCGTATCTCCTTCCCATTTTATGACAAATTAATTGATTTTTTTAAAATTTAAAAAAATTTTAAAAAAAGAAACAAGCTAATCATGAATGTTAGTATGTTTAAATTTGGTAATGACAAGCCTGAAGGAAAGACATGTAATTTGAACACAAAAGCAAAAAAAGTGAATTTTTGAATAATCTACTTTGAAAACAATATCTAGTACTATCCTATAACATCCAATTTATCATCTACAGTAATTATCGCAATGACTTGTAACAAAGATTTGTTGCTATAAAGAAAACATGAAAACAGTCATCAGCAGAAAAGGCCCTTTCTTTTCTCCAAATAAAGAAAACTGTTTGCACAAAGAATAGAGAAAGCTTTGACATTTCATCAAATTTGACTATAGTAAATGTGACCGCTTCCTGAGAAAGAAAATGCTGTTTTCATGATCATGTGATATACATACAGTTTAATTTGGGGTCAGATGGTTTAATTTGGGATCAGATGGTTTTAAGAGTCCAATGATGTTGAGGTCTTTGGTAAACCAATACAATACAGCATGGAAACAAAATTACTAAGACTTAAACAAGTTACATATCACAGTGTTTCTGTGGGAAGATGAAGATAAAATAATATAAGAGCAAAGTAGAATTGCAGCAGTATGGAAATGGAATACAATTTTAGAAAGTTTTTTTTTAAAGATCATTTTTTTTATAGTTGCATTCATTACACTAAACCCCTATTATAGGAGCTGATTATGTATGTATGTATTGGTGCACTGTAAAACCAGAAGTTTTCACGTACAAGAATCTATGGCAAATTTTGTATGTGGTCTAGATTCACAAAAGTTTCATGGCATTGGCAAATTGGAAGACAGGCCTTAAAAAAATGGTCTCAATTTATGCTGCCAAAGTGAGGAATTAGTGAAAATGCCATGTTGTGAAAGTTATTGGTTCTACAGTACAGCTCTACCACTTCATGAATAAATGTTAATCATGATTTTCAGACTTAAAGGCGAACAGGTAATGAAATAATCTTTATTCAAGCACAAAAATAAGGCAAATTCAGTCAATGAACATAAGAAGATCATACACATATTTAGCATTATATCTGGGATTAATGCAGAGAAATTGGGAACGGGGGAGAATACAGAAATAGAGAATGAAAATAAAATAGAGTTATGACCTCTTCAAAAGGTCGAAAACAATACATTTGGATGCAAGTAAATAATACATCAGTAGTGCAATGTAAAACCAATGTAAAACCAATGATTTTACCAATGCTTCCATATATATTGCAGATAACAAGTGTCATATTGTAAACATAATGTAAACATGTAGTAAATCCCACATTCATATCGCTCGTAGGTATAGACTTCTATGAAGTCTTTGGCAGAAGTTTCTACTCCAGACATGATTCAGGTAATAAAATAGAGCTCCAAATTCATTACATTCAAAATTCCACACAAGTCTGAAATGTAAGACAATAGTCATCTACGCTACCCCCAATAAATCCCATCAAATAGCACTTGAGCTTTCCTCCAGCAGGCATAGCCCCTTCTGATTTGTAATTACAAGAGAAATAAAGCTATCTGTAACCAGACACCACAAAGCAGAAACAAAGTAACAAAAAATTCCTTTTCTTGATATTTCTATCTTCAAAGTTCAGGTTCTGAACAGTCCCACAGCATATGAATATTTTGCAGATACAGAAAGAGAATTTTAGAATTATTAATCCCTGAACAACAACTTTCTTTAATTTTCAGTTTCACTGATATGTTATTAACTTTGTCCAGGCTTTGTGGTGACTAGCTGCAGTCTCATACTCCTAAGTAGTTCTACAATCAAATGAATACAACTTTATCTTTTCTTCCAGTCTGCGCTTTAGCAAAAATTGTCTGGATGCTTGCGAAGACGGCGTCAGGTGCTCTAGCAGCATCGACACGTTGATGGATCCCTCGTTTGGAGTAATAATCAACGAGAGGTGCAGTCTGCTTGTGGTAGGCTTCAAGGCGTGTTTTCAACGTTACCTCGTTGTCGTCTGATCGCTTGATCAGTGGCTCACCAGTTACCTAAAACAAGGGGAGAGGGAAAAAGGCACATTTGTAATTATATGTACATGTACAATCAAACCTGTACACGAACACTGCTCACATGGAGCAAAAGAAATCTTGTTTCGGTCTGGTACTGTAGTCATCGTATACAGGTTAATATACAGTATGATTTAATGAGAATTAGAGTGATAGGCAATATATTTGTGTTTTCTTTAAAAAACGTTTACAAAAATCATGAGAGAATTTTGTGCCAAGTCCAAGAACCCTGAATTCTGCTAATCACTGAAACCTATAGACATGAGCAATACCTTGTCTGCTGATCAAACTGTCTATCTTTTGGCAAACAAAATCTATGACTTTTACATGTCTACATCATCAATGGGATTAGCTACCTTATAATCTACGACGCGAATTCTTGCCAAGTCCAAGAACCCTGAATTCTGCTAATCACTGAAACCTATAGACATGAGCAATACCTTGTCTGCTGATCAAACTGTCTATCTTTTGGCATACAAAATCTATGACTTTTAAATGTCTACATCATCAATGGGAATATCTACCTTATAATCTGCAGTGTGAATAGGAACTGACTCGCATCTGTGATTTACAATTTACTGAAACATTTATGATGGGAGAATAAATCACCCATACACACACAAACTGAAACCTCCATGGAAACAAGTCTGAATGAGTCTGGGGCATATGAACATGGACATACTTCTGACACTGCCTCCACCATCAATTTAACATTTTTTGTGGACAAAAGGGGTAGTGGGGGTAGGGGATAACAGCTCCTAAATGGTATAACTTTTTTCCCCTGCCCTTCAATCCACTTAGATTATTCTGAAGGTCCTACTTACATCATCAGTCATAGGCTTCTTTGGAGGGCTAAATTCTGTGTGATAAGACCTCCCACTGGGCTTGTGGATCAGCCGTCCGGTGATTCGTTTCACAAGCAGTGAATCGTCAATGCCGAACTCGACTACTGAGTCCAGGGCAGTCTTCCTCTTTGTGAGAAGTTCGTCCAGCTGTAGAAAGAAGAAAGATAATATGAAGTTATTTAGACACGGTAGTCATGTAAAACTGTGGGCAGCAATAGCTAGATATCACAACATATAATTTTCATCATTTGCTACATATTTCTATCACTATGATGTTTGCATGAAACTTAAAAACTGTAATATTTATAAAGATGCATCTGCAGAATTTTAATAGCTCAGTCGGTAGAGCAGTGGTTTCGTAATCTGGTGACCCGGGTTCGAAACCAAGGCGATGCGCTAGTGCCCTTTGGTAAGGCATTAATCCTCATTACCAGGTCCCTCGGAGAGGACCTAAAGCCGTCGGCCATCTGGTTGCTTACTTACAAGCATTTATGCTTTCTTAGCAGTCGGGTAAAATAACCATCACCACCAACACCAAATTACAATTAATTTTCATGTCAATATCAATGTAATAATGAGCAAAAGATATGAAAGGTCCAAACATTGGATATGGTTGGTCACAGAACTGAAGATACTGTCAGAGACATCACTGATAGCTCACCTTCTCAGCCTGGACAACGGTCCTTGGGAAGCCATCTAGAAGGAAGCCATTCCTGCACTCGGGTGCACCCAGCTTGTTATCAATCATCTCCACCACCAGCTCATCGCTGACCAGCTTACCGCTGTCCAACACCACCTTCAGCTTCTTACCGAGGTCCGAGCCTGAGGCGATGACCGCCCTCAGCATGTCACCCGTTGCCAGGTGACATACGCAGTACTTCTCTGCAAGCTTGGGTGCCTGTGACGGAAAGAAGAAAGAAATGCACAGAAAGATTTGGTGATGGGGGTGTACTCTTGCTCCTAATTCTGGTGATGAAATCAATTTATCTCTAAAGCAGTTGGAAGAGCGACTAAGATATCGCATTCCATGTTTTGGTTCATGGAATGGAGGGCAACTTCGATTTGTTTTCTTCTTTCTTTTCTTCTAACAAACATCTAAAACAATTTATCTTCAATTTCAATCTATATCAGCCTCTAAGTGCTTCAAGAGATCAGTGGTAACAAAGTACAGCCTACATGACTGCTATAAAGAGAAGCACATGTGTGTGAATAGATCCATGGGTTAAAATGAAGACAATCGTTGATGAGGGATATTTTGCATTTCCAATGTCCATTTAAAATTAAAGATCACCAATTTCATGTAACCAAACTCATGGATAAACATGTATGATATTTACTGTTTCTATATTCTCATATATGGTAGATTTAAGGGGCAAAATGCCCTCGGCTTCATATCTTTTTCACTGTGTGACATATGCATAATTCATGCAGACATACTGCATTTGAGCATATCATTATAAAATCAACATGCATGTATTGGATTTGATACCAGTTCATAAATAGCATGGTAGCTAATAAACATTTAAAAGTAGATACGGTATATACAATGAATTTGTCTCTCAGGCAAGCTGCTGGTACTGTTTTTACATTTGAGCATCAATTCCAGGAATAATTATCATGCTTTCATAATTTTAAGTGATTTATAAATTATCTAATAATAAATAATCCTCCACTAAAAAGAGCATCAGTTATACAAATACCAGTAGAGTCATGTAACAAGCTTCTTCCAACGGTACTAATGTGGTTCCTTAGACTATTACAACAGTGTCCTGTATGCACAGACTAAGTACATACAGTACATGTCAAATTCAATTATCATATCTCATCCTACATTAGTAAACAGATGACATGTACTACACATCAATTGAGAACCATAAGAGGGCTCTGCGAGGCCTACCCCCTCCATCCTCCATCCCACCCACCATTCAACCAATTTCAAGTATTGCGATTAGCATTGGTAGACGCAGCGTTCCATGAAGTAGTAGGCCACTTATAACTTAAGGGAAAAAACCACCCAACACAATATAAAAAGAGATCAGTGTCTAACAAATTTGTTTCTTACACACGCTTCGCACGGTATGTATTGAGGGGGCCTCAGGCCTAATGGGTCTTGACAAAATTTGAAGATGTCTGGATGGATTTTTATTGTCATCAAGCAAATTTGCTCAAAAGGCTCTTGGGTCTGGAAGAGTTAGACTTTGTGCCCTAAGCAGTTAAAGCATCAAACATATCCATTTACAAATTACCGTTACTATTATTTCACATTTAACCATTGACAAGGTGATTTCATCAACAACAATTTCTTTTTTTGTTAAAATTGTTAAAATGTAAAAACAGAGTGTTTGTTTGTAGCTAACAAATAAACCAGCTTTCATTGTTTTCTTCCTTCCTTGAATGGTATTTTCATCACTCCTTCCAGATCTAGATGGTACTATTGATGACATCTTCTCTCCAAGATTTTTTTTCTCCAAATCGGACTATAGGCCTACCCTCATATTTTACAGAGTACACATAGCAATAGTGTGGTTCACATGAAAGTCTAAGTTGTAACTTTAAATTTAGGTTGTGGTTTTATAAATTTTAAATTAACTAAAGTTAAAAAAATGGCAGATATAAAGGTTAGCGCAATAACTATGAGCAGTGGGGGGGGGGGGGGAGGGGCTAAAGGGGTTCTCACTGCACTGTATGTTATGTGCCTTGCATACGCAATTAATTTTAAATTTACTCCAGCTCATAGTAAAAATAAATGCTTTCCCTGGCTTGTAGTTAACTTTGACTACTCGTTGTTTCGGTCCTGTGTGAACCCTCGTTGTTGAGAACTTTGAAGTGAACATAGCTAATAAAGTCCTCTGCATGTTCATGTAGATATGAGTGTCTACCACACAACAACTAATGATTAGCTGTGATAGCCGCTTGCCTAGAAGGAATTTTAAGTATGCTGATACAGCCGCCGCACGTACACCATCACACAATGACATATGGGTCCATCAAACAGATTGTACAGACACAATCAAATTAAAGCGACAAATCAGAAGGTGAACCCAAAGTATAACCATGGAGGTTAGTAACTCCATGGTATAACTAGGCAGACAAAATGATGTACTACATGTGTATGTAAGATGTATCACTTCAGCACAAAGAAAGGGATTTAAAGTTGGTGGAGAGGGCCAGAAACATGTAAATACCAATTTTTAATTATTTTTTTCTGTCCTTTTTTAGCTATTGGACATCTCCCAATCTATTTATCTCTCATGACCTTTGTCATTATGACTGTCTGAACATTTGTCTGTATAGTCTGTAAGTCTGCATTGTGTCTTTGTCTGCCTGTCTCTCTCTCTCTCTCTCTCTCTCTCTCTCTCTCTCTCATTCTTCTCTTTAGTAGTACAGGTACCGGTATTACATTTGACCTCTCTGTCCCTAGCTTCTGTGCCTCTTTGTCAAACCCTTACTTTAGTGCTGCCAAATGCACATTTCTCTTTACCCCATCTGAGAAATGACCAACTGTACCTGGACTCCTTTTCCAGCTCCTGGTGGGCCAAGGAGTACTCCACAGATCCCTTGAGGTACTCCCTCTTCCTCTGGCTCATGCATAACTGGATCCTGACTCTTGATTGCGGCAGCCATCTTGGTTCACAGTAATGATCCTTCCAGTCAAAATTGTTAAAAGCTCTACTTTCGATAATGTCAAACGACTGCTTGGATGTCTATTTATCTAGCATATATGATGACCTATTGTGAGTGTTTTGGATATTTCCCAATCTGTTGACTGTTGGATATAAGAATGAAGTTGATTGGATGATGCCAAGAACATGCCACCTAATGCACATGCTTTTGACCGATACAAGATTGCCTGAGATTCTGAAAACCACTGAAGCTGAGATCTTGTGGAATGGTCAACATACAGTACATCAGGTACTAAAGAGAAGCATCAATAATTCGCCATCACTTTGAAGGTGGGGAGGGGAGATTAAACATACTTTCATCCAGACAAACCAAATGGCAAATGTAGATAAAAGAAAGATCACAGCCAAAAACAAAGACTAAGAGGTCAACATGAAAACCACAAGTGGAACTTAATTTACTTAAAACCAAATCAGATACCTGTAGGTAGCATCGACAAAAAACATCAAGATTTATCATTTTTTAAGGCAAAGAACAAAACGTCTGTTGAGAGTGTTGCGAGTGTCGAGAGACACAAGAGAGCGATAACTAAATGTTAATGCATACAAGTTAGTGCCCTTCTGGCTCTTGACAGACAAGCAGAAAATTTGAACCTTATGGCCCAAATTCACAAAGGAGGTTTGTCGACAAACCTTGGTTTTCGTGCGTCGTATGACGCGTTTTTACAAACCAGGTTTGTAAAAAAAGCGTAAAAACGCGTCATATGACGTACATAAACCAAGATTTGTCGACAAACCTCCTTTGTGAATTCGGGCCTATATGTGTACAAATTGGTAGCTTCTGAGTTCCAAAGTACAAATGAAACAAAATCCTATCCTCTCTGTCTCTGAACATCATTGATGCAGGATTACGAGATATGGAAAATCTAATCACTAGACCACAGTGTAGCTCTACCAGGCTGTTGTCACACTGTCTGTCTCTGAACATCATTGATGCAGGATTACGAGATATGGAAAATCTAATCACTAGACCACAGTGTAGATAGCTCTACCAGGCTGTTGTCACACTGTCTGAACCAACCCCCCCACCCCCATTTATTTCTGCCTTACATTATTTTGAAACTATGATGAAGTGAACATAAGTCACAAAACAGATTTTATTCAGTTTACTCAGTTTCTCTCAGGTTTTGACATTTAATATTGTACATGTACCTACATGTACTTGAGGCATTTAAAACATGTAGGCCTGTAACAACTCATGGACCAATCTGCACTAACATTCAATATGAACAGGAAGTCAGCCTCCAGCCTGCCATGATGCAGGTACTTCATAATCCAGCCACGTACGCATTGTTATGAACAGAGAACCAACCAATTCACCATTTGTACAAATAGATTGGTTGAGTTAACAGACTCAATACTGAATCATCAAGCTGATCCCTTGGAAAGCCTAATTGTGAAGGCTCAAAATATGCAGCTCGCTTTCTGCTGCGAACCAAACCACTCCACAGCACGAGATAGACATTATACTGAATTGCTAATAATCCCAGACACATCACCTACGGTATACTGAATTGCTAATCCCAGACACATCACCATAAATAACAAACAATTACGGTACTGTCACAGCCTCTGTTACATCCAGACTCCAGACCAAGAGAGCTTTTCACATGTTGTATAAAGCAAATGAAGCTTCCTCCAGATACAATTACAATGCAGCACTGCACTGCATTCAATATAAGCCACATGAAAATTCCCCAGCAAACAGACGGATAACAAAACACACAATTCAACTACATGTCAAGAGTGAAGAGTGAATCCTTCAGGCTTCCACGGTGTGGAGACAGCGTAATAGCCTCAATCAGTGAGGTGCCTCGGTACTATACAAAAACACAGACGAGAGTGAGAGCAGAAATGCTAACCAGTGATTCACGTCAGGGAGAGTTCAATGAGGGATGCCCTTGGACTTAATAGTCTGTGAATGCAGACCTTCTGACATTCATACAGTGTACATTTGTGTATGTAGCTCAGTGAACTGGTCTTAGAAATAAGTTAGGCTAAAAAAGACCGCACAATGTACATGTGTTGCAGTACACATGTACAATGTATGTGGCAATGTGCAAACTGATAATTAATTACCGGTAAAAAGAAATATACTGCATCAATTTATCAATTTTATCAGTATTTAATATGGATTAAAACAACAAAATAAATACGATGGACTGAGCGATATCATTATATCATAAATATCGCCTTATCGGTATATATTGAGTAACATCACTATGGTAATAATCACATCATAACAAATATTAAATATCAAAGTCATTTTATTCTACTCAAGCTGTTACATAATCCCACTGAGAAACTTTGCTATTTGCTATTTTCCTTTTTCCTCGTCAACAATGATTATTGTACACAATATTTCGAGGGGTCAGTGACACAAAGACACAACCCCATTTTGAGAAAAAGTGGTTTACATGTATGTGCCACTTAGCACTTGGACCTTAAGGAGTTAAGTCTATGTTTGACTAGCCATTGACTGTTGGGTGGAGTTAAGTCTTTGTGTTTCCTGGAAAGCCCACATTTTCTGAACATTTTGATATCAAATACTCATTTTGGCAAAATATGGAGTTGCGTCTTTGTGTCACTGAACCCTTGATTTGTAAATATAGTTATGAGGAGATTTTAGCCAACTCCAAGGCTCATTTCATTTCATTTCATCTTCATTTCATTTTACCTACATGTATGTACTCATGCACAAGATGGTATATTTCCGCATCATGATTTTCTTCTTTTATAAAATTAGAAAAAATACACTTTTCAGTGGGCTATATACAATAGATTTATAACATTAGCTTTTGAAATTTAAAAAAAACTTCAAATTCTTCAGATAATGCAAAATTTGGTATGGTGAAACTGATTTTTTTTTTTTTTTTTTTTTTTTTTGGGGGGGTGGGGTTAAATTCCATGAACGCATTAAATAATGTGCCCACTAATACTATTTACGATGCTCTCAGATATCTGCTTCAGAACTACATTAATTAAGCAATGTATTAAGCACTGATTTTGATAACAGTTCAAAGAGCCATTAAACAATGAATTTTCATCAATTTTCCCATGTGTATTCCCCTTCTACAGAACCATTAATGAAACTAAAAAAACTCTGCAACAGAAGTTCATTTCATCATGTTTTCTCATCCCTGACACGCAAAGGAGTCACGATAACAAGGAAATAAAGAGCCCCTCTTTTGAATACAAACATACCTGAAAACGTTTCCTTACGGGTACTATGTCCCATTTGCAGGCCAAAAAAATAATTTGTATATTAGGACACTACATGTATACACTGTATACAGTATTTACATGTTACACAAATTATGTTTGTCATTATTTTGAGGAATCCACATTCTGCAAGCTCTGCTTTTCAGTGGATCCCTTCATTTCCACAGGTTTATCTTTACAAGAAATTATAAACCCATTATACTGGATATGCATGTATACTTTCTATTCCACAACTTTAAACCATGTAAAATGTATTATATTATTGAATGTTGAATTGTATATTTGATTTCTTGTCAAAATTACTGTTCTGTAAAAAAATGAAAAATAAAAACTGAAACTGAAACTGAAGCTGAAACATGACATAATTCCTGCAAAGTTCTACAGAATTTGATGTTGGCTGCAAAAGGGACATACATGTAGTATCTTAAAAGAGAAGGTTCATTGAAATTTGAAAAAATAGGCAAATTATATGTCTACAGTACAGATTGTTGAGAACATTAACAAAATGAGTAAAGTACTTTTTAAGCCCTCACTATTGTGAGGTATAATAAATGCAATTTCGATACCATTTCAAGTTTCAAGAACCATCTCACAAAGTGAAATGACAGCGCTATTTACATGCGAAAAGGTGACGTCACAATATGAACAACCTACATCACACATTCGGGACAATGTTGGATACCCGTTGCAATATGGGTTACCGTTGTTTAAATTACCGCCAGTGGTGATATTTCCTTTACTTTCAGCATTTTGAATGAGATACCGATACTCTGAATTATTATTTATATGTTTTTATGTTTTTATGTTTTTATGTTATTTTCCGTCACATTCAAATCTGAAAAATAATCACATGTTCTGAGGGCAGGTCAGCGTGTATTACGGTGTCTGATCTGGGAGTGCAGAGGACATTTTTCATGCTAGCCTAACAACTCTACTGGAGCAAAATGGCCGCCAAATCAACATAAAAATAAACTTATCCAGATATTCATTACGAAAATATCGGATTAGGCCAATTCATGGTACCAGAAAAAAGGGGAAACTGAGAGAAGACTAAAATCAGTCCGGTTCACGATCCACGGCTAGCTTGAGCGCTGGGCTGAATTGCATTGCTAGCCCGAACCAAACCACTGCACAATTGCATACTGTTGTACCAAACCAACGAATGGCGCGGCAGGGTGCGGACTACAGTTCGTAAAGACGTGCATAGTTTTTCCGTCATGCGCAGCGAGAGTTAAAAATGCGGCTGCAAGATTTTCAACATGGATGTCGATTTTTACCCATAATTTTCTAAAAAGGGACCATTAAACAGATTATTTCAGTGGTAAGTGGAACCGAAGTAGTTACATTGTAAGCCTAGGTCTATACCTAATTTTCAAAATAAGATGCACCGGATATGCATCCTGTGAAATATGGAATTTGGCTGGTAGTTTTGCCAAGTTGTTTGGTGTAAAGAAACGTTACACAGAACATGAACACTAAAGCGTATGAGCCTGTTCTGTCTCTAAAGAGAGCGCCGACCCCGACCCATATCTGAGGCTAACGAACGAAAGAGACAGAAAAATTTGGTCTAGGTGTGGACAGGTGTGGACAGGTGAGCTTGCGTGAATTCGAGAACTTCACGCACCCCTCTGTCGGTGCGGTACATATGCGATTGTATTGTCATTGTGCAGAGGTTTGCCGTGAAACCAATGTGAAAATTATAATGTCTTCATTTTAAGGAAAAGTACTCCAAAAAAGATAAGAAAATTTACACGAAAGGGGTAAGAAATATAACGACTCTATATCATGACCATTATTTGACCTATCCCGACAATTCTTCCATGTTGTTTGCGTACTTAGTGCGTACTTTCTCTTTGCCGGTTGAATCAAGTCAATCAACGAAACAACATGGAAGAATCGTCAGGACTACAGGAGATAGGAAGAAGAACCACCCCCTTTTTCCCATCGAAGACTATCGAGCAACCTAGTAAGTCAAAATTGCTGTGGTTACTCCCTTTCCATATTTTGAGATAATGTCACGTCACCCAAACCGCTGTTAGAATGTTTTTTGATGCACGAACCCGAAGCTCCCACGGCGACGCCTTCGGCGTGGCATCGGCGTCGGAGCTTCCCGGAGTTAGGTAATTACATGAATATCAACATGTGGGGCCACAGCTACTGACCTGACAAATACCTAGCATAGCAAAATCATTTTAAAGTTTTAATTATTTTTTCATCATACCTGGGTTCCCTTGCCTGCTCCTGGTGGCCCTAACAAGATGGCCTTGATTCCATCTGGAAGATCGTCAAATTGGGGCTTGGGTTGAGCTACAGGCGGCATTTTGTTGACAGAATTTCAGTCGTTATGAGCCGGTTGACGTCGGTCGGGTTCAATTCACACGTGTGACGTGTAAAACGATAGCTGTGATCGTTCATGCGGTGCATTTTCTCTGAAGTTGACAATTATTCTTTGACCAAATATGTACTTTCGTTTTTCCTCTTATTATTGCAATTCATGTTTAAGTCAAAATATCAATGTACAGTGCATCCAGTTTTGTTATGAAGAATAAACATGTACAATTTTGTTATCATGATTTGTGCAAAACTTGAGATAAAATCTTGAAAAATAAAACAATTCTGTATTAATATGTGAGAAATATGAAACTCACTTTGTAAGTATTCAGTCTATTTCTGAAAACAAGCAATGCTTGTTCCAATTTTTGAGATGAAATAACTGTGTAGTAAGGTAATAGTTTCCTTTTATGTGAATGTGAAGTCCTTGTGAAATTAAGACCAATAAATTATGTTATGTTCATCACCAAGTGATAAAAAAGCTTTGTTCATAATCATAATCATGTTGCAGTTTTGTATTTACTATGTTAAGTACGAAAAAGAATTAGCCTTTTGAGAAATAAAATCAATGAATACCAAAAAATATATATATTATACATGCAAAAAGCGCCTATCATTTATCAGGGATATCTCATCAGTGAACATTGTTTTAAGTTTTTCCAACAATATATTTCCCCCTCTATAGGCCCCATACCGTTAGCGGTAATACTTCATGCATGATGCATCTGAGAAGTGGCCAGGGCCAAGCATTGCCATTGATGAAGAATTCGTGTGTTCTTTTTCCTATAAAATTAAAGAAACATAAGCCTGCATGCTCACATTCTTCCAGTGGCAAACAATAAGTCAAACATGAGTCTAGATGTGAAGCAACTTTGATTAAAAAAAATATCCTGAATGCAGTCTTATAGCATAAAGTTTTCAAATCATATATATATAATATAATATAATAATCATAATGATCTTTCAAATCATTTTATATCCAAAAAAATAGTCAAGCCACAAAAGAAAGTGAAACTTGAATAACACTCCGTTAATCCCTCCGCTTTTCCGAGATCAGCGACTACAACGCATTCGAAGTGGTAGGCTGTCTTGTGAAAATGCTGGTGACACGACATTTGCTCCTGCGACAATTGCTCCGGGCTTTATTTCGTCTAAGACAGGCGCGGATCCAGGATTTCTTAGGGGAGGGGGCCCAACTTTTTTTTTTTTTTTTGATCCTCAAAAAAATTTCAATTTGCACCCCCCCCCCCCCCCTTGAGCGCCAGGGGGGGGGGGCCCAACCCCAAAAAAAGGTAAAAATCACGTGATTTTACATGATTTTTTTCTCAAGGGGGGGGCCCGGGCCCCCCGGGCCCCCCCCCCCCCCTGGATCCGCCACTGGTCTAAGATGTAGGGTTAGGGTTAGGGTTTCAATAGGGTTTTATGTTAGGTTTAGGGTTAGGTTTAGGGTAGGGTATAGTGTTGAATCCAGGGTTGAAGTTAGCCATTCGATTTAGTGTATGAAATTTACAGCGGAGCAATTGTCGCCGGAGCAAATGTCATGGAATCTTTCTCAATTGAGTAACGTTCTCAAGGAAGTTAATACGTTTAGATCGTCACTATTTCATTTGTATGGGTAGGCCTATGCTAGGCCTACGTGATCTGGTTACCTGGGTAAATTCCAATGAAAACACTAGAACAAGTTTAAATCCTCATGACATTCAGGGAGGCTATTCCAATCGCAATCTAGGCTATCAAAGATGTGCGGTAGGCACACACAACTGCCGATTGACATAAGGTTAATAAGATATTCAAGTAATGGAAATATTTTGCTGTGTACATTGGACCCCTAAATTAGTGGATGCACATGGTATACCACTCATTCGAAACGAAGCATCAACAATCTGATTTTTCAAACATTTCATAGTGCCTATTACTCAAGAGTCCACGTTGAAGTATATTAGGAGCGACTTTCGATCGGTTGTAAGCTTCCTCTAGATAATTATCATGGATTTTATTTCTGTCCTAAGTAACTCTCCCTTTGAGCATGTGTTAAATTGTTTATCCCGAGTAAACATTAGATTCTGGACATCAACATAACTTAGAAAAAATACCTAACTTAGGGTACGTTTATACTCAACTTTGTAGCATATTGATGTTTCTCCGACTCTAAATCTTATGGCTGAAAAGAGCCCCCCCCCCCCCTAACAAAATAGGGGGTAGATAGAGCGAGAGAGAGAGAGAGAGAGAGAGAGAGAGAGAGAGAGAGATAGAAGAAAATCGAGAGAAAAGAGAGAGAGAGAGAGAGAGAGAGAGAGAGAGAGAGAGAGAGAGAGAGACTGATATATAAAACTTGAGAGAGGATAAGGGAAATAATGTGAAAAGAAAGTTACAGGAGCGCATCCAACATTAGGTCATATCTCCAGAAGCACTCTCGGAAGCACTGGCGTATTTATACATTTACAAGCAAGAACAACCTTCTTATCAAGCAAGAATTAAAAGGCAATGTCAATTATCATTATGGGAATTTTCTCAAAAATCTTCTACTCGGCCGAAACGGTGATCTAGCTGAAGAATATCCAAGTCCGGGATTCAATCCAACTCCCTGATTACAATACATGTACTTTCAAAATTGACGCGCTATAGTAAGGGGTCTATATATACAACATAAAGTCTAGCAAATTACTTGTGCAATATTCAAAACCAAATCAATTCAGCCTATCGATTTCCTAATATCAGGGTTAGGCTAAAGCATCGCAAATGGAGACCACCGAGGCCAAAGAGATTTAAGGTTATAATTGATCTGAGCATGCGCACATTAGCGTTGCCATAAAACTATTTTCCCTACGCAACGGTACGCGGTTGCGGTTCGACATTCAACTTGATTTTTTTAGAGAGTGATAGATAATTCAATTATGGACCTTGTCAGAATTCAAAGATGAGAACTAAGTGTCCAAAACCTCTGAAAATATCGATGCAACCATGTCGCGGCCAGGTAAGTTGTGTTGAATAAAGTATTTTAACATATTTTATTGAGCTCAACGACGTAAATTTTATTCTTTTCTTTTCCCACATGTGCTAATTCGTGTCATGTTTTGAAGAGCATCTGGATCTAAGATTATTTACTGACACTGAATGATCTACTATCAAGAAAATAAAGAGGCTGGTTTAAAAGTAACCAGCCTCTTACTTGTCTTGATAGTTGAGACAACCTGCAAAAGGAAAACAATCTACCCCCATACCATTTCTTTATGATTGTTTTTTTAATACAGAAAAGAGTGAAAGTGAAAAAAATTTGAACTAAAATAAAAAATTGTCTAAAGTAGAATCTATGGCTGATCTGGAAATTGTGTGAATCAATGACATTTTCTACCATTTCCAGATAGACTATTGTAAGTATATGTGCCATAGCCCTAAATAGCTATGGACCTAATAGTAAGACTCTGACTTATGAGTGTGTAAACCCACATCATATTTTCTACTTTCTAGACATGTTTCAACTTCTTAATTTTTGTCTTTTGTAATTATTTTCAATCGTACCAATAGGTTCTCGGACTAGGAGAAAAGGTCCTGGTATATCTCCATCCTCAGGAGCATCTACAGACCTTCAGTCTTGTCACACATGTGGGAGAACATTTCTGCCCGATGTTTTGGTAAAACTTCTCTTCTCTTTTTAAAAGTGAAATTATTAGATCTTTCCTTACGTCGTACGATAATCCTGTTGGAAAGTAAATTTGAATTATGAGCATACAAGTCATTATCTATAAAGTACTTGCAAGGTTCATCAGCCTTTTAAATGTTAAAATGAAGTTAACAGGGGTTTTCTGTTACTTGAGATTTTTCTTATGAAATGATTCAGTCCCAATTAAGTGTTCATATTTAATCCAACAGGTTTGAAAAATAGATTTCTCATTTGTTTAAATCATAGAACTATTATGTTGGTGGCATGTCAGTCACAAATTGCTCGACATGTGAACACATTAAAGTAAGATGTATCCAAATATCTTCTCATCAGTTTGTCAGACACTATTTTTATTATGAGAAATAAATTATAATATATGTTGAACCCTAAATATTTAAGTCAGAAGAACCTGTATTTTGGTTTTGTTCATAAGTTTTGCTTCTCGAATAAAATCATCTTTTTACGCGAGTTCAACTTTGTGTTTTGGGGAAGAAGATAAGTCTAAATATTTACAGAAATATGTACCTTTTCTTCGTGTTGTTATCATTGTTTAATTGTTGAATCCTAATTGTGTTTTTTCCTGAACAGAAGAGGCATATTCCAATATGTGCCAAAGTGTTCAACTCTAAAAGGAGGGTGTTTGAGTCAGGAAGACAGAGGGTAGCAGGAACTGGAATATCCATCACAAAAATCGTAAAACCTGATAAAATAAAGGTAATTGATGCAGTAAAGATCAAGTCCAATTATTGATCATGCACAATCAGTATATGCACTCATCAGTAGGGCATGTAATATGTTATTTTCTCATTTGAGGACTTGATAGCTAATTATTTTTTTTCCTGTATTTTGTATTTCTTTCCTTTTATTGGGCATGGGGACATATCTGTTTATGGATGTATTTTTTTATTTTTTTATTCACTTTTAGTTACATGCTCTGGCATACTTATGGTCTTGACTTACAATCAGGAGATTAAAGGCATTGATCTAAATTTGTCAATATCCACCCAGGTGACACAATCTAGAGTAGTAGTAAAGAATTGAGCTAATGCACAGTTGAGTGAAGAAGCACATAGTAAATGTGAAATGTTCATTCAGTCCTTAATGATAAATCAATATCCGGGAAAAATATGGTTATGTATTAGATCCTTGTTTGCTTGCTGAGTTTGTTTTGTGACTTTCTTCCAAACAGAAACAAGGTATAAAGAAGACAAACTGGAGAAACAATCATGCAGACTTTGTGAATGCCATCAGGTCAGCGAGGCAAGCCCAGCATGCTATCAACACAGGGCAGCCCCTCCCTCCACCCCCTCCTCCGTCGATCAATCCAGGTGAGGTGCTGATTTAATTACTTCATTGTCTGGACAAAATTGAATACAGCCTCTTCAGCAATCAGCATTTTATATTGACGATGCAGCTTTATGGATATTTTCCTCGTACTCAGACCTGATTAAAACCTGATTTAAATCGGTTTCTGAATTTAAAAAAAAAAAAAAAAATCCTGATTTTTTTTTTCTTCCCGATTTTATTTCCCCCTTATATTCTCTTTTCTTCCCTATTTTCCCCTTTCTTCCCTATTTTCCCCTATTATTTCCCAATTTTTCTTACTCAAAGGGGGGAATGTTGTTAGATGCCATTTTTCCCAGAATCCTCTTTTTATGCCTCCGTTACGAAGTAGCCGGAGGCATTATGTTTTCGGGTTGTCCGTCCGTCCGTACGTCCCGTTCTCGTGATCGCGTTATCTGAAGAACCAATTAATGGATTCCTGCCAAACTTTGGTCATGTATGTATCTTGCAGAGCCGATGAACTGAGTAGATTTCGGGGTCACGAGGTCAAAGGTCAAAGGTCACAGGGCTCATTATGTATGCAAAAACAGCTTGTGATCGCATTATCTGAAGAACCAATTGATGGATTCCTGCCAAACTTAGGTCATGTATGTATCTTGCAGAGACGATGAACTGACAAGATTTTGGGGTCACGAGGTCAAAGGTCAAAGGTCACAGGGCTCATTATGTATGCTAAAACAGCTCGTGATCGCGTTATCTCAAGAACCGATTGATGGATTCCTGCCAAACTTAGGTCATGTATGTTACTTGCAGAGCCGATGAACTGATTAAATTTTGGGGTCATGAGGTCAAGGTCAAAGGTCATGCGGCTCATTATGCATGCAAAAATAGCTTGTGATCGCATTATCATTAGAACAGATTGATGGATTCCTCCCAAACTTAGATCATGTATGTATCTTGCAGAGCCAATGAACTGAGTAGATTCTTGGGTCATGAGGTCAAAGGTCAAAGGTCATGGGCTCATTATGTATGCAAAAATGAACGCATTCTCATTAGAACTGACAGATGGATTACTATTTAACTCGGGACATCTTGCAGAGCCAATGAACTGAGTAGATGTTAGGGTCATGTGGTCAAAGATCAAAGGGTCATATATGTATATGAGAAATTGCTTGTAATCACGATATTCTGAGAACCTGTTAATGGATTACAATTGAACTTGAATTTGAATAATTCCTTCTGTTTTGGTTTGTAAAATTGCTCTATGACGGAGGCATCATTTCGACTGCGCGCAGTCGAAGTTCCATCTAGTTTTTTCTTTTTTTTTTAATTGCTCACTATCACCCCTGCATACTGTGGTCTTATCTGGGGGAGAAGGGTCGTGATTTGTTAGGTTTATTTTCTGTATCTGTGTTTGTATACGAGTCCATTATTCAAACCAGGGAAATTTGATGTAGGAGCAAAACTTGATTGATTTGTGTATGTTGGTTTAAATCACTAAGCCTAACCATAGTTCCTATCCTGCAGATATTAGCAAGGTATTCTTTTTCCTTTTCTTTTTTTCCTTGTTTTAAAATTCCCGTATGTTGTACTTCACCCTAGAGTCCTTGCTACTTCTTCGAAAGATACTCTAGACTTTTGCAGTATAGTTGTCCATTTTAAGATATATCTCCACTTAATTAATCAAAACTAGCCGCGGTTTCATTTACAATTCAATGTGAATCAGTGCTTCCTATCTGTATATATTTCTCCCTTCTCATCCAGATTACATACAGTGTCCACACTGTGGACGCCGTTTCAGCCAGACTGCAGCAGCCAGACATATTAACTTCTGTGGGGAGAGAACCAATACGTTTGGTGCACCTGTCAAGCCCCTCAATAAGAGAGCTGCAGCGGACGTCCAGGGGAGTAAAGTGGCCATCAGGAAAGCTGTAAGTCAATCACGCCGTTATCAAGACAACTTTATTGCCATTTTGTGCCAAATACAACCACAAATTACATTTTTTAAAATTAAAATGTGTAATCAGACGTTCATGTTTACTGCGATATTTTGATATATAAAATAGTTGTTGAAGCCCCCCTGCCCCCATTAGTACATTTGATTACTGTACCTCTTGTTTGTCTCTAATATATAGCTTAAATCAAGATATAAGTCTCTATTTCGAGTATACATAATACTCATCACTAAAGGAAATGAATCCTCTGTAAAAGAACAGTAGCTTATATTTACATGGGTAAAATTTCTAATAACCAACAACTTTACATCCTGAAATATATATATTAGTATCTATCATAATGCTGAATATAACTAATGTCGTATATGTCTATTCTAAAATGTAGTATGATTAAAGTTATGTATTGGAAAAATGCAACTGCAAATGATGTATATTGTGAGTTAAATAATGAATAACGGCCAATATTATATTCCACATTGCAGTATGACAACATTGTAGTTAGACGCAAGCCCTCTACCAACCCCTATGCCTATGCACAAGGTAATGGTGATAATGATGGCGTCAAGGTTTACTCTGCAGCGTTTGGGGGCAGTGGGCCTGATCAACAAGGTGAATATAACTCTACTCCATAACCTGACAAACACAGATAGACAGGGCTAAGGGCACTTTGCGTACCCCCACTATAAAAAGAACCTGAATAACAAAGTTAACTGAACACGAAGTCCAAACCCAGTTTGATTCTAGAAGCCCTCAATAAAACAATTTCATTTAGGGGCTTTCAATTAAACCTGCAACATTCGATTATTTGTCTGTGATACAATAACTTCATGTCAAAAGTAGCTACTTCCCAGATGCTGTCAACTTCCAGTGTCATTTCTAGTTTGCGATTTCCAAGAAGACAATGAGACTGAATGCATATAGTGCAAGGTAAGATTAAAGATGAGGAACACCCAGAACAAGATTGATTGAAGATATTAGAGAGTTATAACTGCATATGCTCCCTTTCTAAAGCGTATGTTCTTGTGGCTGGTCATCAAGTGTGGCATATTATATGTGAAGAGTTGAATTTGATTTGATTTATCGGAATATAGTGTAATGTTACATTCTCCCTCTATAGAAATGAATCTTGTTAAAACACCCAAATCTAAATCAGTCTCTGTTGATTTCATTCAGGTTCCAAGGTTACTGCCAGACGTAATTCCACCTCACCCAGAAGAAAAATAGCATCTCCCAGACAATCATCTCGTAGGAGTTCGTCATCTCTTGTATCTTTGTCACCAAGGCAACAACCATCACCAAGGCAGCAGCCGTCACCACGACAACAGCCATCACCACGGCAACAAGCATTTTCTGGCCCGCAACGGACATCTCCGAGGCTCAAGCAACTTTCCATAGAGCCATCATCATCACCCTTGTCGCATCTATCCAGTTCCCCTCGTTTCCAGTCATCCTCGCAGCCTTCCGCATCACTATTGCCACAGACTGTATCCATGAAGAATTCCCCTTTACGCTCCCTCCCTCCAGCAACACAGCATCCGTCCTGGCAGCAGCCGTCTGCATTACAGAAGCTGCCCTCTCCTTCTCAAGAGATGACAACGATACAACCCCTGTCCGGCCCATCCAGCCCTCACCACCAGCAGTCCTACTCTCCGTCCCTGGCTGCAGGCCCCTCCTCCTCTCAGATATCCCCTCCTCCTTTTCCAGAAAGAAGCTTCAACTCATTACCGCCATGGCAACAGGCCTTGAAGACCAGCAGCGGCAGATCGCCTCCAAAGGCAACACAACTTCCTAATGGACACATCAGGAAGTCAGGATTGATCAAATCAGGAAAACCCAAAGGAAATGTTAGGTATGTCAACCAGTTAGCCAGCTGAGCTAGTTAATATGTGGTCTTGAATATTGGGGATTAACAAAAAGTAAAACGTTTACAAAATGTATTCAAATATACCTTGAATGCTGAAAATTACAAACGAATGATACCTTCCAAAAATACATTTTCATAAAAATAAGTACTGAGAAATTAGCATAGATAGCCAAAGAGGCCTCAAATCTGTACAATTCTGTGCATGCATATATACAAGTGTCTTGGTGGTTTTAAAAACTTTGGGTATTTTTTATTTTGTTGGTTTATTTAACTAATATCTGCCATGACATTAAATAATTTCAGAATTACGTTTTAAACAGATGAATTTTTTTCTTCAGAATATAAGATTGTCACATTTTGTTTGATAATCTTGTCCCCAAAACCAGACACATATGTATTTGTTAATTTAGCACCACGATCTTAAACTATCCCCCCCCCCCCCCTCCTTCCCCACATTTACAGATTTGCTGATGATGTCCAAGTGAAAACATTTGGTGACACTTTACCGGGACCAGGTGATACAGGAGCCCCCTTTGACCTTGGCGCACCTTCTCAGTCTGCATATGCAATGCCAAACAGAGTTGATGAACAATTGTTATCTAGACATCAGGATCTCATGTCAGTGTTGAAGAAAAACTATGGTGATGATGTAATGCTAGCCACGCCCGGCAACCACATGGATGAGATGATGCAGTCCAGGCATCCTGGGCATCCTCCTCCAGATTATAACAGTCTCGGCGGGATGAGTTTCCATGGCAACCAGGGAGGAATGCCTGAATTAACAGCCCAAAGCACAGGGATGCACAGAAGTTCAGCATTGAATGGTCCCCCTTCACATCTCCCGCCATCCTCCATGAGGACATCCTATCAAGATACGTATGGGAGAAATGATCACCAGTCGTATGACAGGTATGTTGAATTCATGAAGGAATGTGAGAGAAAATCATACTTGTATATTCTCTTGTGATTACCTATTTTTATTAGGAAATGGAGATGAAACATGCATATAATATGAGTGACATTTCTCGTTATTTCATCAGCATAACTTGGAATTAGAAAGAAAAAAAAATCATTTAAATACATTTGATATGATAATAAGATGGTATACATCCCAGGTTTGCATCATCTCTTCTATGATGTTTGATGATATCTCATGAGATGATTAAGTTGGCATGCAAAATGATTGTTGTTTTTTTCCTTCTTTCAGCACAACTCCTTTATCGCACAGCATCCCAACAGGACTATCCCAAGAACCTACCTCCAGCCATTCCGGACCTCCACAGGGGTATGGTAGAAGACCACGCCCAATTGGAGGCTCCCTTCGTGGGTCCGTTCCAACCAGGCCGTCACCCAGTGACTTCAGTAAGCTCTCCATCTCCGGTGGCATGCATGGAGGGGGATTCCCCGGAATGTAAGGTCATTTTGTATAGGAGTCCATGCCCATGCAATTGTAAGCTCTCCATCTCTGGTGACATGCATTAAGAGGGATTGAGTGGAGCAAGTTTGAGCTTTTCAAAGGTTGTCAGAGACAACGACCACTTGCAGAATATCCATTCATAGTTGCCAGTGTTGAGCTAGAGGAGAACCATATCATACAGCATTTAAGATGGTTCGATTTGCAGAAGAAGTAGCGGTTTTCCTCAGAGATCATGAAATGTTCCCTATCAATCCTTCTGTACCAACCCATACTCCACTCGAGATGTCAACTGGTGCATGGAAATTTAAGATTACCTACATGGGAATATATAGTAGACATCTTGTATTTGACAGAGCATAATATTGTCTGGGTATAATAGAAGACCAGTGTTTTGATGGAAGTACTACTTCCATCAAAAGACTAAATGCAAAGTTCGGTACGACTCTACTTAGTAGAGTCGTACCGAACTTTGCATTTATTGTACATTATCTTTGTCTTTCCACCACTAGCTATGCAAGTCACATGACAATTTTCATTACCGGTACATCATTTATGTTATACACATGCATCATTAGAAATATCAAAGTGGACTGGTATCGTATCAATTAGAAACTTGGTAATAGGTCCAAATTCATTCCTATATCAATTTGGTAACGTCCAGAATTAAAACATGATTTTACAAAGAAGGGTTGATTCAATTATCCATGTCTAAAATCAATGTTTAAACCTCTGCTTTGGACTAAAAGTAAATGATTACATGTTGCTTGCCCGTTGGACATGAAGATATTAATGCTCTACATTTATCAATATTTAAAGTGTACTAGTCACAAAAAAAATAAATTATTCTGTTGGTTAGAGGTTTCATGTCATAATATTTACCGTAAATTCAAAATATGAGCTTCAATGTTACTTCTATTAGGAGATTTTGCAAGTTTAAATACACTCTTAATCAATATGCAAAAGCCACTTCTGAGTAGATCATTTAACTCACCCATATGCGAGTGCATAAAATACGTGCCTCTCATATTTGACACTTTTCAGTAAATGAAACAATATGCCTTTGATTTATTTATGTATCAAATACAGGGTTTTATATCAACCTCAATGCCTGGATATGCAAACACTAAATAAAAATATATAATTGTTTGTGTAGTACTTTTTTTCTTTCTTTTTCGAGTTCATATTTTTGTGAAAAAGCCATTTAAGTGATAACCTTCATGGCCTAGTATTACTATCTTCTATTATTCCGAGATGTGTCATTGCTTTATTAAATATTGTGTGTCCAAAGCAGTAATATATAGATATTTATAAATTGTATAATCTTAAATATATTTTTACAAAGTCTTATGGACAATTTCTGCTGCAGAAGTTCATCAAATTACTATTACACTGACAGCTGACTGGTTGTGAGCATACTGAAAAAAATAGTATTTATGATTTAATTCAAATATTGATAAGATATATATATATATATATATAACAAATATCTATAAAGATCTGTAAGTGTTAATATTCTTATTATAATTTCATAATAAATAGTGTGCTCTGATTACATGATACACTACTTCTGACCAAAAAAAATAATGTTGGACATCTAGTGGACACTTTTATTTACATATTTATGGTATTCCTTTTTGCTATTTTGTTAAAGGAGGCATTAATTATGATAGAGTTTACGTAATACGAAATCATCTTGATTTTTATGTCAGAATTTCTACACCTTGAAATATAAATATATTTATTATTGTAAATTGTGAAATACAATATGTATGTATATTATTTTAAGTTATATTGTTTTTACGATATATGTTGTAAATCAATGATATATGAAATGTGTTTTGATGTGCCTTTATGCTATAGGATTAGCTGATTTTACCCCCAGATTTGACCTCTTGACCAATGGAGGCATTATTATGTGATTTCACACAGGATGAATATATGTATAATTCTTAAAAATTCATATGTTTAAGTTTCAGAGAGCTGTTTAGGCCTGGTTAGGTTTAGCTTTAGGGTTAAGGTGGCAATTGGGTTTTAGGTTAGCCTGGTTAGGTTCAGGTTTAGGGTTAGGGTTAGGTATAGTGTTGGTTAAAATCTCCTGGTTTGAAGTAAAGAATTTGGTTAGTGTAGGAGCAATTGTTGCAGGAGCAAGTGTTGTACAACCTTCTTTCAACATTTGTGCCTTTTATTTTTCACAAAGTGGAAATGACAAAATTTTAGTTATGATAGTTTATTACCTAACTCTTTAATTGGGTACAAAACTATTGGAATATCATTCTGTTGGAATATAGTCCATGCAATGCAAAAGTTTTTTAATTTATTTATTTCTGATGCTGCCTATGTTGAAATGCCCATTTCTAAATGTTGTTGTTGGTTTTCTCATTTATATAATTGATGCATTTGCCTTTGTTGTCTATATTGAGTCGTGTACACTTTGTATTGTCCAGTGGAAGATAATATTGGACATTTTTTATCTTCTTGGAGGGAATATTGTTGATTTATCAGAGGTTCATTCACACACACAGTGTTATATTACATTTTGGTGTGGACATGTCAGGTGTCCCAAAGGGGGGGAAATGTAGGATTTCATCCATGTTGCGTTGGTTTCCTACATAGGGGTAACATCTTGCATATATTTGATTTGATTTTGATTTGATTTTCTTCTGCATTCATGTAAACATACAGTTTTTCGATAACAATAATAATATAAAGTACAATAAGTATTTTTCTGACAATGAATCATAAATAAGCAAATACATATATATAAATTGTTATTTTCAAAAACGAAATGATAAACTGTCATAAATACTAAATTTCCTCAAACATGATAGTTATACGTTGAAATGTTTTAAAGAATTACAGAACGATTGAAGATAAATGTAATGCAGGAAGTATAAAACACAGTAGACTGTCAATAGAAATTGTAAATCTTTAGTTCTGTATATAATTTTTGATATGTGATCTAGTATTTGTTTTGTTCTTTTTAGTGTTTTTTTACAAGCTATTAGTAATTGAATATTTGCCTTGTAGATTATGTATAAATAACCTGTTTCTTGCCAATTGATGCTGAATTAAAGCCAGGTTAAGAAAAATGTGTATGTGGAGAGGTACATGTAACATATTAGTTATTGATGAAACTTGAAACTTTTACTTAAATTAATGTAGTCCTGCTGTTAGCAGCGTGAATCATTAAATTGAATGCTTATATCTAGCATTGGTTGTATTGGTAGGTTAAAAGTCAGATTAAACGTTCAAAATTTGATCGTTATTTTATGAATAATTTGAGGGAAGAGTATCTCGAACGAGAATTATGAAGTAAACTTGAAGTGTTTCACAGCATGAAACTGTCATGATCACCTGTCCTCAATCTACTGGTTGTACAGAAGTCACCTCCTAGATTTGCCCCAGATTACAAATTAATGTAACACCCTCGGACTCTATACCTCTCGGATCGAAGCCTACCTAAAGGGATTCCAGGGTCCAAAACTCCAAATGATGACATTTATGAAACCTTTGTCGATAGGCCCTGTCATATTTTACCAGAGTTCACTGAATTTGTTATTGGTGGGTTTCGTTAAATTTATTATTTGTAGTACTATAGTAGTAGTACAATATACAAAAAATAATTTATTTTTCCATACTTGATAGAATGAATTCCGCGAATTTTATATGAAAATTCAGCATTATTTGTATTTAATATTAAGCTGATTTAGAAATACATGTAAAAAAAACTTAAAATAGACCTATTCGAGTTCTAGAAATGTAACATGACATTATTCATTCAACGATGCATTGCTTTTGCAGCTGAATAAATTCAGTATAGACTCCATTATTGTCATGCGTTGTTTCATTTTCTTTTCTGTCTTCACTTCACAACTTTGTTTAAATATTTGATTATCTTTGTTATTCTCCACTGAGAAATATACAGGATAAATTCATTCTCTTAAATCCCAATTTATTTTTTATTTGGTTTGTTGAATACCAGGGAGGTGAGACACCTGACCTTCCTGGTCAAAGTTGATATTTTTTTGTTGGAAGTTGTAGGGGGGGGGGGGTAATCTAGATCTAGACCTATGAGCATTTGATTTGACAGTGAGTTTTTTGTGTCCATGACCATTTTTTTTTTTTTTTTTAATGTAGACCTAGTTAAAGATAAGTTGAGTTCTGGTAAATCTAATGCGATTGCATTGTGAAAGAAACGACGTGACATCGATCAGAAAAGGTTGATCATCTAGATCTATTGGGTATTGCCATTGGTGTGTTACGTGTGTAATATATACGGTTCTGGAAAAAAATCAAAATAAGAAATTTTGCCCAGCCTTGGTAAAGTTACAAGCACTGTCTGTAGGCCTAGCTAGGTCTACACTAGACAGAAATAACCATCTGATTTGGGTCATTTCTTTTTTGTTGACATTCCCCAATATAATCGGAGGTCTAGTGGAGCCAGACGTAGTCTCTGTGTAACAACCGACGACTAGAGAGACTGAAGTTTTCGGTCTAGGTCTACACAGGAATAGCCTAGACCGTATGTAGGATGGGCCTAGATCTAGTATAGTAGTAACTTCTATAAAGCCTAGACCTCTACACGAACATGCATGATGCGGCATGCTGTTATAGTTTTACATCATCATGCCTTATTTGAATAAGAAGCCTTTTGAACATGTTGAACTTGAAGGCACTTGACTTGAGAATGAGAAGCCATGCTTTTCAGGGAACATTTTTATCTGATTTGCTTCCACACTCACGTATTAAGAACAATGGGAACACTCACAAATTATTTTTTACCTCTTCCCAGAACTCCTGTTCTCTGTTTTAGTTTAAGTAGATCTAGATCTAGATCTAGACTAGACCGAAAGCTTCAGTCTCTATAATCGTCGGTTGTTCCACTGAGACTACGTCTGGCTCCACTAGACCTCCGGTTATAGAGACTGAACGACTGCCTATGCCAGCCTGTGTTGAACTTATTCCGCTAGATTTTAGCCGCTAGGCCCCTCCCACAAACTTGCCACGGCCGTATTGTTATGCCCCCAAAATCCCCCAAAATGTCATTTTACCCCGTTCATTTCCAATTTTAAATTAGGCCTAGGCTATAATACATCGGTTCCACTTACTAACTTTATGGATATAATCCGTTTAATGGTCCCTTTTAAGGAAATTATGGGTCAAAATCGACATCCATGTTGAAAATCTTGCAAGCCGTGTTCCCGTGTGCGACTTTGCGTTTTACACCCTGGCCTGGACCTTTTCCCAATAAATTTCAAGGAACCGACTGGGAAAAGTCTATCCATGACAAGATATTGCGCGCGCACGTAGCTCTTCTGCAATGCTCAACGTACGTCCTATATGTCCAGTGTCGCGGTACGCGGTACATGTACTTTTGTATCGAGACGTACGAGTGAGAGAAAAACAACGAATAACAACAGAAGGAAATAGAGAAAAACAATAAATAATTAAAGAACAGAGAGGAAACAAAGAATGTCATAAGCAGAGAGAGAAAACAAAAACTAACTTGAAAGAAAGAGAGAAATTAGAGAAGGAATTAATCAAAGTAAGGAAAGAGAGAAACCAAATAATATTATGGTTTTTGTGGTTTAATTCCGCCTTCTTCAGGGTTTCAATTTTTGACGTGTAGCCTACTTTCAAACCATTTGCTGATTCGGACCCCCCCCCCTAACACACGTGTACACATATCGACACATACACAGACTACACTCGACATAATATGTGTAATGGTAATGTAATACATAAACTGTGATTTAAATATTGCACTCGTACCATTTTCTATTATTGTGGGATCACGTCTTTCATTTTTTAAATTCATGTCATTTGTTTCTAAGACCTAATTTCTCTAATTATCTTGACCCCTCTCCCTTCATATTTGTGTCCTAAGACCTCCCCCCCCCCTCATCTCTCTTCATATTTGTTTTCTTAGACCCATTTCTCCCCCGCCCCCCCCCCCATCTCTATTCATATTTGTTTTCTAAGACCTCTCTCTCTCGACCCACTCTCTCTCTCGTATGTATTTCTCAGACCCCTCTTTCTTTCTCTCTCATTAACCCCCTCTTCATATTTGTTTCTAAGGCCTCTCTCTCTCTCTTCATATTTGTTTCTAAGACCCCCCCCCCCCTCTCTTTCTCATTTCTTGATATTTGTTTCTAAGACCTCTCTCTCTCTAGCTCTCAATTCATGATATTTGTTTCTAAGACCCCCTCTCTTTCTCACTTCTTGAATTCATATTTGTTTCTAAGACCTGTCTCTCTCTCCCTTTCTCTCTTTCTCATTTTAAATTCATGATATTTGTTTATAAGACCTCTCTTTCTCTCTTTTTCCATTCATCACTTTGTCTAGTGTAATGTACAGACACATAACATATAAAGGAAATTATACACCAGTTTTACATGAATTCATTTGCACTTTATTTACTGCTTTACATTCATATACTTTTTTTTTTCGTGAAGGTAATCTAATCCTTCAATGTCAGAGAAGTAATACAAAAGATACAGGAGTATGTGTATGCATAAATAGTTATATAAAGAAGAAATATGTAGTAAAAGTGAAAGCAAACAATAGTAGAAATTTGAACAGATAATTTGACAGTGTGTTAAGATTTAGATGCAAGAAATGACTATAAGAAATTTTTATTTGAAAATACATGCACATGTAGATAAAAAGAGATCTGAACATAGGCGGATTCATGGGCGCAGAGGCGTGCACCGCACTTTACTTTGGAGATAACGAACTGAATACACATAATAATGGATGATACGTGAAAATATTTTTCTTCAGCGAGTAACAATATTTCACGTATTTCGCGAAAATTGATCATCCAATATTATAATTATTATTTAGATACTCCACAGAGATATTGTGATTTATTCACCATTTTTTATAATATACTAGTACATGTACTTGTAAACTGCATCTTGGCAATTGAAGCTTGAAACGAGTGCAAATATGAAATTTCCCAAGCATTTATGTGGTGCTGGTGCACAACTAACATGAAAAGTTAAAAATGTTTGAATTTCAAGAAAACAGTAGGCCTACCGTAACACTAATATAATCATTTACCTGTACAAAGTCGAACATCTAGAATTTACATATCCCAATCCAAGTACTCATGAACTGTATTAAGTTAGTAAGTTACACCTTAACTTAAGTTAGGCCCTCCTGCAGTCCTAGACTACATAACGTTAGATCTAACGTTATGTTTGTTTACATTGTTACTTATGCTTAGCTAGTCCAATTGACATTGCTGTTGTTAATGTTGACTGACAGACAGTACTGACAGTGACAGTGACAATGTGACAATGTGCAGCGACTCACTTAGTCTTACTCTTAGTTTTGCTAACTATGGATGCCTAACAGTTACAGTTAATCGTACTCATATAACTACAATTCAAAACTGGATTTACAGTATTCATACCCGCAAAGGCGTCTGCATTGCCACTCCGTCATCATCCTCGATGAATTCCATCGTGCAGCAAGCTTCTTAACTTGTTGTTCTGAACTTGAAATCCTATATCTTCTCCCTTAATCTTCAGTATTGCAGCTGCGTACGGTGTGTATAAATGCTGCATCGACGTACGTCTGTACTGTGCGCATGTACGATTCGATTTGGAACTGGCGCGCCCGATCGAGGAGCGTAGACTAGACTCATTCAAGCAGTTTCATTGCTATTTACCGGGAAAATGTCCAGGCCAGGGTGTAAAACGCAAAGTCGCTTCCCGTGTTAAACTCTCGCTGCCGTCAATCTCATCCCTTCTAGTCTACGCCGAAGGCAAAATGATTATGAAGGAAAAACTGCGCCATCTACACGTTCGTAATGGCGTTATCACAGTTTTCCCTTCATAATCATTTTGCCTTCGGCGTAGACTAGAAGGGATGAGATTGACGGCAGCGAGAGTTTAACACGGCTTGCAAGATTTTCAACATGGATGTCGATTTTGACCCATAATTTCCTTAAAAGGGACCATTAAACGGATTATATCAATAAAGTTAGTAAGTGGAACCGATGTATTATAGCCTAGGCCTAATTTAAAATTGGAAATGAACGAGGTAAAATGACATTTTGGGGGATTTTGGGGGCATAACAATACGGCCGTGGCAAGTTTGTGGGAGGGGCCTAGCGGCTAAAATCTAGCGGAATAAGTTCAACACAGGCTGGCATAGGCGATCGTTCTGTCTCTATAACCGGAGGTCTAGTGGAGCCAGACGTAGTCTCAGTGGAACAACCGACGATTATAGAGACTGAAGCTTTCGGTCTAGATCTAGACCTGAATGATGGTGATAGGCCTAGAACTACGGAGAGTTTAGAATTTGATCTTTCTTGGAAATGTGGTGGCTCTAAAAAGAGCCGTTGGTTTTAGATGTCAAGCTGACAATCTAAGCACGCTCGCCACGGATGCGGCGGGCCAGCTGGATGTCCTTTGGCATGATGGTAACACGCTTGGCGTGGATGGCGCAAAGGTTGGTGTCCTCGAAAAGACCGACCAAGTAGGCTTCGCTGGCCTCCTGAAGAGCCATGACGGCAGAGCTCTGGAAACGGAGCTCGGTCTTGAAGTCTTGAGCGATCTCACGGACCAGACGCTGGAAGGGGAGCTTGCGGATGAGCAGCTCGGTACTCTTCTGGTAGCGACGGATCTCACGGAGAGCGACGGTACCGGGCCTGTAACGATGGGGCTTCTTGACTCCGCCGGTGGCTGGGGCGGACTTGCGAGCTGCCTTGGTGGCCAGCTGCTTGCGAGGAGCCTTTCCTCCGGTGGACTTGCGAGCGGTCTGCTTGGTACGGGCCATTTTGATTTGCTGAATGTGATATCAACTGATGTTTCAAAAATCCCGCACTCGTATTTATATCAAAATTGTACGAAGATGATTGGTTAGTCGTGCGACAAGCAGTGATTGGCCATTCGCTATATCAAGCACAGTATGTGATTGGGTACTGTACGCTTTCCTAATATATTCATGATTTCTTCGGGCCTCGTCGTGTGATTTTGTACATGGTCATTGTAGTAAACATTATAAGATTATGAAATATTAAACTTAATTACATCCTAAATTGTATCGTTATCGCTGTGAAGTAGTATTTCTAAATGTATTACAGAAATTTATACGCTAATACGTAATATTCGTTAGGTTTTAAGAGAAGAAAGATCGTACTGGATTGGATTTTCGAGATCGCTGTAAAAATGAATAATTCATTAACAAACCGGCTTTCCTGTCGTCGACATTTTGGCTTTTTGAGAAGTATGTTATCATTTATCAATAACAGCATCCATCAAAATTGAAAATGAAATGATCGATATTGAATAGAAAATGATATGGACTATTTTTTCACCAAACAAAAGTAGAAATTGTAAGAATATTTCCACGTTGTTTTCTATTTTGGCGAGCAAACGACTTCAAGGAGTCCTGATGAATTATTCATAAGGTGCTGGCGACCTGTTGTAAACGATTTTGGTCAAGTAAAATACATTAATGTTCTCTTGTCTACTGTGCAATATGTAAACTAATACGCTTAAATACTGTATTGAGATGAATTAAAGTGTTTAAATAGTATTTGATAACCGGAACTCTGTTCTTGAATTTTTTATACCGATTTGAGTAAAGAATTTGTTCATAACGAACGTGCGATAGTTTATGCAAATATTGCATCGACGAAGCGACGAGATTTTAGTCCCCTTGACCGTAGGCGGCTCACTCTCAATAGAAATTATTTAGTACACTCGCGTCCGCAAAGGAGTTATATATACCCGCCGAAACTCATTTTGCAGTACAGATTTTTTCAATCGTCAAATCTACAAGTCAACATGTCTGGACGTGGTAAAGGAGGAAAAGGACTCGGAAAGGGAGGCGCCAAGCGTCATCGCAAGGTTTTGCGTGATAACATCCAGGGAATCACCAAGCCCGCCATTCGCCGTCTTGCCCGACGTGGAGGTGTCAAGCGTATCAGCGGTCTCATCTACGAAGAGACCCGTGGGGTCCTCAAGGTCTTCCTTGAGAACGTCATCCGTGATGCCGTCACTTACTGCGAGCACGCCAAGAGAAAGACCGTCACTGCCATGGACGTCGTCTACGCTCTGAAGCGCCAAGGACGTACCCTGTACGGATTCGGCGGTTAAGAAGGAAATACCTCTTAACTCGGCATATCAAACGGCTCTTTTTAGAGCCACCAAATATCCAAGAAAGAATCAATAAGAATCTCCAACTAAGTTTGACAGCACATGATCTAGAGTCTAGACTAGAGTCTAGACTAGATCTATGAATGAAGTGTGTGTGGTGACCAAAGTACGCGGGGCTTTTGAAAGTATTAATTCGAAAGTCTAAGTACTAAGAGTCTAAAACTAGATCTAGGTCTAGACTACTCTGGAGAGTGATAAGAAATGATCTGTGATTTCCAGGCTGATAATTACCCAACTTTCCCCAATGTTCTCACTCGTAAGGCAGGGAACCTGTTACATGCCATTTTTTTTAAACAAAAGGGGGGGGGGGGTGATTGAGGGAAGAACCAAAAATTAGTGCTCACCAACAGTAACCCCTGGATTTCTCATTCTCAAAATAGGCCTAGGATAACTACCCCCTAGGCCTAGCCTAGTTGTCCGGGGGGTAAGTGTCCCATGGGGTGGTCGTCGTAGGGGGTAGTTGACCGGGGGTGGATGTCCAGGGGGTAGGTGTCCTAGAAATATACCTTTATAAGATCTAGAGGATCTATACCAGTGGCGGATCCAGGGGGGGGGGGGGGGGGGGGGGGCTTGAGAAAAATCATGTAAAATCACGCGATTTTTACCTTTTTGGGGGGTTGCCCCCCCCCCCCCCCCCCCCCCCCCCCCCCCCCCCCCCCCCCCCCCCCCCCCCCCACTGAGCGACTTTTCGGCCGGCGCGATTTTCAAATTTTCGGGAGCAAAAAAAAAAAAAGTTGGGCCCCCTCCCCTAAGAAATCCTGGATCCGCGCCTGATCTATACTATAGTCTAGGTGGATGCAGCGCTCTGTTGGGGGGGGGGGGGGGGTTAAGGGAGTCCCAGTGCCCCCTCACCTTTTTTTTAAGTACCCCGAAAGTGCCCCTCCCCCTTTAATTCGGAAAACTACCTCTTATTTACTTCGGAAAATATCCCTTCAGATCTATAATAGTAGTAGGTCTCCTGATAAGTGCCCATTTTCCTTTCTGGAAAGTCCGCGCCCGATATATTATTGTCACTTTAATCTTTATATAGATCTACCTATGAATAGCCAGTGCCCCTCCTAAAGTGTGACTAATTACGAATTTATGTTGACTTTTGTTGATCTGTAATAATGTATACATAAAACTAAAAGGGCACACTTTTAGGCGATATTGGGAAATAATTAAGATTAAGAAGCAGATCAAAAATGAAAATAAAAAATAACAATTATACAATGCTCACTCGTAAAAAACTCAATTAGTTGCTATATCAGAAATCCCTAAGCAACACCATGAAAAGAAGGGTTTCAATGGGCCAATACATGTGAATATATGAAAACATGCAACGCTATCTGATGAAATCAATGCAATAAGGTACTAAATGGTTGAGGACATACCTGTCTTTTGTTCATCTAGCTGACTGATGAATAATTGGAATGCTGATGTCACAAAAGTCATTTGCTTTTGGAGGTTTTTTTTTTATAGGGGTGGAGATTAGCAGGTAGAACAAAAGTATTAGAAAAAATCATATGAAATATATAACATAAATGTACCTCTAAAAGTCAAGAGATATGTGATGTATAAATTTAAGAAGTGCCCCTTTTTAAATATGTAATAAGTTCCCCTAATTGTCACTTCGGATTTATTTTTTATCTGCTTCTTAATTATTTCCCAATATCGCCTAAAAATGTCCCCTTTTAGTTTTATGGTCATCTAAAAAGTTGTATGTAGCTTTCAAAAAATTGTCGCATCTTTGATTTTGAGTAGTAAATTAAGACTGTGGAGCAGGGGGGCGAGTCACATCAATATGTCCAGAAATCCCTAAAAAAAAAACGTGCATGTGCCCCCCCCCCCCCCCCAGCCTACTGTAGTCGATGGTGTGAGGAAATAAGATTTTTAGAAGGGAAATTGGAAATTTATATTATCAATTTAAAGAAAACATTAACAATCAGTGAATAGTGAGGCGATGACGTCACAGACTCATGAGTGAGTCGCCAATTTGTCTTGTGATTTTCAAAGTTTTTCATGTCATTAAAAATTCATAACTTTCTTATTAGTTATCCGATTTTGTTCAAACTTTTTTCGATGTGGTTGTCCGATTTTTCTGCGTTCCATTGAAAGTAGGGCTAGCTAAGTCATTTGGGGGTTGGATTTGCCCTTTAATAGTAATACGATTTGTCGTTTGGTCTACAACCAGCTACTGCCCATTTCGTCTTTAACCATAAGGTCTAATGAATGATTATTATTGATAGTAGCTCAAGATGTAGACCGAAAGCTTCAATCTCTAGCTGATGGCTCCTCTATTGGCAAATGTCGGAGCAGGGATATGTGAGTTATCCCTGGTCGGAGGTATATACCAGATGGTTACTTCTGTCTACTCTAAATTGACATAGAGTCTAAAGACAAACTGGGAATAAGGGTAATATGAGCAATAGACGAAATGGGTGGTATCTAGTCTACTTATAGGAGATTAGACCAAATGTTGAATGAGAAGTAGACAAATGATTATTCGACCATGTGGATAGTAGACCATATGAGAATAGACCAATTGGTTAGTAGACGAACTGGTGGTAGACCAAACGGCCATGAACACGAATACCACTTCCAGTTAGATATTTTAGTCACATGTTTGCCTGAAATGTAGACTAGGTCGTGTTATTCACTTTTCCATCGACAACGCGAGTGTGACGACTATTTACATCATTTATGGAAATTGTAAGTTCTTTGTACATTCTTATCTTTATAATTAGTTGAAGGAATGTCTTATGATAGTAAAAGATAAAGTTTGAATAATTTTACAAAATGAGAAGGTAAATTTGAAGGTGATATTGTCTGATAATTTGGGGACGAAATGGGCTGAATATGGTGCAGGGAAAATGAACGAATGGGACTAGAGTCTAGGCTAGATCTACTACAAGTACGTAGGCCTACTAGCTAATCGTGCATTGAAATCGAGGGCCTGGTGCTGGCCTTTGGTACATTCGTTAACAGCAACAGCCCGAGGGCATGTTCTTCTTCTTCTTCCTGAAAAGTGTAGGCTTCATGAAATGGAGATTTTAACGCACTGTTGAATGAAAGGCTTAGCAGCTTAGTCTAGGCCTAAGGGCTGAGGTGACGTCTCATCTGGTTTTGCTTGAGAACTGCGACTTGTCATTAGACTCCCTACTGCTACAATTAAAAACAGATGTCGCATTTAGCGTTAACAAGTTGTTTACTTTATGCAAATTAGACTTCAACTTCAAGGACGAAAGCTTTCGCGCCTGCCCTTGTCAATGTTCTTGTACAGTAATTCTTTTGCAATAATGTTTTTTCTCTTCTTATTATTTCTCCAGAATTATTGACATCTAAGATGAATTGAATCAATGAATGGACATATCTAACAATGTCTTTGGCTCAAGTCTACCCTCCACTTCTTCAGCGGGCAAGCTACAGCTGTTTTGTGTTGCCAAGGGCAACCTGTTGTCTTCCATCCTTACATGCGAAGAGTGCATCCCAGCTGCAGCATCATTCTCCACTGGCGACATCATCAAGCACTTGTAGGGACAGTCTGAATACACAGTCTGGTCAGTCAAGAACTTATTATGCAACACATGTCAGGGGGCAGGACCAAGAATATGACTTCCCAAAGTCTATGGGGAAGAATGAGACAGGGAAGTATGTAGATCTTGTGCAGATGGTCGGCAAGCACAGGAAAAGATACACAAGTGTTTATGTGTGGGGCTTCACATACACAGGAGCCCTAGGTGTCCCATCCTACTTTTTCCCGAGCCAACGCAAGAATCCCATCAGGAAACCGAAGAAGTTTCAGCCTATTCCTTACAAGCTCAAGTTTGATGAAAAGGTCAGTCTTTGGTCTATTCTCTGCAGATTTTCATGTACCGGTATCTCATAAGAAAAAGTTCATGTACTATAGTACCGGTTTCCTGTTAGATTACAATGTAAAAAAATGTATAGACCAATACAAACAATTCCTGATAATGCACATGTATGGTGAGGAGGTTCATTAACATTTTATGAAAACTATAGGTAATCTTATGTTTGAATGATCAAAGGTGATTGATCAAATTTCAAACAAAAGAAAGTACCATGAAAAGAAATAAATAGTTATGATGGCACAAAGGTCACACTCTAAGAACAAAGTTTTCACCTATTCCTTGACTTGGAACCACCAAAACAGTACTGTTAACCCAGAAACATTTGTGACACAAAACTTTTGTGAATTGACAAGGACATCCCATTTTTAGAAAAAACTTTCACAAATCGCAAAAATTTATTGTTGTGTCATATTGTGATTCAATTGTATCGCGACATTAGCATGAAAATCGTAAAAATATTTCATGTACCCGAAAGTTTCTGGTCTTACAGTTTATCAGCACAGCATGTTGCACCAGTCCTCTGAAACAAGCTGCCAAGTGCCATTCGAAACATTTCAATGCCTACAAACCTTTCAGAAACATGTTAAAACAGTTTTATTTACTCAGAGTTACAATTGATATTATGGTGTTAAAATTCTGGAGAGAGATTTGTGTATTTTGTTTTGTATAGCGCCTTGAGTAAGTAATTAGAAAAATGTGCTTTATAAATATTTGTTATTATTATTATTATTATTATTACATTCATATCTTGAGCAGATCACAACAGCAGCTTGTGGATATGGGTTTTCACTCATCGGTAGCCATACACAGGACACAAGCAAGGTGTGGGGTATGGGCATCAATACAAACTCACAGATTGGATACCATCCCAAGGCTATGACAAGTGGTAAGAAAATGATCAAGAGTTTATTATTAAAGACTTCTAAAACTCCAAGTACAATTGGGGGAAACCATGAATGTAGGAAAAATCAGAGAAACAGCGTGATGAATGTTTGACTGGAGTTTTAAAAACAGAGAGTTCAGAAGAAAACAAATTTGGAAGGTTGTAATAGGAACACATGCGGCCTGGGTATATCAAATGGTGAATTTGTCATTTAGCTGACATAATTGGGGACTCTCCCTTTCGTTGTACTCTAGAATAGCATTATTCTTGGTTTGCCTTTTCCCTCTAGGCTATACTTAAGATCTATTTTGAATTGCATGGTGGTATAGGTCTTCCCGTAAAAAAAAAAGATCCTACCTAGTGGTAAATCTTGTTTAAAAGGATATTCATCGTTTGTGTCAGCACATATATGGGAGATATGTCTGCTACTACATCCAAACCAAATTGCCAATATTAAATTCCCATATTATGATTACCACTGTTACAAAGTGAAAACTTTCTTATAGTTTGTCTAATTTTGTTCAAACTTTTACCAATGTACATCTGTCAGATTTCTCTTTTCATTCCAATCAACTTCCTATAACAGTGGATTGCCCTTGAGGGACGTCCAAGTCGACTGAATAACCACATGAGACTAGAGGTCTACTCGAGACTGATGACCTATGACCCCCAAATCCATTGTTTGCCAATCACTGTGTTTTGATCTAGAGGGTGGGTCTTTATTCCTGCGCAACGTCAGAAGAGTAGAAAATCTTCACAAGTAAATACTTCAGGGGAGGGTTGATGAAATTCAGTTTGTTTTGTCTGATAACTAGTGCAATGTCCAAGGAAACAAGATTGATGTAATTGCAACGTCTTCTTAACAACAAACGAACACAACATTACAGATTTTTCATATTAGCTATTTTCCCTTTGTTCATTTTGTTGTTTATTTGTTATGTTGTAAGAATTGTAATTCAATTCATTATTATAACAAGTGTTGTCTATGACCAATGTCTGTAATTAAACTTTTTAATTTCATGTCTAGTATGAGCATTCTTTGATATAATTATATACTTTAATAAAGGAGTTAGATAAGCAGTCAATCTCAATATTTTCACCCATCTTCTTCATATTCACTCATCTTATTTCCCAGTTGAAGGAATGCATACGATAATCTCGCCAACTGAAATCAACCTACCTCTAACGAAGCCCAGGAAAACCAGGGTCTCTCAGGTGTCATGTGGTCGATCTCACTCCCTCATCCTCACAGATGAAGAAGGTGGTAAGTAACGCGATCACTTAGTAATGTCATAAGGACAGTAGCTACTCTCTATGCATGTAATTGATTATGTTGCCCATGAAGAAGGACTTAAGTGTCGATTGGATGATTTTAATCCTCTATCTGCATGTAGCCAGTGTGGGTTGTTAGCAAAGAGGTAAAGGGAAGTTAAGTGACTACATATGCCCCATGGTAACTATGTAATATGTTTTGTATCGGTATAATTTGGGTAATGTGTGTATCGCAGAATGTGTAAGTGACTATATAGGAGCCATAGTTAATTTCTTTTAAAATCATTCAATATGTAATATGTAATTTGAAGAGGAAGAAGGATGAAAGTTACAATATGTGGAAGTACAGAATCTATACATAAAATCAGTGTAGCTTGAATGATTTCAATTTAAAATCAAATTTCATTGATTACAGTATATAAATCCACATAAATTGGATCATTCTCAACTATTTAGTAATTTGAATATGTAATGTAAAATGAAGAAGGAGGTAAATATCAATTTATTGAAATTAAGCATATGTTTTATGTAATCTGTATAGTTAAAATATATGTACAGTGTATTGCAAACATCAAGAAGGAGGTCAGTTTTGATTAGTGGGTTAACTCCTCTGTGATTATATAGTTTGAATGTTTAGTGTGAAATGAAAACGTGGATAAATTATTGTCAGCTGGATAAGGTAACTTCTCTTTACATATACAATATACATGTATAATAAATTCACTGTTTAGTTTGAATATTATAAGAAATGTTATAAAGTTCTTTTGTTAAGTTGCGGATAAATAAATATATTTCATATTTCAGTCTTTTAAATATGACATCTTGTTATTTTTCTCCTACAGTATACAGTCTTGGCAATAACTCTCATGGGCAATGTGGGAGACCTATTATACCACTTGAAGATTACAGGTAAACATTTATTGATACTTTTTTTATTTTTTAGGTTTTGATATTCTAGAGATCTATACCATAAAAGAAAAAAATATCAACCAATCTTAATATTATGTAGTGAACTATTACATCATATATTTCTTAATGATATAATATCTGTCTTTGATTTGAGGGCTGTTGCACTTTTGTGCTCTTGACATTTTGTTATTTACTTGTTTGTTTTTTAATGTACAGTATGTATGTTTGTTTTCTTCCATTTATTAGAGCAAAACAAACTACGCACTGAAATCATTCTTTTGCTGATTATGTGGTAATGGATTAATGACATACATTGCACAACCTAAAGTTCTTTCGAAAGAGGTGTCTTACAACTGCTGATGAAAACCTATTCTATAATAAGGCCCTGCCTTTCCGCTACATTTAGCACTGGGTATTCCAAGTTCTATTTCTTTTAATTTGTCTTTATTCTCTTTTCATTATTACAATTTCAGCTCTAATAAAATCATTCATAAAATTGGAGGAATAGAGGGTAAAATAAAACAGGTAAGCAAATACTGAATATTTTTATTTTTATTGTATAAATGTTTTTTTGTAAATGATGCAAGTCTGGGCTGGTATTCAATTCTATATTTAGTTAAGTAAAACTTCTACTTAGCACTTGGCTTAGCTAAGTATATCTCATTCAGATCACATTTAAGCAATTAATTTCGCAAGCCGACTTTACAGAAAAATACTTACTGATAAGCATTGTGACATCACATGGTCAGTCAAAAGTAATGCGCAATTTACGTGTCATATTGAATGCATGCTAATATAATAGTGCATAGCTTATGATCACTGGGTATGAAAACCATATGCCTGCCAATCAATGTTTTCAAAATTAAGTCTTAAACTTAGGGTAAAATACTTAGCCAAAGGCTTCAAATGAATACCTAATTTGGCTAAGTATTTCATCTAAGCAAAAACTGAGTACAAATTTTTTCCTATGCATTTTTGTTAAAATTATCAGTACATTGAAAATAAAAGTGTACACTGTAACTTTTCCAGCATCACTGAACTTGAGGTGGTTTTAGAGAAAGAAGGTCATTCTGTACATTAAATATGTTTGTTTAATTTTGTTTATTATCTGTATAAAATTATATACACTTAAAATATTGTATCAAAACATATTATGTTCATGAAAATGTATGATGAAAAAAAGAAAAAAAGAAACCAATAAATAAAATCAAATCAAATCAAATCAAATCAAATCGAATGTTAGGTACATTTGATTGATAGGTAGAACATTACACAGGACATACCGAGGCTGAAATTTACACATGCTGGTATGTTACAAGAGCAGGCTTGTAAATTACAGGAAGAGATGAAATCTGCAAGAAATTGTTTCACTGTTGATTTCTTGCCACAAATTTGTAAACAAGGAGGAATGTAATCAACATTCATGAGGAGTGATATTGAAAATGCTCAAAGTCATATGGATTATGGTATCTTCAAATCTGAAGTGAAATCGGCGTAGAATTTTTTTTTTCTTCTCAAACTGTAAAGACTTGCTGATTTATTACATCGTTAAAGTTGATCAATATCAATGGATATTTCTGTGAACTGTTACATATATTACAATGTTGTACAAGCAAACTAGTTTAAGAATTGTCCTACAGATATATTGCCACTTCACCTGTGGAAGAACATCAGTACATGTGTTTAAGTGTATAGCTTTATGATATCAAAATTTGATATTTACAACCATCTACTCTGTATAGGTTATGGACACAGTAGTATGTATAGTTTATTGCTGTTCTTCTTCTTGTATGGTTTTATGTGTGTTCTTCTTCTATTTCCTTTGTTGTTTTCGCTTCTTTATGTTTTAACATTACCTTGCATCATTTATACACTATACAGATCAGCTGTGGCCACGATCATAGTCTGTTTCTGACTGAAGATGGGCACGTGTACAGCTGTGGATGGGGGGCTGATGGCCAAACTGGTAAGAAACTTGTCCTATCTTACGATTGTTACACAGACTATTGAACACATGCTATGTCGAATAAAGAGACGATTTCCTCTCATGTACAGGATGCTTCATTTAGCTCGGCTACAGCTAGGGTAATAATATGATTGCAGGGCCCTCAGGGAGAACAGTATTAATGCTGATGAGGCTACCCTGGGTAAACAAGACATATTAGTAGTAGTACAGTGTATTATTATTATTATAAACATGAGGTATCGTTGGGATACTGCTCACAATCAATAATTATCTGTCTGTTGCCTATATTTGTGACAGGATTATATAAAATGTAAAGAATATGTATATTGTTTTACATACACATGTAATTAGACCTTGGGCGCGGGGTGGGTAAGCATGTTATACAATTGTAATAACTGTATACTTTTTAAACTCTGAGAGAAGTCTGTGTGGATCGAGATTCCCACAAAAAACAATATTGTATAAGTGTTTAATGTATTTTAAGTCGAGAGGAACACAATTAAATATCTATCTTCCAATATGATCAGGCTTTTCAAGTATCATAGTATTTTGATGCAATAATGTGGCAAACCATTGTCATCATTGGTTAGAACAAGAATGTTGCAGTGTCCGTATTTGATAACACTCATCACATCGCTTTTTCTCAGGTTTGGGTCATTTTGAGGATACCAGTACTCCAACACGCTTAGAAGGGGATATCAAGGATGAACATATTACTCAGATCACTACTCTTGCAGATTGCTGCCTTGCCATTTCAGGTAAATATCTACACATCACAAGTCATTTTATATAGCGCATAATAATAAATTCTCTATGCGCTTTACAACAATCAATTTTACAATATATTACATAATTAATCTAAAGAATTAAATATGCATAAATTAACAGAAATACATATCATATACAATTATGTAAAAATCAGATATGATATGAATGGTATGAACTTATGAACGCAATTATAATATTTGAATAATTACGATCTTATTGTAGTAAGGAAATAACATTATTTGACATAAACTAGCATATAATTAACAGACTATTGGACGAACATAAATGTTTTCAGAAGCAAAAGCTGAAATTTTGGCTTACATGCATTTCCGCAAGTTGTTTTCTTTCACACAGGCTATATACAGTACATGTTTGAACATGGGTTGCTAGCTATTGTATGCATATTGCTATATTCATGACCATACAAAAAAAATCATGAAATTAAAACACTTGTGAGAATGATGATTTTAAACAGTATTATGCCCTGATGACTTGTGCCTATTTAAGATGCAAAGAATGATGGATGCTACTGCAACTAAAGAAACAACAGTAGAAAGTTTAGACAGTTGCAGAATGAATCTAGTTTTCCACAGGTTGTATTTAAATAATGTACTTTTTTTAAGAAATCAAAATTATATATATTTTTTTTGTCTTGAACATTATATGTGAAATTCTGCAGGTTGAAAGCTTGTGGAATTTTTTTAATTAAACCTTATCTTTCTTTGCTGTTCACTGTCTATGCTATTTTCACTTGTTACTAGTCCAGCTCAATTCAAATTGAGTAGCCATTCTGTGAAATATGACTCTCTTTGGCACCTCCTTTTTTGCTTTAAAGATTTTTTTTAAAATGTCATTTGTAACTTCACTATTCAGTGATGATGTTAGCCTTGCATCCATATTTTAGTCATTAGATTTTACTTAGAAATCATGTATTTCTTTTATCAGTGTGTTCTTACTGACTTGTTCGTTATTTAGATAAAGGAGAATTGTTTGGTTGGGGAAACTCAGAGTACAATCAACTCAAGTGCGTTACCGAGGATACTCAAGTCTACACCCCTACGCATCTACCATTCAAGGGAATAGGGAAAATTACCAGTGCTGCCACTGGAGGGACGATATGTGCCTTAACAAATGGTCAGTTACTCCTTTATGGTATAAATATTGAAACATGAGCAATGAGAGCATAAAGAGCCAGTACTGTAGTTACTTATCATCATGACACACTTCAAGTATCTATACTTATATTCTTGATCACTCGCAGTGAAACTTTATTTCTGAAAAAAAAAAATTCAAATATTATTGTCAATATTTGTGATTGTATTCAACACAAATGGTGATATAATTTATGGCTGTCAAATACACACAAACTAGTTCAAAGGTTGCTGTATACAGCATACCTGCTAATTACCAACAAGAATATGGACATACGACAACATATCGTCGCTGTTTTCACGAAGTGACGGTAGTGAAAAAAAAATCGCATTCACTTTGCGTTACGATTTTTCTCACTACCGTCAATTTGGGAAAACAAGGACGATATGGCCTAGCAGGCAGACCGTGGACTGAATGTAGTTACAAAATTTCATGAAATGCTTTTTTATCTTGCTAACTACTAAGTAACAATTTGTATCTTCTTTGTATTTATTTATGTTATTGTTTGATGACTGTGCTTGATTCTGTAACAAAGTTATTTTCTTGCTACCAGCAAATCAAAATTAGCTCTTTTACCAAATCAAAGTGCCTAGTGTGCAATATTTGAATCTCCTCTCCCTCCATTTTATTGTAGAATCTGGAGAAGTTTGGGTGTGGGGCTACGGCTTTCTAGGGAGAGGTCCCAAGTTAACAGACACTGCTGTTCCCGAGTGTATAGACATGACATTGTTTGGTAAATCACGGAGGAGGACGGATATAGCAGTCACCAAGGTCTGGTGTGGTCATCACTACTTTGCTGCAGTCACAAGTAAGTTCAGATTACCATACATCAACTCCAAAATTCTTCCATTCCCAAAGCTAGGCTCTAATACAGGAGCCACCAGGTTCTTGGGAAATGGGTGAGAGTTTTGTTGAATCATGGATTTGAGAAAGGCTAAGAAAGTTCATACCAATACTTCTTGACTGAGAATGTAACAGATTTTGTACTCTAGAGCTTCTTGTAATTGTTAATATATCATATCTATCTACTTTTTCTGTAATATCTCAAATGTAACTGCTCATTCTCATATTATTGGTTAGCAAATTTTCACATAATTTGCCCAAAAAAAGTGTAACCCGTAAAAGCAGTGAAGTTGTACAAGTTTTGGGAACTTTAACATTAGTTATCCCTCTGCATTTTCTTGTCAATATCATGTTTATCATATTTCATTGTGCTTCACTCATGCTCAGTGTGGAAGTTGCAGTTTCCTCTTGTACACACCTTTTTTATATATCGTCCGTTTGGAGCCACAGAGACCTTAAAGTCTGTGTTAAAGTAACAAGTTAACTGCCTGGTTGCTCCATTTAGATGATATGAAGCATGAAAATATCTCAAAATGTATCAGCCAAAACAATCACTTTTTCTTGGAAATTCTGCAGTTGTTTTCATGAGAGGCATTGGTGTAATTGATTGATTTTATTTTTGCTTCTAGATAATGGAGACCTGTATACCTGGGGTACCAATGGATCAGGCTGCCTTGGTCTTGGTCAGCTCCATAGCCAGTACTTTCCTCTCAAAGTAAGTCATATCTCTCTTACAATTCTCTCTTTGAGCTCTTTAACAATTCTTTATTAAAAACTATACTTCTTATTAAAGGGGAGGGGAGGGGGTGTTTTTTTTTATTGAGATGACAAGTGATCCATTTCTAAAAGGATGATTGTATTGTTTTTGGAGGGGGAGACTGAAATGATGTGATAAAAACAGAAAAGATAAAGATGATCCATGCTGGATTATTACAAGAGAAGGTACAATTATAGGATTGACTACTGATAGCTGGGGTAATAATATGATTGCGGGGCCCTCAGAGAGAACAATATTAATACTGATGATGCTACCCTTCGGTAAACAATACATGTTATTAATATTATAATAGCCCTCTTCAAACTAAAGAGTTGTTTGCTGTCAAGTGTCATGTGTGTAGATATTTTATAGATTTTCAACAAATGAGTTTGTGTGAAATCTGCTTTGTGATGTACCTATAACAACACACTTGGTGCGCAAACCTTAATTTCTCAGAATTCACTTTAATTCTTTCTCTTCTCTCCTCTCCCTCCCTCCCTCTCTCCCTCCCTCCCTCCCTCCCTCCCTCCCTCCCTCCTTCTTTCTCTTCTCTCCTCTCTCTCTCTCTCTCTCCCTCCCTCCCTCCCTCCCTCCCTCCCTCCCTCCCTCCCTCCCTCCCTCCCCCTCTCTCTCTCCCTCCCTCCCTCCCCCTCTCTCTCCCTCTCTCTCCCTTTTTCTTTCTCTTTCTCACTTTTCTCCCATCATGCCCATCTCTATCTTAAACTTTAATCATTCTCATCTGACCCTGTCTCTCCATTATGTTACCTTCTTTCATTTGTCAAACTTTTCTTCCATCCTTTCAGGTCTCTCTACCTGGTCAGGTGACCCATATTGCCTGTGGAGTGGATCACACTATAGCGCTCGTCACAAAGGATATCTGAATAGGACTTCCCATGCTAAATATACCTGCATGTATCTCATTTCATTTCATTCTGATGTAATTGGCACCCGCCTCCATAGAAAGACCATCAATGATTCACCCAATCATGGAGATGTGACCCATATGGGTTTCACCTTTCTAAGGTAGGCCATACAATAACACTTGTCACAAAGGACAAGGATGTGGCCCACAGAGTTAGATGACCCATGTGACCTTTGGAATTGGTAATGCCATAAAGGACATCTTCATTATACTTCATTTCAACCTGCTGCACTAGGCACCACCAGCAGGAAAACCCTGTTTGTACATCCAAGTGATGATTTAATATGGAGGACATCCAAGGTTGGACTGCGTCATTTTTAATTCTTATCATTGCGCCATGTATTGGATACCTCTTTAAATAATCCATCAGTGATCCAATCAAGATAGTTCTCAAAACAGAGGGCATCTAAAGTTGTACTGAATTTCAATAACTTTATATACTGAAAATATGCAAGTTTGTAACTGGTTGTGCTTGAGCTTCATATTGGACATATGTTTGAATAATTCATCATCACATAGCAATCAGAGTAACAAAACAGATACAAAAAAGATACTGCAGATTGTTGAATCCACCATGCTTCAAAGCCTATCTGCACTAGTTTGGCCAGGGGGATTGGACCTCTCTGCGTGGTCACTGACAGGTGGTTATCTCATCAAATCAGCTCTAAATTAACATAAGGAAAAGGGGACCATGGGGGACCAACAGGTACCGCTTAGGCATTGTTTGCTATATAGAGGGCGTAAGTTTTACAGGTAGTGCATTTCCGCTTTAAAGATCACTTTTACACAAAGATCTTGCAACAAATATGAAACTGTTGATTACCGTATCCATGAGGTAATTTTTATTCAAGCTAATCAATCTCTCTGGATGTGTTCCTGGGAAGATCAAAGTATTATTATCACCAGTATTAAAGACGGATCAGGAACTAATTTCCATTGGACGTGTGACATACAGGTTCCCTTCAATTAGCCCATTATCAAAACCATATACCGGTACTTGTCAAAGCCAGGTATAAAAGTGGCTGTCGAGTTATAATCCAGAAATTATCAGTTATCATCTTATCATGACATTGTTTTTGTTGTAGTAAACGCATAGTATTTTTTCTTGTCCGAATAGTCCATTGAATTACAAATGACCAGGCGATGAGTTGTGAACTCTGCTTTCAATGGATTTGCATGTGCATTTAACATGTGTAGTTTTTCACATTGGCTCTATACTATATGGCCAACATTGTAACTTTTTTAGGAGACTATAAAATTGCATTAAATGCATTTAAAATATTTTTATGATGAGGATAATAAGAAAAAGCCAGCTGGTTGACCCTTCTTTTATTCAGTGTTCATCCGATTTAGAAAATTTAACTTTATTACTATTTTGATAGTATATCCTCTTTGCTATTCAGGAAAGAACATTGTATTTTAACCTCGAAAATGTAGCTATTTACATGAAACAGAGAAACCTAATGACTAGCAGAAAAGGTTCCTAATGATTCATGAACCTCCAAAATTAATATCTCGAAGTGGCATCACCACACATGCAGCCCTGTAACAAGATCTACTGTACAATTTATGTGCCTGAATGCACTATGAAGGAGAAAAAAGTCAGCATGGTCTTGTAACTATTTTTTGTCTTCAGGTGCCTATATTATGACCATCAATGTTGCTGGATTATAAATCAATATCAATGACAATCTGTTTCATTATACATACTGGTAATTATTTGTAAAAAATCTGATTATGATGTTGAATATGTATATGCTAGAGCATGAACTGGCAACTTGATGTGTCTTTTGTGTTGACTTCCTTAATCCTGCCACACTTAATGATGCTGCATTACTACCATTTATTATGGAGGGTCATTGGGAGTATGTGACTCAAAATATAAAAATAATCATTTGCAAGGATCTTTTTGTTTTCTTTTTCCTGTGTGATAGCTCTTAGCATTAACTTTTATTGCAAGATTACTGTAAAATAAATGGTGAGTCTTGCTATATGTTCCTTCATTGTTAAAATGGGAGGTCTTTCAGGCTCAGAACTTAAAGGAGCATTTAATGTTGAACCCTGCATTGAAATGAGAGAACTAATTGGGTTTGTCTGACTATTACCTTCTTTGATATTTTGATCAGTTCTGTATGAATAGGAAGAGATTTGGGAATCATTTTTGATAATTGTGCAATGTTTGTATGCTGTCAACCATTCTCGAATTTCCATTAGATAACTTGTGAAAAGTCAGTCAGAATCATTGTTTGTTTTTTTGCTGTTAATTATTTGCTGTTTTGGTAAAAATTTGCTTCAATTGTTCACCGCTTCCATGCCAGGGTTGGAAATTCTGCCCATTGATTGTTAGTTTTTAACAATTCATTTGGACTAAGATTGACTAGATTTGTCTTTCTGAAAAAGAAAAAGAACCACCATTTTATGTAAGGTATTTTAGACATAATTTACAATGAAGCAAAGCATTTTATAAGTTAAAAACCCATTCTTGAAATAGCACTTACCAAGTTACCACACTTGTTTAAACACTTTAAAGCATGGGAGGGTTTTAAAAAAAAATCTATTTGAGGGACATGTACATGCATTACATGTAATAAGACAAAATATAAGATTGCAAAATGTGTGTATCAATTGTAATCAGATATATAACTTGCGATAATGTTAACTTAAAATCAACCTTTACATCTTCTGCCATTACTACTTGTTTTCAGCTGATATTAAAATGCATGTTATGGCAATTTTTAAACCAAATTCGAGATTATATTTTTATGCCTATTGTCATCTTATCACATGAGCCAAAAATACATGTTCATGTTAAGACCTGAAATGATTCGCTTGATTGTGTATTTTTATGCTAATAAACGCATCAGAAATAGCATTTCTGGATATAAGGAGACGTAGGAAGTGCTTAGTTATCTATTTACTGATTGATTGAAGAGATTCACTTCTTCCTGTCCAACCTGACATGTACCTGTATCTGTTACTCTGCTTATAATCTCCCCATTTTTTTTTCTCTCTCTCTTTCTATTTCTATTGTTTCTATTTCTTTTCTTTATCTCCTTTGTTTTATTTTCTCTCCTTTCCTCTTCCCTTCTTTCATTTTCTTTCCAATACCTCTTCCTTTCTCCTCTTTCTTTGTCCCTCCATCTCTCTCTCTTTCCTCTTCTTTCTTTCCCTGTCTTCTCTTCCTTTTCTGCTCAGTCTGTCACTCTCCCTCACGCTTCTCTGCCTATCTGCTTCTCTCTCTCTCTCTCTCTCTCTCTCTCTCTTCTCTCCCTCTCCCTCATGATTCTCTCTCTCTCTCTCTCTCCTTTTCTTTCTTTCCCTGTCTTCTCTTCCTTTCCCGCTCAGTCTGTCATTCTCCATCATTTCTGCCTATCTGTTTCGCTCTCTCTACCTATCCAGCGAGTATTTTAATCCATTTCCTCATTGTTCCCTCAGTAATTTTCATCTCGCATCACATCAGTAACCCTTAAAATATTGTGAATTAAGGAATTAATGCTTTCCAATTTGTTTATCAAAATATTTATTCCACTATTTCATTGTGTACAAATAAGAATATCATCTATTTCATTATCTGTTATTTGAGATGCTATCTATGTGTACTTGCCGCTAGTCTTTAGATATGATGCGTAATATAATTTGCAAAAATTCAGGAATTTCTTATACTCAAATAAGCTTTCTTTAATAGACATTGTCTACCTGAAGACTCTATCATGTAAATTTCCTATGGCCTGATCTCCAGCTACTTAAAGCTTGTCAAAAAACGCCCTTTTCTCTCTCTCTTAAATTAGAAAATATAACACTCCTTGAAATATATGTACAATGAATGATGGTGTTAAGCTCTTAAAATTAACATATTGTATATGTAAAGTTCACCCATTCATAAAATGCGCACCAAAATAAATTGCTAAAGAAACATTGATAAATATCCAACTATCATCAGATATATATCACCTACAAAATATGTCTTTGCATGATCTACAACTATAATTGATAATACCTTGTATATATATAATCTACGGTAACTAAATACTGTCCTATTATATTTACATGTCACTAAACTATTTGCTTTTCCCTTTTAATAAACATTTGTACATATCAAAATCCCAGATGTTATAGTACTGTCAATAGTTCAAACAAACATATACATTCTCTCTGTCAAAAATTCACAATTTTTTTGTTATAATACAATTTGTTCATCATAAAATTACTATTATATGATTACATGTTGTTTTTGTCTTTCTAAGAATAGAACATCACTTTGCATACATAATAGGCATATCATTGCATATTCATTCTGCTTCGGATCATATGTCCCTATACTGAAACCATCATTTAATTTCATATACCTATACAAATGGATTATCTAGATAATAGAGTATTCAATTTAGTCTTCTATTGAAACTTAACATCCTCTTCTAAGATAAAATGAACTGGATATCGACATAAAATTTAGGATGAGAAAAAATATCTGACGGTGATGTCACTAATGAAGGCCCACCTACAAAGCAATCATCTGATTGGTCAATGCACTTCATTCAAATTAGAACAAGAATGTGATTGGCCAGTCGTGACTGCAGAGGGTGTAACCAGCCTCTAAAAAGTTGGCATCATTAAAACTAGGTAAAGGAATAAAGAATCATGACTTTGTATATTCGCCAAGTATCACCTTTAAGCAAATCTACTTCTCACACTTTGTACTTTTAATGTGTGATTTATCATCAGGTTTGGTATTACTTGCAGTACCAAATTGAAATTACAAATAGCAGCTTATATTTTAAAAGCTACATGTAGAAACATATGATGTGCCTGCACTGAGGTTTCGTTAGCGTGTTGAATATTAATACAAATGAACGCCTGAGATGATTCTTGGTGAAACCCATTTATGAATGAAAATGTAATCCTTCCCATTGGGTTTTATGCATGATTAGCTTATGTTTTCTGATCATTACTAATTATAGTATTTCACTATCTTGCCTGGTTTATTATATATTCATTTTAAATTTGTATAATACCATGCAATCTGTGTTGCATGAAGTGATTTATTCAATGGCAACTGGAAATGTTAAAATGATATTTTAGTCTTCATGCATGTCGCATTTTGCTACTGAACATATATAATTTTGAGTCCAGAAAGAAGTATTATGAAAAATGCTTTCTGCAAGCTGCCTTTTTTAGTTTACATGGAAACTTGAAGCATCGAAAAGTGCTGCAAAATGACAAATGCTGATTAATTAAAAAAATAGATACCTTTCTTATGATTGAAATTGAATTTGATAAAGTATATTGAGATATATTCAAAGTCACATCTATAAGTTGATTCATCTACATCTGAGGGAAAGGATATTCAGTTTAATGAAACTGTTGATTCAGCCAAATTTTAATTTCGTAGAATATATATTTTAATCTTCTTTCAGCTGAGAATTATATCATCTTCTTTGTTTATAAAGAGTATATATATATATATATACATATGATATTTGGAGATTGTGGATTTAATATATGGAAGCCATACCCTTCTAATGGTCTTCTCATTTGATGAGATGTGTTCTTACATAAAGAAATTTCATTTGGTTATGGATGTCATATATTAGTTAAATTTGTGACTGCCTTGATATTTGATTTGTTGGTTTGCTCTTTAAATGTCCCCTATGCAATGGTGTTTTTCACTCAAAATTTGGTGAAAATGTAATGCTGAGTCTAGATGGTATTTTGGAGACTGTTTGGGGGGCATATTTGAATTTTCTGTTTTGATTGTGGATGCATCTGACCACATGCAGGATGTATTTTTAGAATATAATTTTATAGCCAAAATATCTCTGGCGGACGATTCTGCTATCAAAATTGTACCATTTTGACCCAGCATTAGCCAATACCATTTTGACTTGTTACCATATGTAATATGACCTGCAATATGGTGTGATTTTAAACGGTGCATGAAGTAATACAAGTTTTGTCGATAGTGCCCTCAATCGAAATGTAATCAAGTAAAAGTGTGTTGTTTATCTGGTCTAAACAATATCTATTTTTGTAAGTAGTAAGAGCACATAATTCATAAGGTATTTTTTGTGATTGATGGAATTTCTCAATGTACGTTCTATATTCAGTATTACTGCAGAAGTGTTCACCAATAAAACAATTGATGTGAAATTTCTGGAAAAGTAAACAGTCTCAATTTTCTTACTCTTTGCTTATTTACTGCGTAATATACACCATATTAAAAACAGTGTACATGTAAAGGGCAAGTATATGTCTCATAAAGGATATTCTATTTAGTTTTCATCCTTTCTTTAAAATAAACATTTTAAAAATCGGTTTACCAAAACATTAGATAATAGTACATCTTTTTTTTTGAAGAGTAAAACATGTTAAACATTGTTATTAGTTATTAACTTTGGGGGGAAATAAACTTAATTATATGCAGACTTACACTTATTTCTGAACTTACAAACATCTATAATGATAAAACATTCAGAGCAAATATGTTCTACAAAGATGAGATTTCTTGCAAAGGTTAAGCTTAGGCCAGTTATATGTCCCCTAGCTTTGCCGTAGAAGCACTGCAAAAGGGTTCAGTATGAAGACGAAAGCTCATTCAATACTGAATAATTGGCAGTCGCTTCGGGACGTTATCCACTCTGGCATTATGCCTTAGTCAAAGAGCAACGTTCTTGTACTCTTTCTCAATTTCCTATCCGACTTCTTCCGAAACCACACATTTCTGGAGTGGTTTATAGTTCATACGTCTTCATACAATAACCCTAGTAGGCCTCAAAAGGACGAGAGTCGCTCGTCATTAACTCCTAGGTTAAACTCACTCTCTAAACCTGTAAACACTAATTGTTTAGGTTCAATTATCATCGCTTATTCTTCTCTCTTTCTTGATGAGTTTGACACGAGCCCATTCCCGTTTTTTCTCCAAGTCGTAACCGCTGTAGTTGGACGTGACTGGACCGTCGTCATCCACGGCTTCGCCGTTGCGCTCGTACGAGGAACGGAGGTTGCGTTGCTGAAAAGCATCTGGAGAAATTAAGGAATGCGAAAATGACAGAAATGCAATAAGGTAGGTGATCAAACCGAAAAAAAGCTGCCTATACTTGTTACAGATTTTTTCATAATCGTGAATAAAATGAGGATTAATTCGCGTTCTACAGTTTCTATAACAGAATGTATTCAAAGAGAGAAGTGATTTTCATCGCTGATTATAGGAAAAAAAATCTTTCTTCGAGACGTTTCCTTTCAAGTTATCATGGCCGAAACCATTGCTTTTTAGTTTTTTACTGCACTTTAATATCCAAACAATCAACATTCACATACTAAAAATAGAAATGAAAACAGCAGCTTAAAATTGAAGAAAAAAAGTAGATCCATAACGTATCAACAAAGGTGAGAGAAGGTGTGAAATAATTCTTTGTTTTGATAAATATCTGATAAAGGTATAAACTTACAATATACATCACAATACTATTCCATTTATAGGCCTATAGCGCTCTCCCTAATGAAAATATTTCCCAGCACTTTATATCAATAAAATGTCAGAAAATTGATAAAAAGTGTAAATTAAACTTACTCGCATTCCTGATGGACACAGCCCGGAAGACTGATCTCCTTTTACTTGATCTCCCTCCGTAGCCCGGGGAATCACCGGCCTCGCTGTTATAGTAGATAGATCCTGTGTCACTGTAGGCAGAGTTGCGGCCATCGCGGTCCATCGCAGTCACACTCAGGTTAGACAGACCTGAAACGATGGAGAGAAAGTTATGAAGCAATTAGTGATGATTTTAGTCATTAGAAGTTATTTAGAGGTGAAGACGTATCGATATGTTGCCTCCTCCTTCTTCTTATTCTTCACCATCATCATCATTACATCGTCATCATCATCAACATCGTCATCATCATCATCGTCATTAGCAATAACTTTATCACTGTCCTTATCGTCACAATCATCAGATTAGATTAACATCATGGTCATCAACGTCTTATTCGCATTCACCATTGTTCTCACCAGTCATCACTACATCAACTTCACATCATCTTCATTTACGTCATCTTAGTCTTTCTCCTCATAATCATCATTGTCGTCATTATTTACTTTGTCATTTTTGTTCGTTTTTTTTTAAATATGTTGTCATCCTCATCTTTCTCGTCATCATCATCATCATTGTTATCATCATACTCATTACCACTAACTTCATCTTCATCAACTTACCCAAATCTTCGTCATCATCTGCCTCCCAGCTGTAGTGGAATGGTCTCTTATCAATCTTGGCCTGTTTCATATCCTCAATCCTCTTTCTCCTCCCGTCTGTCTTGTTTTCCCTGTCGAAGTTAGAGCTTCTTTTGTTGACTCGAGCCCACTTTCGACTTGACTGTAAGTCAAATGAGAAATAAGTTGAATTCAATAATATTGGCGGTGCGGTCGTCGTCATCAGCAGCAACATCACTACCACTATCATCATCGTCATTATCATCATCACCACCAACATCACTATACCAATACCACTATCACCTTCAGCATCGTCATCATCATTATCCTGACAGTCATCATCATCATCATCATCATCATCACCACTATCGCCATTATCATCCCCATCCAAACAATCATCACCATAATCGTTATTACCATCATCATTACCATCAAAACTATCATCACCATCACCATCATCATCACCATTATCACCATCATAACCATCATCACCATCATTACCATCATCACCATCATCACCATCATCACCACCATTTTCACCATCATCATCATCATCATCATCATCATCATCATCATCGTCATCAGCATCATCATCATCATCATCATGAGCTATTTACCTCTCTTCCCATGAGGGTTGCCTCGATCTGTGCAGCTGTACGGAAGGCTCTCAGGAACCGACCAACATCTCGTAGTACTGCATGGAAATTGGGGGGGGGGGGATAATACAAATAATTACATTAGTTTCACTCATAGAATAGCAGGAGATAACATAGATTGAAATAACTTCTTCTAGTATTCTTATTTTCGCCCACTTTTTCTTTCTTTCCTTTTTTCATTCATTCATTAACTTTTCATTACATTACAGTCAGAATCAACAGAAAAATCATCAAAATGAGGTTATATTTAAGTTCAAAACTACTGATGTTATGAAAACTGCAGGTAAAGAAAGAATACATAGAGAACTTAGAGAAGAAAGTCGAGAGTGATAAATAGGTGAGGTGTTTATGAAAAGAGGGAACATTTAAGAATTATCTCAATCGAAGCAGGACATTTCGTTACATCATGCAGCTAATTTGGCTTCCGAACAGTACCACATATAGGTAAAGGTGCTAATTGATACTTGTCTTGCTGTCTGAACTATCCTACAGGATAGGAGCATAACGGTTCACCGTTGGGAGGCGCTGTAATTATGTGGCTTCCGGGTTTGTCTTCTTCAAACCACGAAGGTAAGCTACATAGCCACGAAGGTAAGCTTATATCACGATACATTTCAGAGGTAACAGAGGCCAGTGACATAATATGTGCACAGGCAAAGGTGGATTTATAGATTGGGTTGAAATTCCTTGAAATTTATGACACATTTTTCGCTTAATTGGGTAAGTCAGAGGTTAATTGAAATGTATCACGCCCCGGTTAGAATGTACTGCTTGGTGATAGTTAAATTCAGGAATACTCAATACATAGAAGCTAACCTTGATTATCTCAAAGTATGATACCTTAAAATTAAGTTAATAATTGCCTATCATTTTTACAGTAAAAATGTGATCTTTAATTAGGGTTTGCGTATAGAATTTGGCTAAAATGTGAACAATCTACACAGGTTAGAGAAAGAAGAGGGAGAGAGAGAGGGGGTGGGAGATACTGGCATACTTTGTACCGGTACATCACCCCTTAAAACAAAAATGGAAGAGTCTGCCTCTATGTTTTCTTATCTCACCTTTGGGATTGTCCATTCTAATGGCGGGGAGGACAACCAAGGAAATCCAGCAGGGTGTGTTGAAATCCTCCACCTTATCTTTGACGAAGCTTAGAGAAACGATGCTCAGTTTCTTCAGTCGATGGTGGTCAATTTGACCATTGCCTTTCTTAGCCTCAATAGCGAGTTGTGCCTTGTACTCTACAATATCGAAAACCTAATGGTAAGTGGCAAAGAAGGGGAAAATCATGGTGATTAGCTTAAAAATCCAGTTAAGACATTTGTAATATATGAAATCAGGCAAGAACCATTACATAATAATTAAACAAGTCTATTTTCCATCTCATCTACCATCATGATTGTATCATACAACTTTAGTTTTAGAGTAGAATTTTGAACTGAGCGTTACACGACAGGAAAAGCATCAAGTCGGTAAACCCAGCCCGGCTGAAATATTAGCAAAAGGCAATATGATTGAGGTTATGTATAGGCATTGAACGGTAAAGAAATTACGCGTCAACTAAATACCAGGAAATTTGATTTGAAAGGTAATTAGTGCACAGTCCCTTTGACACACTTCCATCTCTTACAAGAACAAATTTGGATTATCTTTGATGCAATGAGATACAATGTATACCTCAGTACTGAGACTGCAAAAATGGCTTTCAGGTAATACAGAGGGGACCTAAATACAAGTGAATTAAATCTCATCTTTCATACAAAGTTGGTTAATTGATGAACAAGAAAATATTTCCACAAATAAAAAGACTATAATTTGAGTAAACAATGAAAGAATTCGAAATGTATAGTTCATTCGGATCTTTAAAATTATAAAAAATAAAAAAAATGGATCAAAAGATAATCCTGTATACTCCAAGAAATATAAGTATTGCCTTCACAATATAAGGGAGAGAAATTAAGATTGTCTATCAGAATAAGCATATCGGAATCCGAAAATATTCTTACTTTCATAGCTTGGTTGCGTGGCAGACGTCCCATGCTTGCAACTACTTCTGCCGAGATGCAGTGGTTCTCGGGTTCAAAGCACCCCTTGACGAAGACCTCATTTTTGCCTAGTCTCGTGGCCCAGACGTTTCCTTCGCTATCTATCTCTAACTGAACGCCCTTCCCGATGTGTTCGCGTACCTTCTTGGTTTCTGGATCCCGTAGTGGGTTTGCCAGCGCACCGAATCCAAGTCTATATAGAGAAAAGGAATAATATTCTTTAGTAGTAGAAACATAATCAACTTTAGTTTCTCTTCATGGAATAAACTTTTTGTCGGTAAATTAAATACTTTAAATTAAATGCGATTGGAATTATTACAATCTCTATAAAGATTATGCGTTCTATCTATTAATATATCTAGACTATGGCGTTTCTTGCAAATTATTTTGCTAATATATTTTTAATACTGACTTCTTGCTCAAAGTTCCCGTTTATGATTGTTAAACTTTTAAGAGAATAGTCAAATTCAACTGTGGTAATACTATTAAAAATACATAATAAGGTTGGAAAATGGTGGGAACAAATTGACGGGGGAGGGGGCTTGTACCTGCCGGGGTGTTGGAAGGCGTATCCATCAACGATCATGGCGGGTGATTTGATTTGGTAGTCGGACAGGCGACATCGTTTCTCCATGAAGTAGACTTTGCACCACGCCTCAGTTCCGATGTCCTGCATGCTGTATGTCAACTCGTTGATGATTTCCTGATCGAAACAAAGAGATTAAAACACGGTTATCACGTGACTGTACGATTTCTCAACCAAACTTCACTCAGGATAAATGAATTTTGTCATCCTTTCCTCTACAAGGGGATGGCAATTAATTTGGATGACATTAAGTAAAGAATCTGATATCAATCTTAAGTCCTGTACACACAAAATGCTTTATTCATAATCGAACATTCTGATTATGAAATATACGACCAATTATACTAATTTATTAGTTGTCACGTAAAATAGTATTTGGTTATACCTCTGAAGGTAATAAGAGAAGGGCATGTAATTGTTTTGTCCAATATTTCTTTTGTATAAGGTTTTATTAAAAATGGGCCCATTGACTAGGCCTACTTATCCAATCACAGATGGAAAATTGCACTTGTTCTAAAGATCAATAATTCATATACAATTTCTTTATTGGACCATTGGAGTAAACATGAATAATCAAATATTGACATTATATCCAGGCGTGTTTTCTCGAATAGTAAAACATTGAAAATATCATTGACCCCCTAAAGTATCATTTTTGTATCACAGAGAGATGACATTATTTTGTAAGCACCGAAACGTATATCTCGAATACAACATACATGTTTACAGTACAATTTATCAAAATGTAACATATTACCCTAACCAGACCCAAAATATTAGATGAAAATGATAACATGCATGTTTGAGTTTCAGATGGCATTCCATGCAGATGTTATTTTTGGATGAATTCACACTCGAAAATTAGTAGGGAAGGGTACGTAATGTATGTGGAAAGGTTTATGAACTGATGGTGAAACACATTAATTTGAGAGAGAATTATGTGCTATAGATTAAATTGGAATAAAATGGTAGGATGAATCGCTATCTGATCAGGACATCACGGTCACAACAATAATACGAACCATACCATTTTTTGACATCAAGAAAAGGTTAAAGGTTAGTCGTTGACAATACAACCCATATTAAAATAACCCTTTAGGATTTAGACCAAAATACAACTAAGCTAAACTAAACTAAACAAAGTATAGCTAAAAATGATTTGAATGAACAACAACAAACTGCTTGCCCACACCATCATTAAATTCCAATATATCCTCTAAAATTCTATAAAGTGGCATTTGACGGTTTGTTTTGTTTTAATTTGTGTTCGATTATTTTTATAACTGAAATCAAATATGGTGCTCAAAAACTGGTGCACTAACCTACATCGGACATTTTAAAGCCCCACTGCACTACTTATAGCTACTTACGCCCTCTATATAGCCAACAATGCCTAATCGATGACCATTGGTCCGCCATGGTCTCCTTTTTGTTAATTGAGAGCTGATTTGATGAGATAACCACCTGTCACTGTCAGTGACCATGCAGGGAGGTCTAATCTCTCCTGGCCAAACTAGTGCAGAGGGGCTTTAAAGATAGAATCAAGTAATTTTCACCTCTCCATTTATGTATTTTCCTTGAATTGCCCTGGGTATAAGACTGGGTTCTTCTTTCCTTCTCGGCCAATGAACATGCCTCTCACCAACATGTCTCCCTGCTCCTGTCTGGATGTTATAGTACTCAAATATTTTATCGGTAAATCGTCATTGTTACTATATTTCCACCGCTGCAGGTTTTTTTTTCTTCTTTCGTTCTTCTTTCCTTTCGTGTGTTAAAGCTTTTGTAAGGCAACTATCTAGTATGGCAATATATATGCTCATTAGCTTTGGAACTATCCGCAGTGCAATAGCAGCTAATTATTATCTAGATGATCAGTAGTTTGCGAATTCACGAGGGTGTTTCAGAGTTGGGACAAACTTCTTCTGTTCATGCTCCAACAGCCCCGTTTATTATTGTAGCGAACATTTCTAGCTCTTAAGTGGAATTATGCAAACAAGTTATATAAATTATTCAAACATTTCATTAGTCATAATAATGCTGGGTGGGGTTAAACGAAGATCATTGAATTAGGGGGCTTGGTGGTTTTATCAGGCTTGCCAACTTTTTGTATTTCCACCGCCACCAACTGCCATCTAGGAGCTAGTTTGGGAGTTAATAATTTATTAGTAGGATGATTAGGATATTATACTATTCCAACAGCCGCGTTTCTTATTGTCAATGTTTCTTGACAGTTGTGTGGAACTAGAGATGTTATATGAATTATTTCACCACACAATATGGTATATGCTGCATGTGAGGCTAAATGAGGATGATGTTAAAACTTTTGATCTTCATAGCCCCGCTTGTGTTCTCGGGTGCTAAGAGAGATAGTTGTGACACGCGCATCGACGCGTACGCGAGATTGGTCCGTTAGATCTTGGAGCTCCAAATAGTTCCCTCCCAAGTACAATCTCTATGGGAGGGAGGTTCCTGGAATGCCTGACCAATCAGAAGCAACGTCCTGTGACCTAACTATGTGTCTCAAATAGCTATGGTTATAATATGCTGGCACACGCGGTAATGAAATACTTTCGTACATGTATGTCTTACTTGTTTATTTTCTGCAACGGTTCAGAGTACGTCGTCAAGAGTAGCATGGTTAGTCATTATGATGAAACTAGTTGGTTTAATGTTAGTCAGACAAAGTGGTGATAAGATGTGGTATGAAATGAGAGGAGTAATGAAGTTATCGAGTTAAAACTATGCATCCATTCTACGTTTTGCTGAGACAAGTTCAGTTTCACAACACGATGTAAATGATGGAAATAAGCAATGTGGGTTCAGAAGCAAATCTCTTAAACAGACATCTAAGTGCGTCACAGCAAGTTATACAAAACTAAAATGAAATACATGCAAGCATAGCAAACAAGAAACTGCCAGAACAATGACAAATAACAAAGGAAAAGCAAAAGTACTTGATCTGATTTCATATGCATGTACGATATCAAAGCATCGAAAATGCACGAATCAATTAAACCAACAATGAACAATATTTTAATGAAATCTATAAATTTCATTTTAGATGAAAATGTAACGCTACTAGATGGTACATCAATATTAAAATGATATCATTACTTCAGGGAAAACACACATTTTGTGGATGGATTATGATTTCGATATGTAATTACAAGTAAATCATTTAATATCATGCTATTGTGTTTCCATTTGTTGAATAATCGTTTTTAATTATTGCACACTCTCTGTATCAAAATGAGCATCCAAGATGAAAAAGTTGTATTTTGACTTACCTCATCCACCTGTGGTTTGCTAGTCGGTATCTGTGACCTATCGGTTCGAGCCCCATTCAGCGCCCCGATCGCGCCGTACCCCAACGGTTTCTGCGACACAGGTGGTGGCCCAGCCCTCCTCTGGTGCTGGGCCTGGTTGGGGTGTAATCCCCGTTGGCCATTGCTGTTGGGGCTGGTGGGTCGCTGCCCTACCGGTGGGGGTGGGCGGTTCTCCTGCTGGATCTGCTTCTGGCGGACATCGGTTCGAACCCGTAGCTCACCAAGAATCATCTGAACGGGAGAGTAAAGAAGAGCACATTGTTAACATACTGAAAGGTCATAGTATCGTTAAGTCAAGAGATTAAAGTTTCACATGACAGAGACATTGTTAACATCAAGTAATGAAGTGAAAAATTCAAGATATAGCTGCGATTAAGCCTTTAAGTTTCGTGAAGAATGTATATGATTTTAAACTATGGTCATACCGAAAGTTTAGGTTTAATATCAGCAGTGTGGGTCATCATCTTCTCCACTAAGTCCACTCTCCGTTTGCCGATGTTGATTATTCAGCAAGAAAACTATGCTACCGAATCTTCATCAAAAGCAAATATGCTACTACGCGAGTACATATGAAGTGGTAAACTGACTTTGCTCCTGGAAAGTACCAATTATAAGAATCTTCCCAAAAGGAAATCGTGGAACTTGGGGCTCAATTTTACTAAAGAGTAGTTAATTAGCACACGCATTATGAAAAGATAACCTGCGCGGCTTTCTGGCGGGAAGCTATTTAATATCTAGAATGTATAAGTCCATGAATCTGACGTCAAGGTTGTGTCATCCTCTATCAGAAGAACATTTTGCAACAACCTTCACCCATCCACAAACCCACTGTCTTAGTATTTTGGTGATGAGTAAGACTGACTGATCAACCACTAGTCATGTTCGATCAGCGAAAACAAGCGCTCAGCTATAAGTTGCCGATGTTACATCACAGTCAGTCTGCTACCACTTGTTGCTCACAATCAGAAACCAGAACTATCATCCCATCATAGTCAATCTCAAAATATCAGGTAATGATCGTCAGCAGTAGCACAGATAAGAGCACCCCTTTACCCTCCCAAATCGAAGCGTAAAAAAGAGAAGAGGGTTAAGAAAGAATGAAGAAACAAAGAAAGGGATGAAGAAAGAAACGATAGAAAGAAAGAAAGAAGGAACAAAGAAAGAAGGAAAGAAGGAAAGAAATGAATAAATAAATAAATAAAATGTCACGGGGAAAGAAAGGGTGACGGAGAAAGGAACATGACGATGACATACTACACTGATCGTCAAGAGGAACAATTAGACGATCAGATTAAAGTAGAACTTCGACGATTTTAGTCAGTTCCTCCATGCCACCCACTGAATACCACGGGGATCCACCATTATGACATCACAATGCAAGATGACGTCAAAATATAACAAATGATAAATGACCAGTTATAATTCGAAAGGTTAAAACAATAATCATTTTCACACCGGCAATAGATTCACGTCAGTCTTCACGTTCCAAAAATAATAAATCCCACAATATTATCTCGTTATTTCTTCTCTACAAAGAAAGAAGCTGAATCCCCCTGAAGGCTTACCTTGGCCTAAAACCGCAAAAAATATTGACCACAATCACAGGTCATTCTGGCCAGCGTTATGGACTACCATATTTATCATCTTTTGACGTCATAGAATCTCGTATATTATATAAGTAATCTTTGATGACACACTTTCCTTCCTTAGGTCACTCCTGTTCCCAACGGTCAACTTCGCTTCCTTTCTTTTGTTTCGACCAAGTATTGGAGTTAGAAAGTTGGGGGAGGGGGTAAACGAGACTCGTCTCGTGCGAAGAGCCCGGCAAGACAAGACTGATAACAGGTGAATTATGAAGAATAATCTAAGAGACTGCAGCGACGAGAGGAATGTCTTTCAAAATTAAAAGAATTGCTCTTTTTAAGTAGGTAGATTGATAACCGTAGTGGTATATTTGACCTCATAAATCTCGTTATTATTACTTTTTTTTTGGGGGGGGGCAGGATTTTCCCCGGTTTTAATCATAACTCCAGAATGTCTGAGGGATTAATGTCAAAATAAGTCATAGATATCGCATTGCCTCACTAAATAGTTAACATTCAGCTTCTGCGGTACTGTGTGAAATAATCATAATAATTATTAGTTGATTTTCTATGAACAAAAAATGTTTTAACATTTCTTTCATCAAAATGACATTGGGAAAGTCGGTCCAATACTGCTTTCTGCCAGGTGTCTGGTAAATGGTTATTTCAGCTATACATGATTTAAAAGAAAAATATCTTGTCTTTGAAACCTGTAGTTCTTACGGTAAAAATAAAATCGGATAAAATCATTGAAAGAACAAAAGAATTGTAAATATTTCAGTCAGTAACATGATTGGTTTAACGGCCATTTCATTTCATTTCGTTCTAAGCCATTTTACCGATTCCCATGCGCCGAATGAATGAAATATAACACTTTTTGCGCCAATATACGTGAATGAAAGTTCAATCACAGTCCTTCTGACCTGATATAGAAAGATGACCTATATAGTTCATTCTGAAGTTAACGGGATCTAAATTTAGTTCAAATCTTTATATCTAACCTAGATCCGAAACTAGGAAAGCCCAAAACTTTGTATTTCTTCGTATGCTTACATCAAACTTTCGAATGTTTAGACAATATATTGAGGTCGCCACGTCACTTGTCTATTGAGAGTACCAGAACAGACATTTAAAACCTATTTATTGATCTAAATCTACATTTTATTTGGTTTCAAATCGGAACTGTGGGATATATTTCGTCGGCTGCCCGAAAGAAAGTCGTAACACTACATTTTATGTATTGTCAATGACAGTAACGTCCTTTTGGAGGGCAGTCGACGGTCTTGTAAATAATGGAGAAAGAGTGCCATGAAGAAAAGAAAAAAACGGTTGTGATGAATGTATAATTTTCGGATGTTACGAATGATCTTACAAAGATCTGCAGATTAATATCTTTACGCTCGACGCCTCTTTCCTCTCACTGGACTTTCGGAGATTAATTTTAATCTTTATTTTTGTTTTGGTTTTAGAAAGCAAAAAACAACCACAATGATTTTGAGGAGAAAAGATGTTGATTGTTATCATTGTGATGTTAAAAAAAAATTCTCACCTGAGAAATAAATGATTCTACATCGAACTTGAAAGCTGCACTGGGGCTATTGCCTCATGGGTGATACAAATCAAACAACTTGCTTCTCTTGTGCTACAACTTCTTAAAGTTGTACAAATTGCATGAACACTAGATATAAAGAGGAAACTAATAATGAATGGTGTGGTTTTTTTAAAATAAATAATACATTATTCCAAGATGAGCTAAACCTCAATAACCAATAAATTTCACCGCATATGCACCACAAGTCAGTCTCATTTGTCCGGTCATAATCATAGTCTAAACTCGAGAGTAGGCCTACTTTGAAAATTTTAATTTTTCTGGATTTTGCTGGTTAATCTTAAGTCATAAAGAGGAATATAAATAGACATGCAGCAAATAAGACCCTGGAAATCCAGACCTTTTCTTGATAAGCCTATTGAAACAAGGTCAGCATGAATTATATCACGGAAAGTGATAACAAGAACAAAAACAAAAATAAAATCAGGTGAACACAGACAGCGTTTTTTAGCAGGTGACTTTCTCCATTATGGTAGCCGCAAAGATGCTGTCCGGCGATAAGGAAGAAAAAATACAAACTTGCTGCTATAAATGAATCGGAACAGCGCTGTCTCTCTCAACGGGGCAGTTGCGGCATCGGGGCAAGTGATAAAAGGACCACCTGGGGCTAATCAGGACCCTGTAATTCTACCAGCTCAAAACAAGACTGTTTTATCAGTGATACGGCCGTCGACAGTCTTGACAGTGATGGTCTAAAAAAGTTTCCACCGACAGGTCAAAATTTGACGTCATCAATCGGGCTAAATTTAGTCAAAAGGCCTTCGACTTTCGAAGATATTTCAAAAAGAAATTTAATTAAATTGATGGGCTTAAAGAATAAAGGAAATACGCGGTTTTACATCTTGGCACGCTGCCAAAAAGACGTAGGGTGGTTGCAATGACAGGCATGGTAGTCTGTTGAGTAACATATTTAAGGTTGTAATCTTGAGGTTTAGCAGCTGCCGAAGCAACATAAGCAGGAGCAGAACATCTGGTCGCGTTTATGTCGTTAAAGAGGATTTCCTGCTTGCTAATTATGAAATCCAAATGTTCGGGAGAGGCCTTGATACAAGAAGAAACATACTTTTAATGTTTATCCTTGCGAATAGCCAGATTCATCACGACATCCGTGCGATGCAACTTTCGTGATTTATACTCACGAGACATTTTATTCTTATTCCTCTAATTCTTCGTGCGGGGGGTGAAGGGGCTTAGTTATCATCTTGCTTCTTAAGAAGGTATAAAGAAGCAAGTTGAGATTCGTGACATATTAAATATTGATTAAATGCGTGTCAGATATTCTTTCTTGTACTGGATACAATGCCTTTTGCAAAAGTTGGTTGTGTGAAAGACACGATAAGCCTCAACAGAATACTTACAGTTTGGCTAGACCCTAAACTTTGTTAAAAAATCACTACAATTCTGGAAAGAATTATAACACGTTGTGGCTAATAAAAAGAAGATCCCCTTTTATGTCTTGCATTGATACATACTAAATGAAAGAAATATAAATGCGAGAGGAAAAAAATGAAAATATAGGTTTTTAAGTGCAGGTCAAAATATTTGAACGAATTTTGTTATCAAATTGAAGTAAGAGAAAATGATGAACGATTCGAGCTGTCTTAAAGTTAATCTCGAATTACATGAGTGGGCAGATACGATAGCTAAAATAGATTCAAAGAGAATTAACGTACAAGAAAATTAGTGCAACGAGAAATAAATCAACTAAAATTTGAGTAGAATGTCTCTCGCCAGGTCATTGACGCCATTACAGACGTTGTGTAGCAACCGACCCCTAATTATTCCAATATGCATACACCGCCCAATAAAAATTGGCTTCAATTAGTCCAAGGTGTTTTTACACCAACCCACTTACTTTCGCTCATGTGTCTTGTTGTGGTGACGAACCACCAACACCCGAAATATCACTAATAAGTTTCGCAACAAATCCACAACTTCTGGTCGCCTTTTACTACGAAGGGATATACTAGCGAAAGAACTATGGCCATAAATGACAAAGGCGAATTTGAAGGCAACCGCAAAGTTTGTAGGATTGGCAG